GGAGGCGGCGCGCCCAACCGGAAGTTAAAGTGCGTACGGACATGCTGCTTTTGTGGATGAAATCTTGATGATTGGTCAGATATTTCCGTGATCAACCTCTATCACACCAGAGCGTCAAGGATGATTATATTCTCATTTGGTACTTCGAGGATTGGCTGAAGAAGTATTTTTTCTCCATCCTCCAAATCCTAGAGGTGGGATTCTAAGCGTGTTCGAGTGCAGGAGCTCACACATTTTCCAGGTCCTTTCCATGGACCCCTTGGCATATGTGCGCACCCAAGCACTCTCCTTAACTTATACGCTCCTTCGCGACAAACCTGAGCAAGAGCATAACCTTCTTAGGCTACTGGTAAACAAACTGGTGAGCGGAAAAAAATTCAACTCATGAAGCAATTCACTAATCATGGTACCTAGGGTGATTCAGAAAAATCCATATGTTCTCGCGCTTCCTATCACCTTCTTCAACTCCTACAAGCTCACCCATCTATGAAAGGTGTCGTCGTACGCGAGATGACGTCCCTCATCTTCGACCAAGCATCGCGACACCTGCCACTGCACCAACTACTAATACGCATATCCGCTTCACCGACGAGACGACCACCTCGACTTCCAAACCGAAACCGAAGCCAAAACCGAAGCCTGACGGAGCTACAAAGAGGACGAGCAACGATCATGCGCGCTATTATGCAACGATAACGCTTAACCAGATTGTGTTTGTTCTGGGGGACAAAGATGTTGCTGTACAAGTCATCGATGTGTATTTCCAGATGTTCAAGGATTTATTAGGGGAGAGTCGATCGTCTGGGAAAAAGGAAATCGCTGAAGAACAGGACGGAGAAGTTGTAGGGAAGAAAAAAAAGCGGAAGACAACGAAAGAGGTCGTTGGTGACGGTGGTTTTACGGAGGTTGAAGATGCGTTTTCAAAATCGATTTCTGCCATATTGACAGGTGTGAATCGCGCGTTGCCCTATGCAAAGTTGGGACCATCGGATGTCAAGTGGGTTTCTCAAGCATGGTTCATTCTCACCTGACGTTCTCTCCAACAAGCTTGAACAAACATATAGACACCCTGTTCCTCATCACACATACCTCAACATTCAACACCTCTTTGCAAGCCCTACTCCTTATTCAGCAAATATCATCCTCGCTCTCCCACTTACCCGAGTCTTCATCTTCTGCACTCTCGAAGAGCATTGTGGACCGATATTATCGAACTTTGTACCAGTCTTTACACGATGGTCGCCTCGCCTCATCCTCAAAACAGACCATGTACCTGAACCTCCTTTTTAAGTCTCTCAAGGCCGACGACAACCCCGAACGTGTGAAGAGCTTTGTCCGCCGGTTTGTCACAAGTTCTTGCCAGTGGCAGTGCGGGCGGGACCGAGTTCATTGTAGGAGGATTATACCTCCTAGGAGAAGTAAGGAGCCCTTGCTCACCTATTTAATGGCCCACCTGACTCGATTCCCAGTTGTTCAGTACAGTTCCAGGCTTGCGAGACCTTTCCAGAGGATCCCGTTCCACTTCCGAAGAACAATATGATCCACGAAAGCGAGACCCGCAGTTTGCGCACCCCTCAGCTTCTCCCTTGTTCGAATTGGTAATCACTCATGTTCATTGATTTAACAAGTCCTCATGTATCTTAGATTCCCCTCGTACACCATTATCATCCGACCGTCTCTTTACACGCACAGCAACTTCTTTCTGGCCAACCTATCACGTCAAGCCCAGATCTGTCTTTAAATACCCTTTCTCATTTCCTCGATCGTTTCGTCTACAAAAATCCCAAAAAAATCAAGGCAAAAGGCTCCAGCGCCATGCAGCCTGCAGCCAGCGCGAACGACAGGATTAGCGTGAAGCTGTTGAAAGGCGAATCGTCTGGCGGTGCTCTACCGAACGACAAGAAATTTTTGAATAGGCGGTTACAGGATATCCCTGTTGATGAGGTAAAAAATCTGCTTATTCGGCGACCGAGAGCGTGCTAAAGTCACATAAGGTCTTCTTCCATAAATACTTTTCGAGGAAACGTGAAAAGGACAAGAATAAAACTGCTCACGCCGGCAAAGGGGATAGTGATGCAGGAGAATCTGACGATGCTTCTGACATAGATGCTTCAGCGAGCGAGTTGGAGGAAGCGCAGGACAGAGACGTAGATGATGTTAAACGCGATGATGACAGTGAAGACGACGAAGACAGTGACGCCGAGGAGGCAGATATATGGAAGGTACTCGGTTCTCGTTGTCACCTTTGCATCCGTAGTTCAATTTATCTTGCAAACAGGCGATGCAAGCTAGCATGCCTCGTATGGCAGGAGATGAAGACCTCATGGCGGATAGCGACAGCGTCGTTTCCGATCTTGATGATTCCGATGGGGATGATGAGGAGGTTGAAGTTGATGAAGAAAATGAGGATGAAGATGGTGGTTCCGGCGATGATTTCTCCATGGTTGAGGCTTCTGACAATGAGGACCTCCTCGGCTTGGATGAAGTTCCTCAAGGTCTCATCGAATCCGACAGAATTGCTGATGAAGATGGCGGCGACGGCGAAGAACAGTGGAATGGCTTCGGTAGTACAAAGAAGCGAAAACAGGAGAACGAATCCAAACGTGAAAAGCGGAAGAAGCTGAGAAGCTTGCCAACATTTGCAAGTTACGAAGACTATGCAAAGATGATCGAGGACGGTCCTGAGGATGATATATAGCATTGGTGTGGATATGTATTTTGCATTCAAATCTAGCAATGTTCCGGACAGAAATATGTTGCAGGATCCAAATTTCCCTGCTCAACAATCTTTTTCCTTTTACCACACCATGAACATTCCATTCACTCAGGGATGGATCCATTCAAAGTCTATCTTAAGTAGTCATAGCCAGCTGGTACCGGAACAGTAAGTTAGAAATCTGTTCTTGGGTGGAATTTTTTTCTTCCTCTTGATGTTCACTCACGGACAGTTCTAAGATTGGAGGTCCATCTCAATTTGAGAAGTGTCCTGGGCAAAGTGGTTATCACAACAGAATCGAAATCTGTTTTTCTTGGATTGCGCAGGTTCGAAACCTGCCGATGAAAGGGCTTTTTTCTCTCGGAATACACCTGGACATTCACTCATGGCTGGTTTCGTCGGAGGTTCATCTTAACTCAGTTGGTCTTAGCCAAGTGATTATCGTGATTATCGTAACAGAGTCAAAATCTGTTTCTCTTGGACTGCGCAGGTTCGAAACCTGCTGACAAGAAGGGTTTTTGCTATCGGAACGCACCTTGTCGGACATTCGCTCATGGATGGTTTCCTCAGATGCTCATCTTAACTGGTCTTGCCCAAGTAGTTATCACGACGGAATCAAAATCTGTGCTCTTGGCCTGCGCAGGTTCCAAACCTGCCCAACGACAGGTGTTTTTTTCTATCAAAACACACCTTGAAGATTCGCTCATGGATGCTTTCCTTGTAAGTGCATCTCAACTGGTCTTAGACAACTGGCCACCGCAACAGAATCGAAATCTGTTTCTCTTGAACTGCGCAGGCTCAAAACCTGCTAACGACAAAGTTCTTCTCACACCTTCATATTCACTCACGGAAGGTTTCGTCGGAGGTTCATCTTAACTGGTCTTAGACAAGTGGTTGACAACGGAATCAAAATCTGTTTCTCTTGGACTGTGCATGTTCGAAACTTGTCCATCGACAGGTTTTTTGATCACAACACGTCTTGAAGATTCGCTCATGGATGGTTTCCTCATAGGTTCTTCCCGACTTCGTTTTGGCGAAAGTACTTACCACCACAGAATTTAAATCTGTTTCTTGGACCATGTGCCAGTGCAGGTTCGAAACCTGCTGGCGACAAGGTTTTTTGCCTTTTGGAACACGCCTTGAAGATTGACTCATGGACAGTTCCTTGGAGATGCATCCTCACTGGTCTTAGCCAAGTGGTCACCAGAGTCAGAATCTGTTCCTCTTGGATCGCGCAAGGTCGAAACCTGCCGATGACAAGGTTTTTTTCCCATCGGAACATACCTTGACATTCACTCATGGATGATTTCGTCCGGAGCTCATCTTAACTGGTCTCAGCCAAGTAGGTACCACGCTGAATGAATCTCTATTTCTCTTGGATTGTGCCGGTTCAAAGCCGGCCGAATGACAGGTTTTTTTTCTGTCGGAACACGCCTTGACATTGACTCATGAATAGTTTCCTCGAAGGTCTCACTAACTGGTCTTAGCCAAGTAGTCACCACAACAGAGTCGAAATCTGTTTCTCATGGGGTTGGTTCGAAACCTGCTGACAATTTGAATATTTTGCTGTATATAGATCCTCGGAGGTCCATCTTAATTAGACCCAGTCATTGCACCGAAACCTCCTTTTTTCCACAACATATAATCTTATGATGACCTTGAAGCGGCCGATTACTATATTTTCCTTTTGGAACATCTCTGCTCTATCTTGCTCCATCTCTTACGACATGCTGCTGAGTTCCCCCCCACACAAAAATATCCAAGTAAGATCCCCCGAGGTGCGTACGTACTAATTTAGATTCTCGACAGACTGACCAAACTTGTCGGAGTTCAACACCAATGAAAAATGACAATGGGACCGGAGGCCAGAAGAATGCACGCAAGCCAAGGACAAAGTGAGCCTGATAGTCAGGAAAATGATTAACTCCCCACCTTTAGCTTTCAGGTCATCCTCAGTCGCATTGGAAGAGCCAGTGACCGAAGGAGTGTCCATCGATATCGCTTTAGCGAGGCCGGAAGAATTGAAAGCGGGTGGCAGAGCGAGCCATATCGTTCCTATGTGTATAGTTTGCGTGCACTTTATCGATACCGAGGCGAAATAAAAACTATGTACTTTCGATTGCCGCAGCAAGACCCAGGTACCTGACAGAGATGCAGAAAAGAGGTCAACGTGAACTAAATACTAACGGAAAGGGCTTGCTGCGAATGAGGATTGTAACCGAAAAGGTCCGAACACGGGTGTAGCCGGGGGAGCCATCCTCCATTACATAACAATTAACTTGATGTTGAGAGTCGATGTTTTTATACCACAGAGTGATAGTCATTTCAGGCTGCGCTTACAATGCCTGCCTGGACAATTATTTCGCCACGCGAGCGAGACTTTGGCCATCCCATGCGCATGAAGATATTCCGGATCATGAAAATGGTCTATCGCATATTAGACCCTCCCAACGAGCCCTCCACAATAACTGAAGTGGGTCACATCGCGACCCTCGGGTACGCGGCAGTCTTACAAGAAAAGCCAGAACCACCCGTCCTATCAAGTGTTATTATCCATTTTCGTCTCTCCACGGAGTCTGTCACACGCTTTGCTCTCCTACTCCATGACATGCAGATTGAAGACAAGGTGTATGATGTGCGCATTCCAGTCCCTGGCGAGCTTGTGCCTGATATGAAGGATATCTATGATTTTGTTGTCGCGAGGTCGCAGAAATTGATCATATCTTCTCGTGACTCAGACTATTGGGCGGAGTGTGACCTTGCACGTAAGGTATCGAAGCAGCTGCATGTGCAGGTAAGGGCGAAACGGTGACCATCCACTATCATGAAGTGAATTGACTTCATTAGAAATATTGCGAACGCCTTCTACAACAGGAGGGTGATGGTACCGTAGACATTGCCGGTTTACGATCAGACACTTCGCGGTGTCCGATATGTGATTCAAGTCTTATTCACTGCAATAGCTGTCAGGTCGCATCGTGCGAATCGCACGACTGTCGTGGATTTTCTGATTCTCCTTTTGCGCGGTGCGTCAAACACAAAATGGAGGTGCTATGTTTTCCATGCCTCCAAGGACAGGGGTCCAAGCGGGAGCTAGAAAAGTGTCCTGGATGCAACTCTTGGTGCTGCGCGAGGGACTTATCCTCGTGTACCGGTCACCCACTCAATATACCGCCCATGCCTTGCGTCAACAACAAGTTCATTGCTCCTGGTTTGATTACGGCTTATGCTGAATCTGCGCGTGCTCACCCTCCTAAGCGCGGTTCCTGCATGGAATGCAAACTGCCCGGCTGGCGTAGCTGCCGAAACAAGCTATGCTGGTCCCATTCGATCTGCCCAGAGTGCACGAGTGGCGGTCTGACATGTATGTGTGGGGAAGTGTGGGCATGCGACCTCTGTGCGGAGCACGATCCTAGCGTATTCATCCGCTGCCCGCGTTGTCGCCGGCTGTTCTGTTACAGTTGCTGCTACATCGACGACTGCGTCCTGTGCAACGGCTCGAACCTCTGTTACGACTGCGCCGAAGAAGTTTCAGAAACGGACGACAAGGAACTAGAGGAGATGCCTGTTAAACTTGTGGCGTCGTGTGGGAGTTGTGAAGTAAAGATGTGCGATCTCTGTGAGTCGCATCTGGCGGTTTCATGTGCGGTGTGCTCGAATCGGCTTTGTACGCCGTGTGTGAGGGATGCCGAATGCTTGTGCAACCGTGTGCTATGCGATGGTTGTGTTACAGATCACGGGTGCGGCTTGTGCTCCCAGAGGCATAGGGACGACAGCGATGGATCTTGACGTATACTGGAAGAGCAAATTTTGAAAGACACTGCCATATTGATATGTACGAACCCAAAGCGTTGCATAGGAGATCTGTGCTTGGTTTTACGTACCCAATGGCATGAGAGTTAATTTTTGAATGCTGGTGCCTAAGTGAGTATCAAGGCTCTCTGACAGATTGTTTGATCATCCACTTTCTGCGCTTTGGAGATTTTCATTGTCACCCACCTCAATATTTGGACGCTGGACTGGACGTGACCGGGAACCTCCAGGGAAACCTGTCTACAATTTGCTGCCAAATAAATAAAAAAGCAGCTCCTTTTTCACTGGCAGTACCGCACACCTACGTGAAGCGTGCTGCTGAAATCGTAGGACAGAGACCCAAACAAATAACAGAGCACTGGCCTGCGGCGGCTGCCCCAGACCTATCAGGGTGACCCTACTCTTCAAGACTTCGAGAATATAGCTTCTCTGGTACGAATCTGTTTTTTACGACGGTATGGTGAGGTGTAGGGTGAAAGCCGAAAACGGTCAGGGTTTAATCTGATACTTCAATTGAGGCAAACTGCTGTGAGACTATTTTGGTACAAAAGCCGCTGCGAAGTAGTACATTTACTTCATGGAGAATCAGACTTATCAATCCCTGCATGTCCTGAGCTTTCCTGGGCACAAATCGACACGGGAAGGGCAGGGGGTGCCTACTGCAACTTCAGCTCAACACATATCAGATATCCAACAACGCTTACGAAGTTAGGCCTGATGCCCATTTAACTGTTGGTTTTTGCCCGATAGGTTTCTTGATCGTGAAAGTGGCCTAATATGCATGCAATTGCGGACCAAAGCGATGCATCCCCAACGTGCCTGCCAGGACTTTAAACCATAATAATTAGAATGACTCAAATGCGACGTAGGGGTGTAAGGCTGTACTGGCGCCTGCGGCCAAAGCCAAATACGCATGGGACTGTATCATCGTTCAAAGTGCCAAAAAGCGGTCTGGACGGAACGATTCTGGCTCAGGATACTTCTTCGGATTATGCGCCATGGCCCTGGAGATAGGATTCAGGACGAAAGGAGTGGCTATAAATCAAACTGGCCTACACACCAGACATTGGGTGCGATTTTTGCTCCTAGGAGATGAGATGTTAATGATCGTATAAAAATGTGTAACGGCAGCGCTCAGCTGGGCACCTTTTGGGATGAAATAACCTCTGTAGAAGTCGTCTTCTGTATTAGAATGAGGAACAGCTTTATCATACTTCAGCGACCTCTGGAATTCCAAGTATGTGAGGTAGACCCTGCTTACCTAGCGGTGTAAAAGGATTCTATCTCTTTACTTCTCTGATCAATGCCCCGACGTACGGGAGTGCTGGGAGGTCATCAAAATTGGGGAGACGATCAAGACCGACGACCTTGTCAATCTCTGCCTGGGCGCGTTCTTGAACTTTTGGGTTGTTCATCATCGCTAGGGTGAATGTGAGCAGAGATGCGGCAGTCTAATGAATGCTGATGTCTTTGAATTAAAACTTGATGGAAATTAGACCTACAGTCTCGACAGAAGTTATTGTTGCAAAAGGTTAGCCAAATGACAACAGGATATTGACTGCACCCACCAGCATAAGCAGTGGCGGCCGAGGCTTTGATCTCTGTCACCATCTCCGGGTTGTCCGTGTCTTCTGATATATGATATCGTTCCAGCGCGTCAGAGACCATGGATGCCTGCGCAGATCCATTTGCCTGATAGTGTGATTAGTAAGCCTCTTTGCAGACTTTTTAAATTTTAGCTTGCCGTGTTGTGGCGGACGTGGTTGTATGGGAAGTCCAGCATATCCTTGACATACTGCCTCGATAGATTCGCGTCTTTTAGACCTAGGCCTGGGATCCAGGAAGGCAACTTCTTCACTACGCGCACAAAATTATATTGTTTGGTTGGATTGAAATAATCAAGCCACTCACAAAGCGGAAATGCACCAAACAAAGCGGCTTTTTTCTGGTGTCACAACCCTTATGAATAAGTCCACCGCACGTTTCGCTGCATTGAGGACGACGTCATCATGTGATGCAATATCATAGTCGTATGTAACTGACAATACAACTGATGCTACAAACCTGTCAAGTATTGGAAACTCGTTCAAGTTCAAATAAAGACAAATAACTACTGACACTTCGAAGTGGCCACCATAATGCGCAGGATCGTGAAGAATGAGTGTGAGCATTTCATATGCTTTCTGTAATTGCCTTCGACAGTAAGTTAAAGCTGCCTCAGATCGAAAGACTTGATGGTAAAGACGCCTATGGATTCTGAACCTTTCACCGTATCTTGCTATCGGCGTTGCCCATTCCCAGCCGAAACTATAGGAATAACCATTTCAATTTGCGGGTGACGTACATTGACTTCATAGTACGCACAGGTCGCTCGTGACTATGTATGGTCGGTCAGAGTACACCCGAGATCGTTTTTCAAGCAATTCGTCGGCGACTTCCTCGGAATTTAAAACAATAATCTTCATGTTCAGGGCGCGGGTATATATGGTATCGCCTGCGGTGGAGACTATCAGGAGTATGCCAACTGAAAGAAGTGAGAATACGTACCATAAGTTTTCTGCATCGTGGCGTATGAAACCCAAGGTGCGTCTGCCTTGATATCAAATACATTTCCAAGAAAAGGGATCGGAGTAGGACCAGGAGGGAGGTTCTTTCTGTGGGAGGACGCCGTTCGTCTGGAGAGTGCAAGTAATGCCAGAAAGCAGATTGTCAGCGCAGCACCGTCCTCTATCGAGAGAGCTATGGCAAACTTGAACATACTTCGCGATGAGACATGGGAGACTTCGGGAGTCCAGTGGTTTGTCACAGTATGCCACATGGCTGTGTGGAAAAAGTTGACGATCATTGCACTAGTCATAGTATGCGTGAATCAGAAAGCTGATACAAAATAAAAGATCTCGGATACCTCACGCACCTGCCAGTGCATGCTGTAATGACAAGCCAATGCTAGATAATAGCTAGCAGCGCGCGTTGTTCAATTGCCTCTTCTGAGCTCGGGTCCTGGATGATTTCGGCGTTATGATGATTGTCGAACTGTTACTGACTCCGAGTGGTGTTTGCGTCCGTTCAACTGCCAGTGGAGTTACTGGAGTACGAGCAACGGAGTTTCTCCCCTCGCTTCCCGACTCCCATCAAGTTGACTGCAGACTCGACCTGGATCCTATGTGACAAGCTTCAGGTTTGCCCAAAATACAGCATAGTGCAAGCATAGCGCATTACATACTAGTGCTATAAGACAAAAAAGGCTTCGAAGCGACTTTAAAATGGGAATGAAAAATTTACACCGAAGGGGAGTCGAACCCCTGCCGCTTGCTTGGAAGGCAAGCATGATAACCGCTTCACCATCGGTGTGCATGTGATAGCGTTTGGCCAACACAACATTGGCTGGGATGTTACATAACCGAAACACCCGGATCTACTGCAATCTCATCCATTCACTTCATTCATCATCATGTTCGGGTCGAGTTACTGCGGTTAGTTGTCATCGATATAGGTCTATCGGCAAAGGGAAACTGACCAAGTTGAACACAGCGAGGGCGCACGTGCAGAGGACGTTCGAACAGCTCATGAATGTGCTTCCATCGCAGTTGAAGGATAAGGTAGCTCAATATGATATCCCATAGACTAACACTTAGCATTGATTAACGCGAGTAGCCCCAAGTCATTCTTCTTGCAGGAGGAAGAACACCCTTCCGAAACGACACAGATCGCGAGCTACCATTTCGCCAAGAATCTAATTTCTACTACCTCTCAGGATGCTCCGTGCCTGGATCATTCCTTCTTGCTCTATATCAGCCTGAACATACGAATGCGTCCACAAGGCTGAGTGTGAAGCTATCTATCCCGGAAATACAGGCCGCAGATCTCATGTGGAGTGTTCCTCCACCCACAATCGAGGAAGCGAAGCAGTTGTTCGACGTAACCGACATTGCGTATAGCTCAGAGCTACAAGGTACCATTGAGTTACTCCTTCAGTCACATTCCGAAGCTGTCTTCCATACTCTGCCGCGCAACTCGCCTCTATTTCCCACTTTACCCGAGGAGTACATGGCGACTATTGTTACATCAGAGACCCACACCGCAACGGATGCATACTTACTCTCTTCCTTGCACAAAACACGATTGATCAAGGATGAGAACGAGGTAGCGATGCTCCAACGCGCGAACGATATCAGCTCCAGAGCGCATGAGACCGTCATGCGCGTTTTAGGCAACGCAGTACAGGGTAAGGTTCTTCAGGCAAAGGCGCAGGCATTGATCGCCCTCTTCTTCCTGGAGAGTGGCTGATTGAGAAAGAGGCGGAGGCGGAGGCGATCTTTGTTGCATCATGCCGACGTGAAGGGTACGTACGCACTAGTTGGTACTGATACCCGATAACTCACCAATAACACCAGAGCCGTTCATCAAGCATATCTTCCTATCGTCGCTGCCTCCAGGAGAGCCGCTACGTTACACTACTGTTGTAATGATCGAGAGTTCACCTGGGGACCTATAAAGCCACACGATCATTTGAACCACGGCGCATTGGCACACGGCCCTGCACCCGAAAGGCAGTTAGAGCCTCAGCTACTTCTTATCGACGCAGGATGCGAATGGGATTGCTACTCTGCGGACAGTGAGTTGCAGCGACTAAATGCCAGAGAGGCCTGAACTTCTATTTTCAAGTTACACGCACGATGCCTGTTGGTAATGGCGGAAAGTTTACTGAGAAAGGCAAGCAGATATACTCTCTTGTGCTGGAAATGCAGCAGGTAGGCTCTATATGCATTCTTTGCACTATCATGTAACGCTTTGCGTAGAAATCGATGAAAACTCTCAGGCCTGGTGTCCACTGGGACACCATCCAACTGCTCTGTCACCAGATTCTTGTGGAGGGGTTTCTCGACCTCGGACTCTTCAAAGGCTCGAAAGACGAGATTCTGCGCTCTGGAATTAGCTCGGCCTTTTTCCCTCACGGAGTCGGGCATTCACTCGGGATGGATGTACATGACGTCCCGAGTGCAAGTAAACCAATAAACAACATGACTATTCTACAAGACAAAGTTGGGCACCCCAGTTTTTACACATACCTGCGGCTCCGGCTGCCACTCGCAGAGGGCATGGTCGTGGTAAGTTTGAACCTTGTGTGTGGATTATTCACCTGCTTACTTCGATAGACCGTTGAGCCGGGGATCTACTTCCATGAACACCTACTCAAGGCTGTAGATGAGTCTGAATATGTGAACCACAACTTGTTGGAGGAGTATCGCGAAATGGGCGGCGTGCGCATTGAAGATGACATATTGATCACTTCAGATGGGTGCGAGAACCTCACCAAGGTTAGGAGTGATGTTGAGTGGCTAGAGTCGGTGTGCTCTGGGGAGATTTGAACGTAGAAAGTCGTTTGTAAGAGTATTCGTGTGGATAATGGTTTCAATGACATTTGCTGGAAACCCGCTGATGCTGGATGTTTAACAGGAACTGAAATTTCACGCAGTTAATCTTATTGGGTGACTTTGATTTAGCACAAGGTTTCAGCAGCGAATAATCTAGGACACTAATCGTTTTTTTTTCGAGCCGCAGGATAGTCGCAATGTCCCTACTCTTGCCCAATGTGGCCGGATTTACATACTTATCCCCAAACACTACAGACACTCGAAGTACTGATATATCAAAGATCGTAATGGAGCTATTGACATGTATCCGCCGAATTTGGGGCTGGATGAAATTTGCTAGCAATGCGTAATTGATATGTAGAAGATAGGACACTTCTCGCTTGGAAACGCCGTAGGCTGAATATCAGTTCACTGGCGAAAGTATTATGAAGTGATTAAACTCTGTTCACGGTCATCCTAAGTAGGTTCACTCAAGATGGGTTCGGCGCAAATTCTAAGCATGTACGTATCTTAAGTGGACCTACTTAGGACGGTACCATGAACAGAATTTAATCACTTCATAATACTTTCACCTATATCAATTGACTGAGCATACTATAAGTCCCAATTTCTTTACAATACATGCTAGAACAGGTTGACAATGATAAGTTAATATCTCTACAGTATGAGCAACGTAATGCGAATTAGTTGTAAGGCAAGTATCGTAAAAGGGCTCCAAACGAAGGCTAACCTAGCTAGCCCAGCATGCGGAATCGGATAATAGTTCGTCGACCCACTAAAATACTGTGCGAGTCATCGGGAACAATTGCTACTTCCAGCTCCCCAAATACCGACTTCATGTAAGGGACATGTGATGGCGAAGTGTCATTTTCCGAGGGCGTAGAAGTGTTGGTATCCTTCGAGTCCGTTGTCTTGGGTAAAGGACGAAGTGGGATAATCAGCTCTAAGGCACATTTGTATCGCATGATCACCCCTCCGGTCTTGATTCTAAAACCTTCCGTTGGCCTACAGGGTAGGCGACTTCAGCTGTCCGACCGTAGCTCACACAGCTGAAGACACTCACTTGAATTCCGTGAGGAGGGCACTATCGAGCTCCCTGACAGTGGAAACGGCTTCTTTTTTCATCTCCTCCTCCTGAATGCACTCAGGACCGGATTTGCCTTGCACATTATCCTGGTATTCCCGCTGGCCAGTCACCATCGAATATTCACCATCGAACGCAAACAATACGGGATCAAGCCTCAACAATGCTTTCTCACCCGCTGTCTGAAGCTTCATGCGCAAGTACAAGATCTGTGCTTCCAAGAACTGCTCCAGCATCATGCGAAACTCCGACAACAATACGCTGCGGTTTTGAAAGGCAGGAAATGGCGAAACGTCCATTGATGAAGTCTGCTCCACTGGATCTTCCAAGTCCAGGATGGCTCCGGTGGTCGATCGTCTTGCTCTTGCGTCGTTACGAGCACGCATGCGGCAAACTCTACAGCATTTCCACCTGTACTCGGTCACAGGCAATAGCCTTGTGTGACAGCGAGGAACAGCGCAGACACGCGAGCCTTCCGTCGGCGTCACCTTGTCAGTTTGTTCCTGCATCTGTGGTTAGCGATGCAAGGTTAAACAAGAACTCTTAATGTGTCCTACCTCCGGAAACGGTACAGGACGATCACGAACGAGAGCAGATTCATAAGTGCCTATCCGAGCTAAAATTACATACGGTTAGCTTGGGCGATTTTAGACGCGACAATTATACTCGCAGAAGTCCTCCATACGACGGCGTGCTTTCTCCATACGAATCCTCTGGTACTCCCGTTGGTATCTCCGACAGTAATCACAGATCTTCCAGCGGTAATCCGGAGGCAATACGATGTTACAGCGCTTGATCCCACATACTCGCGCACTGGTGCCGCTAGGAAGTTGAGAAGCAAGCACAGGGATGCGAATCTTGATCGTGGAGGAGTCTTTGGCATCAGGGTCCAAATCGACATCTTCGTCTTCCGAGGAGAGATCTCTCAAGTCGCTGTCCCATCCGAAGACGCGAACCTTGTTAATTTTAGGTTCCGCGCCAGCTTCTCTACCACACCCAGTAATGGGTGTACTGGAAGTACTCGCGACTGCCGCGGAATTAATGACGACTTGTCCGTCAGGAAGCGCTGACAATGGTAGAACTTTGTCTGCAGCGTCAAGGACCGCTCCCTGTGAGTGCGAAGCTAATACTTCTGGCCCACTGCTTGTCGCAACTCGATCCACCACGACTGCCTTTAGTGTATCGTGCGACGGGGACCCAACGCCATGCATGGCCTCGGCGGAATTTGAGGCACCCCCATGTGTACCGTCCGCCGGTAAAACAGGCTCTGCAGTTGCATTTGCAGCGATAGCAGCCTGCTGGCGCTCTTTCCAGCGCTTCAAGCTGCAGTTATAACACCTCTGCCATGTAGCTGACAGAGACACGGTTCCTCCGCACCCAAGCGTTTCACAGGTGCGCTATAAGAATCCTTAGTCTAACGCATGTTAGACAGTAATTGAGCATCACTGACTTGGACTAGCTGAGGGCTTGGAGAACGAGCGGTAGTGTTGAGGACTAAGGGTGAAAGCCGCGAAGGCCCACGTTCTAGGACAGCACCTGGAGGTGGGACATCATCACCAACAGCTTTCGATGTCGAGTCTACAGAATCTTGTGCTGCAAGCTCCTCATCCTACTTGGCAGCTCAGACACAGTGATGTCGAAAAAAAACCTCGCATCTCACTAACCTCAGGATACATCAACTCAAGGTCCAAATCATCATCGTTGCGTGCACCAAATTCCGCAAACGTTTCCTGTGGGGGCTGTACAAGGGCCTCGGCCTCCTGTGCAGTATCTATATCCCGCTTCAAATTGCCATGTTTCAACTGCATTCCAGACAGAAGAATATAGAAAACGACTTTACCTTGACCTTCGAGATGAGCACATCAGAGGGAAGTTCGTCCCGTCTCATGCGCTTCGGAAGGGACTTGGGGGCAGGGGGTAGTGCAGGTGCTCCACGGCCAAATCCCAACCGCAGACACACATCGCAAAAGTTGAGAAGTTGGTTGGGCGCCAGTTGCGCTCCACAGCCGAAGCGCATGCACACACGCATGGGCGTCACGGGCGCCACACCAACCTGGCGTCATTCATGGTCAAAGTTCATATAAGGGAAGAATTTATGAATACTCACAGGGACAGGGGAAGGAGCAACAATTTCTCCACGGGAGTTGAAGAAACACGGGCGGGAAGAGTCGCAGGGTGGCGATGTGGGTGGGAGGAGTGACGGTGTGTGCGGATTAGTGCGCCTTGTAGGCTTCAGTTTTATGCCCTCTTGCCTCGTTCGACATGCAGGGCAGGGTGTGTAAGAGGTTGAGGTGATTCTTGGTCCTTCTACAGTCATTTGGCACGAAATACATGTCGAAAAGAACTGTCCCTGGTAACATAGTCAGGATGACGCCAAAAATTCAACCCAATACAATAACCCTGCAGACACTTCCTGGGCATATGTCACGAAACGTAAAACTCACAGCTTGTCCAAGGGTCATCGCATTTTGGTTTACAAAGAGAGTATGTTTGAGGGAAGGAATACGTCGGGCTCTGAGCGGTAACTGGCAGTCATCACAAACTATCCATGGAAAATCTTGTGGTAAAACGAGACCACACTGGCATATCCGGACGCAAGGTTTTGGCGCTTGCAAGGGGACGAAAGCGGGGGCAGCAGGAATTCTTATATGATTCGCTGTAGGGTCTTCGTTCAGCAACATGCCTCAATCTATATTGTACGGCCACACAAAATCAGGGTCTGCCATGCGTCAGCATCTTGAAAAAACTATAGGATATTGTTTTCTAAACACATACTCAGTATAGATCATGCATATCAGAAGCTTTAGAGACTACACCAGCGGGTATTGGGGAGAAACAAGGCCTGTCTGTTAAAAATGGAGCTAGGGTCAGGCGATGACCAAATTGAAAATTGAAAAAAAAAAATCAGGTTCGTTAAGACTATACCATTCCCGAATATTGAATCCTCGCGGCTTATAGCTGGGGCGGCGTAGCAGTACATAATTAATTGCTATCAAAAACGCATCCCGGCCGCATTATATAGAAGGAACGACACAGCGGCCGAGTACTCGGTACCGACCTCTCTCATAGCACTCTAAAGTCACACTCGCCAAAAACCCAGGTATACACAGCGGCCTTTGCCTTACTCCTTCTCTGTTCAACTTATCGCGGGCTTCGGCAAATGTTGAAATACAAATGACGCACAAAAATCGTACAGATGGATTGCTTATATGTACCTTTTGAGTTGAAGCCGCAGGTGCCCATGCTGGTCCGGAAAAGGTGAGTATCGTATGTATTTTTCAGTGACTGTGACGCTGTCGATGACAGAGTTTTTAGAGATTCTCGTGAAGGTGATATGATATAGGTAAAAAAAACGCATGTTCAAGACGACATGCAGGCTGCTTCACGCTATCTCAATATCATCTCCACCTTCACATGTAGAGCGCCGTTACAGTCCAGATACATTGTATTCACAAGTCAGTTCATGTTATTACAACGGGAAATAAGAGAATAAATACTTGTTTATCAGCCGGTCATCCAAGGACCAACACCCAAGAGAATGACAAAGCTGATGGTATGGCCGATCTGCGGGGGAAGGAGGAGCCGCCATCAAAAAATTGGAATGAAACGGAACCTACTTCGTCGGTGTAAGGGGTCACGTACGCCCTCTGGATTGATTATACGACAATTATAGATTTTGAGGTGGAGTTGCGCAGCCAAGTTCTCATCCATGTATCTTAGCACAGGCACTGCAGCTTCCGGATACGCTGACGGGCTATCTCGCAAAAAACTCAATCTAATGTGCCACCCGTCCTCGGGTCAAGCAAACTGGGTCCATCATCAGTCGAAGAAAGACCATACCGTAAGGATGAGCATCAGCGAGATACGAGCATAAACCCTGGTGCTTTACACCAAATCGTTCCAAGGGTAACACAGATATTGTACTGCAGTATTTTATTCAAGCTGATCAAAAGCATCACGACCGAGTATTACGACTCAGTACCAACCTCTCTCTTCGACTTGTCATAGCACTCCAGAGTCACACTCGCCAAAAACCCGGGTATACACTGCTCCTCATTCACCCAGAATCGCATCAGTTGCGGGAGATCTTGCGGACCGCCTTCGCCTTGCGCAATGAGTTGCATCCTCGCTCCTTCTCCATTCTCGCCGGGCTTCGTTAAAGGCTGGAACACAAATGACGCAGAAAGATCGTAGATCGACGTCACCCGGACTTGTCCATTGGGGTAAAACGCAAGCTTGAGTCCGAGCATGGAGGCTATGGCTTCTCGGAACTCTGCGCTCTTTGCGGTGAATACCTACCGAACCATGGTGACGGTCCGCCATCAATTACTGTAAAGAACCGTGCTCAAGAACACGCACCTGCTGCAAGCGCAAGAGTCTCTTCTCTTTCTGCTTCACCACTTCCTCGAGCTCCTTCTTTTCCTTATCGAGCACCTCCCAACTTTCCCTAGGAACCAAATCATCGCGCGGAACCCCGCCGTTGGCTACCACCGCTCCGCTGCTCTCAAGCTCACGCAGGCGCTTGATGAGCGCTTCGTTTTCGCTCTTCAGACGGTCCATCACCGACTGTCGTAGATCAGCCCACTGCTGCGCCGGATTGTCGCGCAGACACAGCACACGCATGCCTGGTGGAACGTGGTTCCCGGCACCGATTTCACCACGGAGCTCAAACAGTATTTGTTCGAGCGTCTCGATTTTACCTTCCTGCTGCGTCAAATTTTTTTGCGCTTCTTGTAGACCTGAATGTATGTATGGCATCGAGTGAGGAATGAGATAAATGTTTCTATTAAGTCATACCTTTCGTTGCTGAGTCTGCTGCAGCTTTCTGTGCGTCGATTTCCCGAACGAGATCCTTGCGTGTGCGTTTCGGACCTCCTATGGCATTGTCAGCCTGGGCGGTATCCAGTGCGTTCTGTAACCGAGAATTTTCAGATTTGTAATCGGCTATGGACTGTTCAAGATGCTGGATCCGCTGCTGAGAAAGGTCGTCCACGGCCGGTGACTCGCGTGCAGCTGACTCCTCAGCAGTGAAGCTAGCCTAAAATACATGATAAGCTATTAAGACGCTGGTTTGGGGCACAAACACATACGACGAGGGCTTGGAGGAACCTGGCTTCTCGTTCCGCCAGCTGAGCTCGTTGTTCTCGTCTTACTACCTTTTCTTTCAGTGTTTGTACCTCTGCTTGTAGGGCATCCGCAGCCTCCCGAGCTTCGGACGCTATCTTATCACCGTTAGATAGCTCGGCCTCGCGGCGGCGAAGGAGTGCTGTGTTTGCGCCATGTTCCTCCACCAATCGTGCATTCGCCAGACGTAGTGCTGATAGATTTTGCACCAAAGAGATGGAAGCTTGTGATGATGTATTGGATTCGCTGGTTTTGCTTGCCCTAGAATACACAAATTAGCTTTCGAGTGGGGAGATTAGATCGGTACTTGCCAATCTTTCCGTTCTTGTCGAGCAGCTTCGACTTGAGCCTCTAGTTTTGCGACTTTCTCTCGAAGCTCTTCCATGATAGCCACCTTGCTTTCCAAAGTACGTTTCTCTTCTCGAAGGACTTCTACGCTGGCGTACCGGTCTTTGTACCGTGCAAGTTCAGTGGTGAGTTTTGCGTTGATAGACTCGAGAGAACGGAGGTATCCTGCTTGTCGCTGTAACTCATCTCGTACAACACTCCAATTCTCGTTTTCATTAGAACTTCTCGCAGAAGAGTCGGTGGCAGCGTGAGCATCGTCCAATTGTAGTTGTAAATTCTGGACTGCATTGCCTCGCTCCTCTGCAATAGTTCTGAGGTCTGCAACTTCTTTCTCCAACGCTGCGTTTTGGCGAGCGAGAACTGAAGACTGCGACTTGTAAGAAGCAAATGATTGTGAGTGGCTGCGAGAAAGATTGGAGTGTTCGTCCTCGAGTTCCGCAAGGTTCTCTTGAACGGCAGTGAGGGAACTGCGTAGTTGTCGAAGTTCTAAATCTGCCATGCGCTACAGAACAGACGTGAGCTCCGACGGTATGTATGTTGGCGTAACGCACCTTTTCCTCTTCTCTCTCAGACTGCTCCTGCAATTTTTCCTCGCGCTCCTTCTCTTCTCTCTCCGCAAACCACCTTCTATCTCTTTCCAGCCTCTCAATCGTAATATCCTTTTCACGGAGTTTGGCCTCGAGTTCGGTTTTACTGGCCTGTGCGGCGAGCAGCTGGCGTTCAAGAGATGCGTGTGCTATATGGGAAGTGAACGCATTGGAGCGTTGCTGGCGCTTTGCAGTCGAGTGCTGTGGGTCTGCAATTTGTTTGAGGTCAGGTTTCTCTGGACATGAGCATCCCGAAGGCTTGTCTCTTCAGCAGGAGGGCCAGTGAACTCACCCCGTTCGAGCTCTGCCATTAGGGAGTCACGTTTAGTGGTAGCCAAACGCGAGGACAGTAGTGGACCCTTCGTGGTAGGCTTTGAGAATGTTGAACTGCCATTGAACATCGTTGGCGTTGCCATCAACGCGTATAATTACTGTAAACAGAAGCGATCGAACTCTTTGTTTACACATGTACAGCCACCTCATCGAAGTTTGGTTTTAATTTCCATCAAGTAACTTAGCCTTCGAAACAAGCCAGTTGGCAAGAGCTAGGTTCCATCTTCAACTTGACGCTAACATTCAAGGATAGGGACTGCTCATCATGAACTCAAGCGATTCCGAAGCAGGCGAAGAATATTATGATGAACTCGAGTCCGGCGACAAGCGCTCGAAGAACGATGACGGCGGCTACATACTTAGGAATGTCCTCAAGCTTCCCCGCGCCACAACCTACACGACACAGGCACTGTACGGTATGCCTCTTGCTTGTTATGTTTTGTAGATGGATCCCCGTTAACTTCATTGCAGAGCAGATTATTGGTGGCGACGTTAACTTGGAACCAGAGTATCAAAGAGGTCTGTGAAGTCTTTCCTGCAATTCAAGTCCAAATGACTAGAGCCACGTTCTCAGACGTTGTCTGGCCAGAGTCGAAGCAAGTGGGCCTTATTGACTCTATACTTCGCAATTTCTATATTCCACCTGTGATCTTTGGTGAGCATAATACCCTGGCAAGCCGTGTGGCGCGCTGCTCATTTTCCTCGCCTATTCATCCTGCAGTTTCGCATCAGCACTCAGATGGCTCAGAAACCAAGACTTGCATCGACGGAAAGCAACGGCTCACATCAATACAACGGTGCATTTTCTCGACTGCTCATCTTACCGAACGACTGACCGTCATTTTCTCTCTTCTGCTGCAGGTTCATGGATGGACTGGTTGGTCATATTTATCTGTTCTGTGCAATCAAGCTTACAGAATCCTTAGATTCATCGTTAGTAATTCTTCTTCTTTTGCTTTCACTTCTAATCGCAATAAACACTTGGCAGACAAAGACCCGTAAGTGAAAACAATCCAATGTCGATTCTCTGGTTTCTATTAATATTACACGATACAGACAAAATGGCGACAAGTACTGGTACAAGCTGAACGCTTCCAACCAAACCGGACGGTCCCCGGGCTACATCCTGCCTGTCAAATATCAACGACTGTTTGCAAATAAGCAGATCGTATGTATAGAATTTCAAGACCTTCCTGATTTCGAAGAACGCGAAATTTTCCAGGTGGGTCTTCAACACGTTCTATAATTTTGTCGCTCATCCAAGTACAGAGAGTACAACTCGGAATGGCCCTCACCCCTGCGGGTCAGTGTATACTTGACTGACGCTTGCATTTGGCTCACTCTCTTCTTAGAGAAATTGCAGGTGACTAATACCCCTATGGCTAGCTTCGTGCGACAGCTAGAAGGAGAGTATTTCGGAGAGGACAAGCCTCTGGGTGGCGATGCCCTAGATTGGGACCGTTCGCGCGGTGGGGACTTCCGGTGTATCGCTCAGGCGCTCTACTGCATTTCAAAGTACCCTTCCCTCCAGTCCGTGGGTACCGTCCTGCAGATAGAGAAATGGCTGCAAAACCCCACGCGACGGATTAAAAGCAAAAAGAAAGCAAGTGATGATGATGAAGACCTCACAAAAGATGAACTCTACCTCTCATGCATCCATGACACGTTCCGCGTTTTCTCGCAGCTAGTCAGCGACCCTGATCTGTCTCCTATATTCCTACAATCCGGCTGGCGCGTCTCGCCTGTTGAGTTTATCACCATATGTCTCTTGATCTCCGTGGAGAAAGATAAACTGCAATCACGTGCACTCGCAGAGAAGCTCGGACGCATGCGGGAGGTGGTGCGCGAAGAACATGTAGATATTCGAATGAATGCTCGTGTCGCTAAGACATTGCTTGACTTCGTCAAGGGGACTGGCCATGAGGTGCAAAGTACATCTGGGACGAAGCGGAAGCTGGAGGAGGAAGATGTGGAAATACCACCGAGCAAACAGCGAAAATCAACTGAGGCCTTGCCAGTACTGTCTCCCACTGTGAGCTCCCACAACCAAATTCACTTTGTCAATCCTTCTGTGCTCAGCGCTCCCACTCCTCTGCCGCCGCCACCTCGACCAACAACCATTCCTGACAGACTGGCAGCCCTCCGCGATGCTAAGAAGTCTATCTCAAATCCTTCCCCTCCACGCATCCCGCCAACTGCACCCGCTGCTCTAAGGAATGCTGGATCAAGTAGATAGGAGCGTTGTATGTTTGCTCTATGCACTCGCAGAACTTAAGGAGGTATATCACTATCGTGGCAGATCTGTATCGTATCAATATTTCCAAGTTGTGTCAATTACCCGGTGAAGGTGTCGATGTTGGTGGGTAGTCTCGGTTCGATAAAGATGCTAGCGTTGGTGGGTAACCCAGACCCCGGGCGGCCGTGCAAGGGACGTAGCCCATATGCACACCCGCCACGTTTGGACTATGACAGCTTCCGGGTGGCGTTTGGCACATTGTCTTGGAAATAATATCTGCAGACCACATATCGTCTTCCGAAAGGCTGCCGTGTGACTCGGATCCAACATGGCAACATCTCAAGTACAATTTCGTGCTTGGCATATACGAATTATTATTAGGTCAGCAACTGACTGCAGCCAGCACCGACGACACAGTGCCAGCAACACGATATCGTTCAAAAATCATGACGGGTAATTCGTTTCCGTGCTTGGCGGATACCGCCATCTTAGCCTCTAGGTCGTGCTGAATATCCAATGCTACAGCTCACCAGTCAGGCTGGATCTGTATTGCAGTTCTCGCACGTATCTGCAAAGGATGGTCTTGTGGATCCAGTTGGCTATTAAGCACCTTCGGCTTCTCACAAAGTTACCAAGATCTCTTCGCGCCGCGCTTCCGCTTCTTCTTAAACAGAGAAGACCGGTCTGCTTTATGGATGTCCTCTCGCGAGACCGTCTGACTGGCCGAACGGGGATTCGAGCCCTTTGATGCTTACAAAGAACATGCAAATACCAAGGTTCTCATCTGTTCTCTGACCAGCATGGTACGTCCTTCTCTGCGTGCTAAAATTCCACTATCGTGGGCTCGGAAATCGATTTTCCTCACCGTAAACTCTCAACTCTAGATCCTACAATGGATTTGCTCGTCATTTGACCGGTGTGCTATTTATGCAACTTCTCCTCGGGGTGTCTCTTCTCTTTAGTTTAACCGCGATAAGAGATAGGCCTGCTGAATCGGGTTGAATGTACCATGCCTGGTCAAAAAACAGATCCACAGTTCCCTGTGCAGATGCGGCTCAAGCTCTTCCTACACAGCTGGCAGGTCGGCATGAGATTAGAACTATTTGCTCAGAATACGAGCACAAGAGACATTTGCCCTTATCATCCAAGACCCATGCGAATCTGCTCCCGAAGCAGTTTAAGAGGATTACAGACTTAAGTGTTAAGGATTTGAAATTGCATTCCTGACATCTCTTTCCACTGTTGCTGTTTTTATACCAGCTGTGGTCATGGTCGACTTTCAAGACGAGCGGTACAGCCCAACCGGTTTCGAGAAGAGTGATATCAAGGTTCAAGGTGAGTTGGTGCAGCGCCTCTCTTTCCAATGCTCATCTTATTTTACAACAGAGGTCATCGAGACCATCGCTGACTTTGACGATCCGAACATAGATCGTGACGGTGCCATCGTCGGAGTTCTTGGTGAGCCTCACTTGTAAATGTTGGTCATAGTACACAACCTCACGATTTCTGTAGAGGATGATTCGCCATATCCAGAGGTCCGCAGTGCTGTAGCTAACACGGATGACCCGTCTATCCCTTGCAACTCGTTCCGCGCTTGGGTTATAGGTACGTTGATTTTTTTCTGTTGAAAGAAATGCTAAATGTTGGTGGGCATGACCGGCAGGCCTGTCGTGGGCCATTTTGATTGCTGGCATGAATCAATTCTTTTACTTTCGCTACCCATCCGTGAGCGTCTCTAGTATCGCGGCACAATTGCTTTCTTTCCCTGTGGGTCGCGCCTGGGCAAAGGTAAGCCAGTCGAGTCCGAAATGTGTTCGATTTGATTTTTGGTTTACTTTTTGCAATCATTGACGACGAACCCCGTATGAACTGAATAGGTTGTGCCGAATGTCCGCGTCTTGGGTGTTCAGACTAATCCTGGACCGTTTTCAATTAAAGAACATGTTTTGGTTACTATTATGGCCACCGTGGGTGGATATTGTGCGTGCTTCAATCGTGTTGTATCCGCTTTACGATTAATAAGAGTGTTCAGCTGCCTATGCTGTACGCCTCTCAGCTATGAACTCGCCAGGAAGTACTTACATGATGTCGCTTTCAGACTGATATCATTGCGGTCCAACGAGTCTATTATGGACAAACATACAATTTTGTTTGTGAGTCCCTGAACAAGTATTGTGAACCTCACTCACGGAATGTGCGACTTCCCCTATTCATCGTGGTTTCATTCTCTTGGTACCCTCAAAATATCACATCCCCTTGACGACCTTCTTGGTTCTCGGACTTTGTTGCTGGTCGTCTCACATGTATCTTCATGAATGGGGTATCTGCCGTTCATGATCCCTTTTTGATCAACATGCTTGCATGGGTAGATCAATGGATGGTTGTTATGTCCACTCAGCTCATTGGTTTTTCAATTGGTGGTATCTTGCGGCGATTCCTCGTGCAGCCTCCCTCGATGAGTACGAATTTAGCTTCCTTCCCACCTTCAATCTGTAACTCACATCTTGGCACAGTATGGCCCGCCAACCTTGTGACGTGTGCTCTCTTCAACACCCTCCATTCGCAGACATATGCAGGTATAGGTACTCGTGGAGGAGTGTCACGTGAACGCTTCTTCCTTTATGCATGGGTGTGTGGTGTCCTATGGTACTTTTTACCTGGGTACCTCTTCCAGGGCCTATCTTACTTCTCATGGGTATGCTGGATTGTACCAGACAACATCGTGGTCAATCAGATGTTTGGATATGAGAGTGGATTGGGAATGAGCATGATCACATTTGACTGGGCTCAAATTACTTACATTGGTAGGTTTTTAGCACGTCGTCATAAACTGTGTTTTAACTATTAACCCAGGTAGTCCGCTTGGTAAGTCACCAGACATTCTTTGTCGAGGAGAGGCTCAAGTTATGATCCACCACTTTCCACTAAGCCACACCATGTACGCGGAAAGGACTTCCCGTCAGTTCGGACCTGATTGTTTCTTTGCATAGGGTGGGCCGAGGCAAATATTGCAGTTGGCTTCGCATTCTTCTTCTGTAAGCATTCTTTCTTTGCAATGTCATTTTCCTTGCTAAAAGGTATCTAGGGCTCATTGTCCCTACGCTGTATTACACCAACACCTGGTACAGCAAATACATGCCGTATGAGTTATTTTATTGTGTTCCCAGTGCACCTCGATAACATCGTACCACCGTTGTTAGGATTTCCTCGAGGACATCGTTCGACAACACTGGCGCCTCGTATAATATCACCCGTATCATCAATTCGGATGCCTCTCTTAACTTGACAGCATATGAGGAATATAGCCCCTTGTTCCTCTCGTGCGCTATTTTATCATTCATTTCTTGTATTGCACCTTATGTATTCTGATCCAGGACGACTTTCGCTTTGTCCTACGGCCTGTCATTCGCCTCTATCACAGCAACTCTCACGCATGCATTCCTGTTCTTCCGGAAACAATTATGGGTTCAGAGCAGACGCTCGATGCACGAGCAACCTGACATCCACGCCAGGCTCATGTCCAAGTACAAACAAGTACCAGAATGGTGGTACATGATCGTTTTTCGTGCGTCATACCTTCGAAAGTTTACAATCACCCCACTGATCAGTATGCAGTGATCATGTTTGTAATTGGTGTAATTGCCATTGAGTTGTGGCACACTGAGTTCCCAGTTTGGGCTTTCGTCCTGTCCTTGACTATCGGTGATTCACTTGTGTCAAATATTATGAGGATTGAAAGACTGATCAGCTTCCACAGCATTCTTTTACGTCATCCCCATCGGGATGATCCAGGCCATCACTAACCAACAAGTAGGACTGAAGTGCGTGAAGGTCATTGATGGTAAATGTGCTCTTCTGACAAAGCTGATAGCGTTATCGCTGAACTAGTCGTTGGATATGCCCTTCCTGGCAGGTGAGTCGCGAGGTCGCCGTGCCTTTGACAACTCAGCTAATAAATCGCATCAGACCCATTGCAATGATGATGGTAAGAATGTTATATTTACGACATCGTGAAGAGAAGTAAAACTTTGTCCGCTCAGTTCAAGACATGGGGATACATCACCATGTATCAAGGTTAGCCTTCCTACTCCGTCAATTCAGCCGCGTCTCTAACTGGAGGGTCTGTAGCTCTCACCTTCACTTCCGACTTCAAGCTTGGTCACTACATGAAGATTCCTCCACGGACCATGTTCTGGGGTCAACGGTTTCCATCTTTTTATCATCGCGCACCTCACTGAATGTAGTACAGGTCAAGTCGTAGCTGCTGCCATCGCAGGAACCGTGCAGCTCGGTGTGCAAGCATGGATGTTTTCCAACATTCCAGACATGTGCAGTACCCATCAGAAAGACGGATTCATCTGCCCCAACACAGAAGTCTTCGGAACCGCCAGCTTTATCTGGGGGGTCATTGGTCCACAGAGACAATTCTCGTCAGGCCAGATCTATCACGGTGCGCACTTCTTGAGCACGTTAGGTTTATATGGACTTGATGATTCTGCATGAAGCGCTTGTATATTTCTTCCTCTTCGGCGCGATCTGCCCGACTATCGCATGGTTGATTTCGTTGAAGTGGCCAAATAGCTTCATTCGCTATGTCAAGTGTGTCTTCTCTTATCCACCAAGGAACACTTCTCACGAGGTTACACGAGTGCAGCTTTCCCGTTATCTTCAGCGGTATGGGGGCCATTCCCCCAGCCAGTGCGCTGAACTACGTCCCATGGGCAATTGTTGGATTCATTTTCCAATATGTTATCCGGCGTAGATATTTCTCTTGGTGGACGAAGTACAATTGTAAGAGGTCCCCCTGGTCTCGTGTTACATTTCGCCGAAACAGACCTTTTACTAGATGTCCTTTCGGCTGCCATGGACTCTGGTTTGGGCATATCCATCATCTTGATCTTCTTCTGCCTCCAATACCCCAAAAACGGCACAATTGGACTGAACACTGTCCAGTCGTGGTGGGGCAATACTGTTTTTTTGAACACGGCTGATGGACAGTCTTTGCCGCTCTTGACGGTACCAGAAGGTTCTACTTTCGGGTGAGTTGCTATGTTGTTGTATCTTTCAGCGGTGGTCTTACGGGCGCGTTACAGTCCGACGACGTGGTAATTATCAGTATAACAACGTAACATGATGTACGAGATCTTTGTATCATATGATATAATTATAGATTCTTGACGGACTGAATGATTTTATCTTGACGCAGAGGGTTGAAATAATTGCTGGTCTGTGCGTGTAGTGATCCGTGTAATCCTAAGTTTTCTTATCTGTAAGAGCGTCAACATAACACGATTTCGTTCCTCTAAGAGAACGATTCTCTTTCCAAGTTGGCGTTCTTTCCATGTTTCCCTTCTCGAATAGAGTTTCTGTATAACTGACAGTCCACCTACTCTCAGGACCACCACCTCCCAAGGTGACCGAAAGATGATACCAGATGTGAGGATGTCATCCTTAATTTACGCGCCGAACTGATACTTCCGACCGAAGGCGTTCCGCGTGTCTCATCGATGCGAAAAAAATACGGAGCTACATATGCATCTGCTCCTCGTGCACTTAAGCTTTGACACTCCGCTTCATTTTCTGTTCCTTTATTTCATTGACCTTTGTACTGCACTTAACACGTGCCGAACACAATGGGTGCCAGAAAGCCATGGAGTGAGTTCGCCAAAAAAAAAGATCATGGTGGTGTCCGCCGCGCCGAGCTGCAGGTTTGGTGAACATTAAAAAGGGCTTTCTCGGGGGGTCACCTTCTTTAGATTGTCCAGGTGCACGTGATTCCCGTACTGTCCGGTGCTCCTTCTGTCGTCATACTTGATCTCCATTCACCCTTTGTTTCTTTCCACTCTATTCTCCCTATAAAGATGGCCTGTATCATAGCTATAGTACATTGTCGAATTCTATCACACTCCAGACTAAGATTTTTACTTACTGTAAGCATTAAACTTCAAGGATGTTTTTCAGAATTTATCAACCCTAACCCGACTGTGTCCTATATAGGAATCACAAGAAATTTTGGCTTTGACAGACTTCCACGCGGAGCATTAAGGCAAAGATCGGATTATAGCAAATTGGTGTTCCCTGTTGACATCGTCAAGCTGATCTCTCTGCGTTCGTGGGCGTCCTTTCGGACCCCCTTCCTAGTCAGAACAGTGAATCTGATGTCGCGCAATCGCGGGTGGCGCGGAAGACGGGATTATAACGAAAACCAAGATGACCGCTACTACCGTGACAGATATGGTGGTTCCAGCTACACGACCTATCATAGCAGCTCGTATGAGCAGCCGTACGGATACGACTACCACTCGAATGGATATGCAGATGCTCAACCAAGTCAGGGATATAACTACTGGCGCGATGGTGACCAGTATCACCCCCAAAACCAACACCAGCCCCCCGTCAACTACACTCGCAGTCATGAACATGCTAATGGCTACCATCACGACGAGGGTTCTTATAGAAGACGGCAGAGCCGACGAAGCGGCAGTCCGCAGAGAAATTACCATTCACGTGCTCAAAGAACTGATTCGCCAACCCCATATATTGCTTCGCCTTTGTTTCGTCGAAGAACACCTGACACGGATTCCCTTCCTGCGTATATGAAATCTCCACCACCAGCACCTCCCCCTCCACCTGCGGAACCAGAACCAGCGTATATGGCACTCTCACTTGAGCCATCACACACCGTTGACGACCCTCGCGCCTCCCGAAAGCTTCTCATACTAGATTTAAATGGCACTCTACTCATTCGATCGCAACATTCACGCGCTCGAGCGAAAGATGCGTACGGCAGCAATCACACTCGTTCAGCACCGCGCCTTCGCGCGGTGCAGCCGCGTCCTTACATACCCGCTTTTCGTGCATATCTGTTTGCACCTGAGACTCGAAAATGGCTGGACACCATGGTCTGGTCTTCCGCACAGCCACACAGTGTAGCGGACATGGTCGACAGGATTTTCGGTGATGTTCAAAGCAAGCTCGTCGCAATCTGGGACCGCGGGAGTTTGGGACTTACTAAGGAGGACTATCGTAAGTGTTTGGCTATCAACCCTTGAATGATTTGCGATGTTACGCTTTGCTGATATCATTTGCAGATCGAAAAGCGCTGACGACCAAGGATCTTACAAAGCCCTGGACATTGCTTCCATTAGGCACCAACCCAGCAGAGATCACGGCACCATCAGAAGCAGATTGTGCCGCTGAGCAAGCTGGGCTGGCTCCTTCGATTGCACACTCTGCCATGACCACCCTCCTCCTTGACGACTCTCCTCACAAGGCTCGTCTCCAGCCATACAATCACGTTTGTATACCTGAGTATACTTCCTCATTCAGGGAAAAAGACCTCCGGCAGTTTCAGTACGAGAAATCGACTCAAGTGCATAAACCTCGGAAGCGGAAAAGGAAGACAAACGAATCTATCACGGACCAAACCGAGTCGGCGGAGATACTATTACCCTCCTCAGACTCTGATCCGACTGTAATCGGTGCTACCTCCGCTCATGTAGAGGAGTCTTCTATCCCTATTCCACCTGCAGAAAGGGCACACATATCTTCTCGACCATCTGCTGAGCCCTATGACCCTACCATTCTTGCAGTTATCGGTATCCTGGACGAGATTAAGAAGCAGAGCAGTGTTGCTGGGTGGATACAAAGCGGCGGTCTTTGGGATATTGTTCCAGCTCCTGAGGCCGAAAGAGAATCTATTGTTGCTCCATCAGCCACGGATGCAAGCATTATCGAGGATCTGCAACTGACCGCGGACTCTCGGGAAGCGCAACCGCTCGCAGTGAAAGAGCTTCGGGCATCACAAAGACTCGCGACAAAACAACGAAAAAGGGCGAAACAAGCGGCATCATCTCCCGCACAAACCGTTCTTACTGCCCACAAGGAAGTTACCCAGACCGAGAATGATGAGTCTACCACCGCTGATGATCTTCCTGGAGCTGGTGTAGGTGGAGTGGGAATGTGGTTTAGCGATGAGCTGACGCTGTCTTACTGGGTTTGGAGAGGGCGCCGGGCGCTCGACAATTTGGGAATTGAAGCAGATCATGGCGTAACCGGGTAAGGCCGGACCGCAATACTATCAGTAGACTTCTAGCTGCGCTTGCCTTTTGTACCATGTCGTCATCATGCATCTCACGTATTTCAGATGGTCTGCGAATGAACCCCGTCGATCGAGTTCGTACTTTCATAGTATACTTAAGAAGCGGAATGTCTCTGACACTAAACTGACTCTTGCTGCAGGTGTAGCAGCCAGTCCCTTATGATATCGGATGAGTCATATTAATTCTTGGCGCTATGATTGCTAGGTATGACTGCCAGTCTGTCACGGTGGAGGAGAAAGCATATATGGCGGTTCGGGCCAATTACTTACTGTATCGTTATTTTCCTTGCTTGATCACTTATACTGACCTTTAATGTCTGGTTATCAATGTTAACTGCTTGTCATGGAACCAGATCAGGCGTTTGTCCGAATTCCGTACACGGCTGACTAGGACTGGACACTGGAGTGGACCTGGAGCTGGTTGTAAGCCTGCTGCTTACAACGCTGCTTATCTTATCAACCACGTGATTGTTCGGATCGCTTAAAACACCGCTTAGATTATCGTTTACGGACAGACTCGGGTCTTACTCTTACCACATCATCACATACTCATATCATGTCTCAAATTCCATGGTCTTGTCATATTATCTCCTGCCTGAACCATTTAGTGTTTCCCACCACCACCACCACAGCAGGTTTCCACTGGGGTTACTATTTAAAGCTAGTCTCCTGAGGCTGATTCAATAGTGGTAGTCAGAGTGAACAATTTTGAGACAATTCAGCATGCAATTACAGGACAATTCAAAATGTGAAAATCATGTAAAAATTGCAGTTACTTTGAACACCCCAAAGTCTTTGAAGTGCTTAGCTACCAACAGATTTTCAACATGATTCTTGTGTATACATGTGTGTATGCTAAGTACCTTACTGAGTTGGACCACTCAAGATGCCTGTTAAGGTCATACTCAAGGCTAAACAGATCTGAAGGGCTTCACCCTCAGCTCGTGTGCTGTGCCCCTTACTCAAGTATTGCCCCTTATTTCAGGAAGACAAGACTAACATGTCCGGAGGGTCAGATGAGTAGCATAGTGGATCTGGATGACTTCCGGATGCAGGATAAGTATTGTAAGGCTAATCTGGATGAGTCCAGACTAGAAACTAACAGTAGTGGACTGTCATAGACAGAAGTGGATACAGATAGACTATAGGAATCAATCCTAAGTCTTAGAGGGTGACAAGAGTAGAGGTACTCAGGTCTGGAGGACAGGAATGAGCAGAACTAAGTTGATATTCAAACTGAGGTGTTACAGAGATTTACAGGAGGTTATATACTATAGGTATCTAATGGAATGATCAATCAGCAGGGTCTGAGGCTATTTACAAAGCATATGGATAGTCTATTGGTAAGTAGAAATGGATCACAAATAATGAAATGGAAATGAAGCATAGGTAATGGATCAGTGAGCAGGACAGATATACAGATAACTGAAATACCAGAGTTAGGGGATTACCAAAAGGAGACAAGCGCTGGTTGCGGATTCAGATGAATTGTGGACTGGACTGGATGAGTGGACAGATTGGATGATGAGATGTTGGAGGGGGATAAGATGTGGATAGGATCTGAGATGAGATAAGGATCAGATCTGAGATCCAGATATGTGGATATGACATTTCTGATAATTGCAAACTTCATTCAAGGGAACAGGCTCATTGGCATTGACATCTTCTTCGATGGCAAAATGGGCAGTGTCAGGTCCTTTGTATAAATACTTGTACAGATAACTGAAGACTTTCATTGTGTAGACATAAGTGAAAGTGACAGTTGGCCAAAGTGAGGAGTGCAGGACAATATGACACTACCCATATATCTTCATCTTCATGTCACCACCAGTGTAATCTTCCATGCTCATCAACTGTTGTTGATTGTTGTGTATGTTGGGGAAAGCCATAGATACACCAACCATCTTGATTGCATCTGCTACCCAGTTGAGTTAGATGATCCTGGCTGTGTAACATGTATTTCTTGACTTTCTCATGAAGCTCAGGATTATTGCATGGCAGCTCTGCAGATATGATGGCATCCAGGCATTTGAAAGGGGGCTCAGGATTCACCTAACTTGATTGTCAGATTCATTGGAATATGCCTGATCATTCACAGTGTGCTTACCTTGATAATGATGTGAGCATGCAGAAAGCCCTGTTTCTGAAATTCAATGACTTTGATCATATATTTTTTGGTTCCAAAAGACATGCAAAAAAAATGCAAGACTTTCTCCAGGCACAATTTGAAAACTCACACAACTACAACTGGGACATCAGAAGCAGATTGTCCTGGCTCCAGACATTCTCGAACTTCTGGCCAATTGGGATTGAAGGTCATGGTGCAGAAGAAACCTGGTTTGCCATATTTTCGACCAAGAGCCATAGCATCTGCTGTCTGTTCAGATGACCAAGCTTGTGAACCTATGAAGCTAGTGGGTAATTTGATTTCAGGGTGAAATTCTTTGTCATCATCTTCATCATCATGACCAGCAGCATTGGCATGAACCTCATGCCAACAAAAACAACATTCTTGTTGTATGTAGGCCAGTCATTCTTCTTCCATGCATGAATACATGTCAACTAGATATTCATATGTCAGTCGCCCAAATAGTGAAACACAATTGTCATTATTGGCAAGCAAGTAACTGTGATACCATTCCATCTGTAAGAGTTGAGGGATTCCAGGTAGGTCATCAACACCCCATCCTATGTCTGCATGAGGGAACAGAAGGACATAGTGGAGGGGTTCATAATGATGCAAGAGAATGTTGAAGAATTCTGGCTCATGATTACCATGTTGTTGGATTACAATTGAGTGAGGGTTAATGGAGGTGGAATTGGATGCATGCATGACAGCTGCAAAGTCTCTATTGGATGAAAAGTCTTTTAATTCCAAAATGTGGTGTGTGCAGTGTGAAGATTGATGAAAATAGTGCAGGTGATGGACATATGGATTGACTCCATCAATGTCATTATTAATGGCTTGGACAACGATGCCATGGACTTCAAATTGTTGGGCTTTCAATTCATGCTGGTGTTCATCATATAAAAACCAATGTATGGAGTGTTCAGTGTGTTCAGTGTTTTGAATGAGATAATATGTACAACCTGTGATGGCAACTGCAGGTGGACCTGCCCCAATGCTGGTAGAAAAATGTTTGAACCCCCCTGAAACTCCAATGCTGGTGAAGGAAAATAAATTGTTGATGATGCAACTGAATTCAACTAAATGTTGACAGTGTGCATTGTCTCGCAGTAAGTATCCCATTTGTGGAGGAAGTGAATGCAAATGTGGTAGAACTCTTGTGCCATTTCCACAACAAAAACTATTTGCTCCGGTAGATAATAGTAAAGCATGGCAATGAGGACATCATCAGTTCCATGTTGCTGGAGTAATAGGTGCTGGTGGATGATCTCATAACTAGGTCCACCAATAAACAGGTACTGGTGAGGGAGTGGGCTGTCTTGCAGGAGCAGGCAATGGAACAGGGGTCAGTGTTAACAAAGGTAGTGATGGTAATTGAGATTGTGAGCTGAAAATGCTGTGTGCCATATTCTAAGTACAGTTATTGATTGTTCGCATTTGTGTGACAAAAATCGGCAGACTGACTGAGTGTTGTACTGATTGATGGTGTTTCAGCCTTTCTCTTGCTGCACAAACAGAATCTGCTTGTGCCCTACACTTGCGCAATCAATCTTTTTCATGTGGAACAGCCATTGAAATTCAATGTTAGATACAAGATAGAAAGTGTTATTTGGAAAGGTGAGCAACTTTGTGAGGTGCAATGGAGGTGGATGCTTCACCATCCCTATCTTTGTCATCATCATTGTCACGTGCTCTTTTACCTTCATTCTGATCATTGCTTTTGATGTCTTCTTCTTTTTTCTCCTTTCCCTTTCCTTTCCATTTCAGCTTCTCCTTATCCTTGTGTGCTCCTCCCCAGTCAAACTGCTTGAGTTGAATAGCAGGAACATTTTTGGATCTGTCATCAGTAGTGGTAACTGTGTCTGAGGGACCTAATGCAATATCTTTGACAGTCACAATACATCAATCTCCAGTAATACTTTGGACTGTGCCTTGAACGACAACATGCTTGCTAGCAGTGAGCAAGGGAGTTTTAGAGAAACAGGGGTGTCCTTTTGGATAGTAACAGCGAACTCACATGTTTTGTTGTGGGCCTGCAATGTACTGAGAAACATCCATATCAAAACCATTTTCTTGGTTGAGTGTAAAAGCGCCTCATGAAACCTTTCCTGCTATGATTATCATTGGAAAGGTGCAAGCACCATCAGGAAGAGGTTGTAGGTCCTATTTAAATAGATGGATGAGTCAATTCAAGCATGAAAGAATTATAGTTATGTACATCATTAGCAAAGAGATGAAGAGAATGCACTGATTTGCCTTCATCATCAATGATAGGACTGATAGTTGTCCTCATATCCAAGAGATAGATGTTGTCTTTGGCAGAAGCATGTTGGACATAAAGCAAGTCCGCCTGCAGCCAAGGCGCACACATTTTGTTCTCTGGTTTCATATTCTTGTTTACTAATAGTCCAGCGATGAATACTTCTCCATTATGTGCTATTGTTAATTATCTCTTTTGTCTGCTATGGCCAGTGCCATCTCTCGTTGTTTCATGTACTTACAAGAGCACTTAGTTCTATTTAGCTGATCTTGTTCACAAACAGATACCTCAGATGTTTCCATTCTTGCATGCAACAACTGAGGTATGATATCCATTTTACTTATATTCACTTATACTCACATGATGTAGCGCATCTATTTACTTTAGGTGAATATACTAGACATTTGTGTTCTCACGTGCAATGACTGAGCGCATCTATTTACTTTAGATCCACATGAGGCTTCTATAACTGTTTCAGGTTATGAGCCCTGAGCTCTAAATAGCCTAAATGTCTCACCTTCCCTGCTAAATGATCCAAACTTTTGCGATGTCCATTGCTGTTCCTGTCACAATGGATACCCTTCTGTCCAACATACCCAAGCTTGACTTAAAGGGGTCCAACTGGGCCATCTTCTTGTTGTGTTTCCAAATTGCTGTCGAGGCCAAGGAGTTATGGAAGTATTTCAATGGATCTTGTCCCCATCCTGCTTCACCTGTAACTGCCGCAGAAGTCACTGCTGCTGAAAAATGGCAGAAGAACGAAAACCTTGCAAAACATCTACTCACCCAATGAATTCCTGATTCCATGGCTCTTCACGTTCACAACCTCACCAATGTCGCAACTATGTGGGCAGAAATTGTTTGTGAGTACACTGAAAAAGGCACATACATGCAAACTGACCTTTGAAGCAAATTCCTTGAGTCGAAGTGTGCCACTGGAAGTGATGTGCGTCAGTTCCTCGATGAGCTGCGCACAAAACGCGACAAACTATCTGCTGTTGGCATCCAAATCAAGGAGAAAGACTATCAGTCCACAATTATCCAATCACTTCCCAACTACTTAGCCAGCTTTGCGTCTGGACAGCTTGCTACCACATGCCTCTATAGCACCACCAAAACCATTGAGCCTGACATTCTGATATTGCTCATCATCGAGGAAGCTGAACACCATAATCGTAAAGATGGCCACACTTCACGAGGAGGTGCCCCCTCCCATTCAGGTGGTGAAAATGAAGCGATAGCCTTAATGGATGTGAGCCAGCGTGGACAAGGTAATTTCTGAGGAAGAAATTGTGGGTTGAATTGAGGAAGAAGCAATGGTGGTCATCAATGACCACCATGCTGGAATTGTGGCTCATGTGAGCACTTCAAAGCCACATGTCCTGAGCTGGAGAGAACCCCTGGCAGCAATGCTGGCACTAGAGGCTCTGCTAATGCAGCAGCTGGGGTGACTCCGAGGAAGATGCAGTGTTCACTGTTGAAAGCTTTAGCGACTGTGAGTCCTCGTACTCAGTCCCGAATCTCCTTTCCATTGAATCATCAGATGATGATGCTGAGGAATGATCAAACTTCATTATTAGCGACAAAGACTGGTTTTCAGACATTGATGAAGATGACTTACCTTCAGACAGCGATTGGGAATTAGCAGCCCCCAACAGTGGAAGTGACACAGAGACCTTTGTTGAACTAGCTGCTGAAGTTGTTAGTGGACATGAAGATGGTACTGTCATTGAGCTCTATGACTTAGGTATGACAAGACATATCTCGCCATACTGTGATCAATTCACCACTTTGACACCCATCCCACCCAAAATGTTTGCAGCCACAAACAAACAGTGTTTCGACGCAACTGGGATTGGAGAATTGGTCATTGAAGTACCAAATGGAACCAACATGTTGAAGCTAACACTTACCGAGGTACTTTATTCCCCTGCTGTCGGATACACCCTCGTATCAATCAGCCGCCTTGACAAGCTTGGGTACTCTATAACCTTCACTGATGGTACTTGCATTATACAAGACCCCGCAGATGATGTCATTGGGCAGATCCCCAAGTCTAGCAGGGGGTTATATCGTGTCATCCATAAATCAAATGGTGACAGTGCTAATGCTGTAGTCAAGACCATCACTGTGATGGAGCTTCACAAGCATATGGGCCATATTGCCCCATCCGTTGCATGATGTCTTGCCAAGAGCAGGCTTGTCTCCAGCGTCAGAGTTGATCTATCCTCTGGGGAAACCATGTTATGTGAGTCTTGCATGTATGCCAAGGCGACACACAAGCCTATAGCCAAGATTTGAGAGGGTGAGTGTGCAAAAGACTTTGCCAGGGAAGTCCATACCAATCTATGGGGTCCTGTGCCTGTCACAACCTTGGGAGGACGAAGCTATTATATAAGCTTCATGGACAACAAGATGAGACTCACATATCTCCATCTCCTTTGTCACAAGAGCAAGGCTTTCTCTGCCTATTAAGACTTTGAAGCCTGGTGCCACACTCAGCATGATGCCCATATCAAAGTCCTTCACTCTGACCATGGTGGTGAATATCTTAGTAAAGAGTTCATTAACCATCTCAAAGCTGCTGGCACACAACAAAAACTCACTGTGCATGACACCCCACAGCACAATGGAGTAGCCAAGTGACTCAACTGCACACTATTGGAAAAGGTCCATGTGATGTTGCATGAGAGTGGGTTACCACTGTACTTTATGGGGAGAAGCTGTTTGACATGCCATTTGGTTGAAAAACCATACCCCAACCAAGGCACTTGAAGGTGGTACTCCCCTTGAGGCAGCCACTGGAAAGAAGCCTGATCTCCATCGTATCCATCCCTGGGGATCCCATGTTTGGGTGCACATTGAGAATGGAAGCAAACTTGGTGGCAGAGTTGCTGAAGGTCGATGGGTAGGCATCGATGATGGGAGTGAGAATGGGTGCAGGGTGTATTGGCCTGCCAAGCACTTGGTATCTGTGGACATGAGTGTTTATTGGGACCCATGTGATGTTGAGCTGTTTCATTGTGAGGGAGAGGAAAGTGATAACATACCTAATGCAATGATAATGCCTACATCACAAACTCCCACAGTACCACCTAGCATGCCAGCATCAGCCCCACGAACTCCACCAGTACCCCCTCCCTCCAAGATCCCCATCCTCAGTGACTTCTCCCATTCTTGATATGGTTGCTAAATGAGTCTGGAAACCAAGTCAGTGTGTACTCAACATAATGAAGGAAACAGGTACTGTACCTAGAGGTATCCAACTACTGAACATCCCACCTCCAACTGTCAAAGAAGCAGTGAATGAGGGAGAGAATGCTGCAGAGCAGCTCATGGCCATCCTTGAAGATTCAGACGACGAACTCTGTTCTCTCAACTACACCATGGCAATTGGAGAAAGGATTGAAGAAGTGGAAGCCCTTGAACCAAGCACATTAGCCAAGGCAAAGTGTCGCCCTGATTGGGCGCAATGGGAGGAAGGTATAAGAGAAGAGTTAGCAACTCTGAAAATGGCAGGAACCTGGGAACTTGCAGACTTACCTGCTGGAGCTAACCTTGTAGGCTCCAAATGGGTATTCCATGCAAAGAAAGATGCTGCAGGCAATGTAGTATGCCACAAAGCTCGCCTTGTTGCCCAAGGCTTTTCCCAAGTACCCGGTGTTGATTTCTTTGACATTACACACCCATCACGAACCTCTCATCAATCAGGACAGTCCTTGCCTTATCAGTGCGTTTGAATCTAGAACTGCATCAAATTGACATCAAAGGAGCATACTTGAATGGTAAACTCACTGATGACGAGGTTATCTACATGCACCAACCTCCAGGTTTTGAATCCACTGAACACCCAAACCAAGTCTGTCACCTTCACAAAACACTATATGGCCTGAAGCAGAGTGATTGGTGTTGGTACCAATGGCTTGTGGAAATTTTGGTGGAGAAGCTGGGATTTAAGCAGTGCGCTGTGGATCAAGCCATTTTTCATAGGAGGAAAAAGGATGGGGAGCACACCATCATTGTCATGCATGTCGATGATTGCACACTCGCAGCTAAGTCAATAGACAAGATAAGTGAGCTGAAGAGTCAGATTAGAAAACACGTGGAAATTACCAACCTCGGCGAACTCCATTGGTTACTTGGCATCAAAGTCACATGAAACTGTGATGAACACACCATTTCCTTGTCACAACGCTCATACATCGAATCCATTATTCATCGTTTCAGCCTTGACAATCTCAAACCTGTCTCCAATCCTATGGAACCTAGCACTAGACTGCATTCTGGTCAGTCCCCTTCCACAGGTGCCGAATTTGCAGCAATGTGACACATTCCTTACTGAGAAGCAATTGGATGCTGTCAGATGCATCTATCGATACCTTCTAGGGATGAAGGATTTGAAGTTGACTTACAGAGGGATTGAAGGAACACTGATTGGGTATGTGGATGCAGATGGTAGTATGGCTGAGGACAGAAGAGCGATTTCAGGGTACGCCTTCTTGATTGATGGTGGAGTGGTCTCGTGATCTTCCAAACAACAAAATATTGTCTCCCTCTCTACCACAGAAAGCGAATATGTTGCAGCAACCCATGCCACAAAAGAAGCGCTGTGGCTGCATTCACTCATCAGCGAGTTATTTACCCCCATCACTACTCCTACCACGTTATTCTCCAACAACCAATCCACTATTGCTCTCACCAAAGACCACCAGTATCATGCTCACACCAAACACATCGACATCCATTTCCATTTCATTTGTTGGGTCATCAACAATGACAAACTTCACCTAATCTACTGTCCTACTGCAGATATGATCGCCAATACCTTAACTAAGGCCCTGCCATCGCCTAAAGTCAAGCACTTTGCCATGGAACTCGGACTACATTTGACTTGAGGGAGAGTGTTGGAAATAAAGCAAGTCCACCTGCAGCTGAGGCGTGCATGTTTTGTTCTCTGGTTTCATATTCTTGTTTACTAATAGTCCAGTGACGAATACTTCTCCATTATGTGCTATTGTTAATTATCTCTTTTGTCTGCTATGGCCAGTGCCGTCTCTCGTTGTTTCACGTACTTACAAGAGCACTTAGTTCTATTTAGCTGATCTCGTTCATGAACAGATACCTCAGATGTTTGTGTTCTCATGTGCAACAACTGAGGTATGATATCCATTTTACTTATATTCACTTATACTCATGTGACATAGCACATCTATTTACTTTAGGTGAATATACTAGACATTTGCATTCTTGCATGCAACGACTGAGCACATCTATTTACTTTAGATCCATGCGAGGCTTCTATAACTGTTTCAAAGCAGTGTTTGCACCAAAAGTAAACACATTGATATGAACATCTCCTATTTCTGGAGTTGCAATAAAGCCATTGTATTGCCAATAATTCTTTTTACCTGCTTCCATTCTGAAGTCCAACAACACCATGAAATGAAGTGGATGTCGCCATAATAGTTATGAGCAAAGAGCAGTAAAAAGGAGTCAGAATCATGAGCACAAAATAACACAGCATGATGTGGTGGACGCAATAGCACCCATTCCCGGTGGCATCTCATGCTTAACATATGTAGATTCTATGCTCCTAGGTCAAAGAATGATCAAGGGAACATGACAAACAACTCCACATGATATTGAACCTTCAATATACTAATGAGCAAATGAATCAGATCAACAATCAATGAGTGTGTAAGGCTGAACCATAAATGAGGGTATAGATGACAGGTAATGCAAACATGATATAACTATTTGGGCAAAACCCAGATGGGCTTCAGACTGAGACACGCCTTGAAACCTCCTAAAGGACAAAGGGAAAAAAGCTGAGCTGAGATACCCTGATATAAGGAGCAAACAACACAGCTAGCGTGAGCTAATTCCCAAACATAAGGAGGTTGTAATGCACTTACTGCAAATGCATTAGAGTGGGGGAGGCAGAGCATAGTGCATGAAAGGCTCAAGCAATGGTTGATCTTGCAAGAAAGGTGCCATGACTAATGCATGCTTCCGTAGATACCCCACAAACACGTCACTGCTCCAATGACCCATAGTCTTTACATTGTTGAAAGGAACACCATGCAAGAGATATTCAAGTGTCCCTCCAATCTGAAGACCATGGGCTTTCAGACACCCTATGCCCAATGTTTCACTTGCCTTTTGAACACATTTCATCAGTTCTCCCCGTGTCAGTGGGCACATGCCAGTGCGGTGTCACCAACTAAATAGAGCTGCAGAGGGTGGGGGTTGATTAACTAGCAAATGGGTCGCTAAGGCTGCCTGGGGGTCAGATGGCCCCGATTGAGCAGCCCAGTACACATCCTCTCCAACTAAGGAAGTCTTCATTTGTGGCAGGTGGAAAGTCACAACTTTAAACCCATGATGGTCTATATCATACCGCAAGTCACTCACTTTGACATGACGTTGCGGATCAAAACTGTGCAATGAAGGTACTGTGAACTCCCCAATGCGACCTATGGTGTAGAATAATGTCATTAGACAGGCATAAACTGGCAGCAGTGTAATGGCGTGGATAAGTCTAGAGTTGAGCGAATGGCTAGCAAAATATCAACTGTGAAAGGTGCCCTCTTCGGTCATTTGGAGTTGTCTGGCTCTAGACGACTGACCTCCACCTAGGGCCAGGGTGCATTGATCATGGTCAGTGAGCCATGGCTGGCCATGGAGCAGGTGCCATGCTCGCACTGCATAGAAATAGTTCTCAAGTGTCTTTCCTGAATATAACCCGGAACAGGCCACTATAAAGGCCAAAATCAGAACTGATGAGGCTGGACAACGTTGTGCCTCTGGGATCACACACGCATCACAGAATACATGAAAAACTAAGAGTCCAGAGCTTGTAGGTCTCCCTGGTACTGGGAGCATGGGAGTTGGCTAACACAACAAGGATGCAGTCAATGTCACTGTCCAAAATGCCAATCAGTGACCCATTATGATCAATCCGTGAGCGAGCCACTTGAGGGAGCCATAGACAGAGCCAATCCCTTGCTAGACAGTGAGGTTGCAAAGAGAACATATGAGGAGTCAGGGCCGTACTGTAGGGACGAGGTTGAGCTGATATCAGAGGTGAAGGAATGGGTGCTTGGTGTGTGAAGCATGACAGGTTAGTCATGCCAGGTGTCACGGAAATGGACAAGTTCCTCCCCCCAGTCCCAAGTATCTGCAGACTCTGACGGGTCATTGTCACCTGGTTGACCATTGTCACCCCTTGGTTTGTTCCCGTTTGGGAATAGGTTGGCATCATGGATGAGCTCACGGAGCTTGTCTGGGAGAGGCACCAATGGTAGGAGGAAACAGCGGGGAGGGTAGACACCATGGGATGGACCTGTCTGCTGGATTGTTACTGCTGGGCACATAGCAGAGGTGGAAAGATGAGAGGTTCCCAGGTGATGCGAGCAGGTCAAGGATCCATCTGAAGACAAGGTTGGTCTCCCTGTTTCAGCTCTTCCCATTTCGCCAGCCATCAACAACCCCTTGGTTATCGCAGAAAACACAAAAGTGCGAGGGGGAATCATTGTTCCTGTTGATGAGGGTGGCCCAAATGAGCAGTTTGAAACTGATGGCCTCTGCCCACCTGATGTCCCATTGACCACCAAGGGATCTCCAGTTCGGGCAAAGGGTCCATGCCCTCCAATACCCATTGATAACAATTGCAAGTCTGACAGAGGTGCTCACATCGGAAAAACTGCAGATGTCAATGAGTTTGGGTGAGTGGGAGATGGTCCATTCAACAGAAGGTGAGCTGAGTTTTGTGAACCACCAGTTGAGGTCCTTGTCAAGGTGTCGGACTGGGTGGTAAGGAGCGAATGGACGGTTACTACATACACTGAGCATGCTCTCCAGTGAGGTGAGGTAAGTGTGGCCTGTTGGAACGACCAGGCAGGCATGTAACAATTTGCCATAGAGTTTTTGTACCTCCAGGAGGGTGTGTGTCTTCTGGGATCTCCACTCAGAGATCACTGCCAAATATTTATCTTTTTTCACCTTCAACAGTTGGACAATGCAATGAATAATGCTCCAGAGCAGGCCGAGGTAAAGAAACTCAAAGGCAAAGGCAGTGTCCTTTGTCGGCTCCCAAGGTGTACCAAGGGTATGAGAGATCCTGTTGATATCGGCAAAACAGAAGGCAAAGGCAGAGTCGAAGATGGAGTGGGGGGAGGATAAGGAAAGATCTCACAAGGGAAAGCTGCAATCTTCAGCATAGACATCAAAGGTTCCATTGTCAAAGGTGTCACCCTTGTACCATAGCCGTCCCCCGGATTGTTGTTGACCTGCGAGAGCCAAGATAGAATGCACTGATGCATGAAGGGTATTATAACTGTCAATGTATTCACAGTGAATTCGAAAAAATAAGTGGTCGTCAACCCACTTCATGAGAGGACCGAGTCCTGATGCATGCATAATATCAATCCCAGCGTCTGCCACATGGCCATACACCCCGGCAGATGGTCCCATCCCAAAAGACAGGCATGTGTCTGCACAGAAATCCCCATTTGGTAGTCGCACAATGGCAGCAGGCCATTGCAAATGATGCAGAGGAACAGTTCTATAGGCCTCTGCGACATTGTGGGTCACTGCCTGGGAACCTGGAGGGAGCGAGCAAATGATAGTCCATACTGTCTCAAAGGTTCCCCAAGTACATGGGAAGTCATCAGAGTTGACGCTCACATTGATGGAAGGGTTGCAGTAGGTTGGTGAAGGTAACAGTGGGAAGGAGAAATTTTGTATAATGTGAAATTTTCCCGGTTTCCCAGTTTTTGGTATGATTGAGATGGGGGAGGATTGAAAGGGTCCGATAGCAGATAGGAGTTCAATGTATGTAAATGGCCCAATGTACTGGCCAGTAGCAAGTTCTCGAGAGAGAAGGGATTCAAAGGCAGCCTGAAAGGCGAGAAGAGAAGGGCTGTTAGGAGGCGTCTGTGTACAAACAATATGGGGGAGCTTAATACTGAAACCAAACTGTAAACTGGTAGCCAGATCAGGGTATTTGGTGGTAAGGTTGTGAGTATGTAGTTCAGATTCCCAGGCATCGGGATTATACGGTGATATTGGGTGGAGCTGTCTGTGTGCAAGGGCAGTCCTGGGCCCTGTGGGTGGTGGCGAGGCAACCCAAGCAGATGTGACGCTCTTTGTGTGACTGGCTGGTGCAATGGGCTCATTGCCAATTGACACATAATGGTTTGTCAGAACCATGAAGGAGGAGTTGTTTGTTGGCTTGAGTTGCAACTGTGGGGGAAGCATTGTCCCATAAGCGCTTGATGGAGCAGGCAATAAAGTTGTGTCTGTTCCTTCCCAAGCAAACAGCACACACAGCTGAGGAACGTGTGCCATGTGCGCCGTCGCGAAAACCCAGCCAGGAGACCATTTGGCGAGCAGGTTGGCCAGTAGAGCCGTTCTTGCCATATTTTGGCGAAGTGGAGCATCTCTTATTGAGTGGAGACCTAGAGCAATTAGATCTCTTTGACCGCTGGCCATATGAGTTCTCCCCCTGACCATTTCAGTTATTGGGGCTGACAAGCATCTGTGGGCCACAATAAACACAAATGCAAGAAGGCACACGGAAGGCAAGCGCAGTGTACAAACGCAGGAGACAAATGCATGCTAAGGCACAGAGGACACCAGTACATAGCAAACCATGTCATGTAAATGCAAAAGGCACCCAGGCAAGAGTTTGACGTACGAATTAAAATGTATGTGAGAAAACGAAGGGTACAAGTGAGAATGTCACTTATGTTGAAAGCAGGTGAAACGTACCTGAGCATCATAGGCTGCATGACAAGATTCACGCATGATACAGTCAAAAAGGCGTGCAAGAACAACATCACTAATTATGGACAGGTCCCAAGCACCAGTGCCCAAGGCAACTGCATTGTGCCATGATCTGCATTGTTCTTCTTGGTAGACCATGAGCACTTGCTGGGTGATTTTGTCGTTGGAGTTCCAGTATCGGTGAGTCATAATTGCACCCCAAAAACGCGCAAGCATCAATATGCATTGTTCAGGCCAGTCATGCTTTTCCAAGTCAGCAACAATGCGTGGAATAGCTTGTGCAAAATTAGCTGGGAGGAGGAGCTGATCTGGCACCACATGTTTGGACGGTTTGGAGGCTGCTGTGCTGAGCCAAACTGTGGCTCCATTTTGCTCTGAGGGTATCAAACCCTCATCATCCTGAGTGTTCTGAGGGGCGAGAGTCTCATCTAGACTGTCATTGGTCCAATAGTATAGCTCAACGAATTGGCCCTTGTCAATTTTCCATAAAGCGAAGTCTGATACAAAGGCCTCATCTTCATTGGTGTCAGGGCGAGGTTGCATGAGAATCTCTGTGTGTTTAAACTTGTTCTTCTTCCTCTCATCCAAACATGCTGTCTCTTCCTCGAGTTGATGAGCTTGTTGGAGGCACAGTGACTCTTCTCCTGCTAGATGTTCTTGTTCAGCTCGAAGATGTTCATCTTCAACTACCTGTTGTTGCCACTGGACGCACAGATCATCATTGGTAGCAACCCAAACAACCTTGAGTGATTCAGCGGCTTGGGCATTGGTGACTGTAGTGGAGACAAAAGGTGTATGGGAGGCATGGTGCTGGTCGCTCGTGAAATCCGGACACACTAATAAACTCAGGTCAGAATGGAGTCTGTTCATTGAATATTCGAAATGGCAGGCGAAAGTTCAATTCTTTTGAATCAGGCAGAACAGAGTATATTTGAGAAAGTTATCAGTGAGAGCAAGAGTGCGATATGCGCAATCAAAGTAGGGGTAGGAAAGGCGGATGTGTCATCTTACTCGAAGCGGGCATAGACCTTATTTTTACTACAGGTTCGTGCCTCACCCTTAGTCAAAATTCAAACTATGTGCCGCTAATACCAAGTAGCCGAGTCCGTATGTACCAGTGTACGCTTATTAATGAGTCCATGTACCGTATTACTAATGTTTGACTCGTGTTTGTTTACTAACTACAGTGACTGCGCTCGGACTTGTTCATGTCCGGCTCATCACAACAAGAAATACAGCTGTTTACAGTTCAAAATCCGATTCAGAATCGGGCGAAGCGCCTCCGGAGGCGCTTCAACGATTCAACGCGATTCAACGTCAAATCCGATTATCAGCGTCCGAAATCGCTTTCTGAATCGCACGCTGAATCGCCTCAAAATCGTTCACTCTGACTACCACTAATGTTGCAACAATCCCTCGAACTCCATACGATGTTGTTTTTTGTGACAGGCCTCTTACTGGGGTTGTTCAGTCAAGTAAGAGCACAGAACCTTACAAGTGCATATATATCGACTATCAGTGAGCGACTGGCCCAGGGTGCAGTGCACAGGTGAGCATAGGCTGTCACTTAATATTATGGATTGGGTAGTAGTCCCACTTTTCTGTTCTATTCGATGGCCCCAAGGATTATGAATCTCACTGACAGCACCTCATTTATTTCTGTAGTTGGGAGTATGGAACGCGTGCCGAGGCTCTCCTGGAGCTCAATGCGCCGACGTACTCCGTCGTGTCTTTCAATGCTGTCCCACCTCCACATAGTATTCCATCTAATATATCAAGTGCACTTGGCGAAGTGTTCACCATTGCTCATGACGTCGTCGTCGCTCGAAGCTTGTCCAATATTACTGGGCCCCAGCCCCTGATCGCTGATACGAGTGCAGGGGATCCAGCAAGTATCGGAGTTGCCGTGTTACTTGCAAACTGGACGGGGCAGGGGGCCCTAGATGGACTAGACTATGCAGGGGCAGCACGGGACCAACTCAACTACCTGTTTCAAAACGTGTCCAAGACCAGCGATGGTGCCCTTTCTCACAGAGTAGGCCAATTGCAACTTTGGTAAACATAAAAGTCATCACTCGACGCTTCCGTAAATAACTAACGTCCTCGCGTAGGAGTGATTCTGTGTACATGGTTCCTCCGTTTTTGGCATATTATGGTGTCCTGACACAAAACAAGACCATTCTGACTGAGGCATACACACAGATCAGATTGTACCGAAAATATCTTCAAGACGCGGCAGCCGGCAATTTGTGGAAGCATATACAACTTGGTCAGGCAGGAAATGACGATGGGCACTGGTCAACAGGTGCGCATATTCTCTTGAGCGTACCATGCATTTCTTGCATGGTTCAATTACAGGTAATGCATGGGCGGCGGCAGGCATGATACGGGTCCTGGGGACTATTCAACGTTCCCCGTACGCGAATTCGCTCAAGAGTCAACAGAATGATCTTGCCAGATGGGCAGACGAGATTCACGGAGCAATGTATTCTCACATTGTGCGTCCAATCCCAAAACTGGCCTGTCAGAGTATGTCTTATCACCAGACCAGAACTCCAACGGATTGTTCTATAATTACGCTGATAATAATACTACGTTTTATGATGCCTCATCAACTGCGTTACTGGCCAGCACGGTTTATCGGTTGTCTCTCCTTGGCAATATCCATACGTACATCCCCCTCGCTGAACAGGCTCGCAATGCGCTCTTACTTCTGCTGGCACCATTGTTTCCGCCGCCACTACCTCGACAACACCAGCGCCAAGCACAACATCCACCGCACTTTCCGCAACTATGTCTGGCCTGCTCCACTTCACGCCGGAAGGATGGCTCACACCTGTAGTGAATCCATACTCTTATGACGAGCAGGGCTCCGACAGTCCGGAGGGACAAGCGTTCATCCTTGAGCTGCAGGCTGCATGGCGTGACTGGATAGCAGACGGGGCACAGGGTGCAAATAGCGCCCGCGAAGCTCGGCCTCATGTCTTAATGATAGAAGCTATAGTGGTCCTGCAGGTAATGACCGTCGTTGGCTACAATGGCTAGTTAAGGTGTCGTCACGGATCATTTATTGCTGATTTATCGACACTCGTTCTTGTACTGAGGCGCATATTGTTTTAACCGGAACCCTCACAATACAGTTCGTACGATATGATGCATATTAGCTTTATCTACAAGCTGGAGGAAAAACGTGCTTGTACTTATGGTGTCCATTATAAATGGGTTGCAATAGGTATAATGAATGAATGAATGAGGCCAGTCGCGTTGCAGCGAAGTCTGAGAAGCATGCCGTCATGATGATAAAAAAGGCAAAATATGTCACAATATGATAACACAATCATTGAAACGAGGACAACGCATGGTGTTGATGGGGCCGCAGAAAGACACAGAAATGGCCACCTAGCGCCCTGATTGACGCCTAGGACATCACATAAGTACAGGGATGGATGGACCCACTTAGACTCATGTCCTACCTTGAACCACGGTTGTTACCATTGAGCTACTTGCTCATTTATGGCTTCCGCCAGCTCTCCCTCCCCCTTTGACTCCAGCCACCACCCCTTCCTCTGTGGCTGTCCCACCCACTCGAATCCCGCCGGGAATCATTACGTCGATAGTCTTTCTCATAAGACCCACCACCTCTCGGGTAGTCCCGTCGTTCATATTCATTATATCGTCGTTCATCTTTGAACGATCCAGTCGAGGATGCAGAATACGGCGGCGGCGGCGTTGGCACAGTTGATACGCCTGTGTTGACTGGGGCTGGTGCAGTTGATAACGGCCGAGGTGGGAGGGAATGACGCGAAGCAGGGTGAGTTTCGTTTGAGAACCCATTTTGTGATGGACCAGGCAAGTACAATGGAGCTTGGGGGCCTCCCTGAGAATACTGGAAGGACGGGACAAGCTGCATGCCCTGCCCAGAACCACTGACTGATACGCCCTGCGAGAAATTCGAAGAACCAGGGGCAGAAGCACTAACCCCGCTCAAGATATTCAGACCCGACTGCACAGCTGTCATAACCTGTTCAGGCAGTGCAACAGGGGAGTTGATTGGAATTTGTTGATTATGAGGCAATGAATATCCATGGGCCCGCAAAAGGGCTTCAACCTCCGAAGGGTTGATTTGGAATTGTTGCCTCACACCGTTATGAAGCGGGTGCGGGCCTTGTTGTGGCGGAACAGTGACAGCCGGTGGAGATGGCCCAGCACGGCGAGGATCACGCATAGCTGCCGAGCCATTCACGTCAAGATTTGACAAGGAACTCACACCATTATGCTCTGCGTGAGGAACAACAGGAGACTGGACCTGAGAACCAGTACTTGTTCGAATAGCCTCTTTCGCAGCTCGAATAGGACCAAGTCTATCAGCCACTGGTACACTGGATCTAATCACAGGAGAAGGATATAACGAAGCGATACATGGCTCCGGTTTTACCACCGGAGAAACCTGAGCATCGGTCCTAACGGGAGCAGGGGAAGGTCTAGCAGGATGGGCCAAAATTGCCATGTTCGATTGAAGGGGGGGGTACTTGTGCGAGAGGTGGCGATGGCCTGGTAGATGTCACAGGAGGAGCAGGTGTCGGAGGTGGCGCTTTTGCCTGTACTGGAGCTTGCGATATTTTTTCAATAGGCGGTCGAGAATCTGTGGAAGCTTTTTTCTGCTTTGACTGAGACATTGCAGGGGCAGCCGACACTTTCGTTGGCAAAGGATTTGACTTGGATTCAGTCTTCGGTTGGGAAGTAGATCCTGAGGACTTTGATTTTGAAGCTATATATGCAAGTAGTGGATCAAAAATTTGTCAAAAAAAAGTCCAACAAAACGGCTCACTCGAAGATGCAGCGGGTAGCGCCTTCGACACAGTTACTTTGCGAGGCTTCTCTTCCTCCTCACTGTCATCATCATATTCTGTGACCCTCTTCCGTTTCTTGGTTTTTGTAGGTTTTCCAGCAGCCGGTTTGTCACCTTCCCCATCAGTTTTTAGCTCGGATATTTTGAGCCTTTTGCTCATGAATAACAACATGTGCTTGGTGATCCTGCTGTTTGCTCGAATATCTGTGTGGTCGTCGCGCACATCTTTTCGCATCTTTTCAATGGCAGAGGAGAGTTGTGTAAGCGACAGCCGATCACGGAAGAGGTAAATTAGGACACCGATCATCACAAACTCTATGGGAGAAACACGAGTGGGCTTGTTGAGAGAGCGACTGTATTTCTGGTCCCGAGCAAGGACGAGAAAGACACGGAACGTATCTAGCAAGTCCTCGCGAAGCTTCGGAGAGACGGGGTCGCCCTTCAAGAGCCACTTTTCAAGTGTCGGGGCGGAGGGAACAGTAGGCTTGGGATGGTTCTCGATGAGGTAGCCTATAGATGCTACACACTGAAAGTCACGTCCTCGTGCATGACCCCAGTCAAGGTAACCCTGAAATCCATCTTCGCCAAGTACTTGGCTTTGAATCTCCCGAATGATCGTAGGCCAAGGGCCAACAATTGCTTGCATGCGTTCTACGTGTGCATCAAGATAATGCACAACAATGAAGAAAGCGGTGCTGACCTGCAGGAGTAAGCGCAACCCCTAGTTGCACTCTCTTAATCATCGTGTGAGCTAGTAGCATGCAATGAGGTTCCAGCACTTACCTGGAAGATCTCACGCTCCTGATCTGGATTGATGTCGCTGTACTCCACGCATACAATCTGCTTGTTCGAAAATTGATGGATAAGTTGTTTGGGAAGGAGCTTTCGCCTAGTATTAGTAGCGCTTGATTTGTACCAAAGCCTTTCGTTTGTGAACCTGGACAGTATTGAATAATACGCATCATAGGGGGCTTAGAGGGACGTACGAATCTTTATCTGTGATGGCATGCCAAATTGAGTGAGTGCATGCAGCAAAAGCATGTATGACTAACGTGGAATCTAGCGAAACCAGATTTAGTGGGGGGATGACACTGCAGATGACGGAATTACAAACCTGTCCATCCATAAACCTGAATCAAAATTGTGGTGTATCAGCGAATCATTCCCGTTCGTTTATTGTATATACCTTTGTATTGAAGTCAGCCTTTGCTTCCCATCGATGCAAGTTCGGAGTTCGCTACCATCATCGGCTGTTGACACCGCTGGTAATGCCCTCCCTATCAATGCATGAGTCGACAAAGGGGAAAAACATACTTGCCAAATATTATTGGGGGCATGTAGTAGTTTCGCAGCATAGAGTCGATAAGACCGGACTGCTTTAGCTCTGGCCATACAACATCTACAAACGAGATGGGACATCGCGAGCAAAATGACAAAGAGAGCAATGTCTTTCAGGGAAAGAGACTCACCACGTTGGTATTCTGGGTCAAGGTCAATTGCATTGTCGATGATTTGATCTGCAAGAAGGGTAATGCAGGATAAACACCGCTAGTAAGCCGCTCGCCTTACCGTAAAGTGACTTGGCTGTATACGATGTGGTCCGTGGTGCGCGTAGGACGCCTGAAATCTTGTATTCTTTGGTGCCTTTCTTTGACGCCGTTGTCCGACTTGTTTTGGATGGGGGGAAGTCGTCTTCGTCAGAAGACAAATCTGTCAAGTCAGAGACATCTGACAACGACATGATGAAAAAGTGGGTATAGGTGGTAGTTGTTCTGACCAAATCGCCAACAATTTAGTGGTCGTTTGAAAGAAGATCTGTTCGCCCTTGAGCTTCATGTGTGTTTAAGTTTGACGCAAAAAATGAAGCGAAAAGGGAGTATTTGCGCTAATCTGTGCTAAAAATACCGAGCACTTTCATTAATACAACTGTCGAATGTTACATTCGACTTGGACTTACGGCTAGTGAGACAACAATCCGAATCACATTCCAGCTGGGATAGACGCCAAATCCTCCGCGCCTAATTTTCGTACAGACGCTTCCCGAATCCCACATACACAGGATGTTACCAATTAGTACATAATGACTTTCAAATTTGTAATGACTTACGAAACATTTTTGGCTCGAAATTCCTGTATAAAAGATTGGTCACGTGCAAAGCGAATAGATCTCCGCCACAAACGACGCGTCGCGACGCGCCCTACCACATCATCAACACCAAACTTCAATCATGCGGATAGAAGAACTTGTGGTCGAAGGTACGACTTCAAGTGAATAAGTGAATTATTAGGTGACATTTCTTTTGAAGGCTTTAAATCATATCCAGTCCGAACTCAGATTACGGGTTGGGATCCATCATTCAATGCAATCACTGGCCTCAATGGGTCCGGCAAGTCCAACATACTTGACGCGATTTGCTTTGTGCTTGGTATCACTAATATGTCCCAAGTGAGTACAAACTGTCTTTGTTCTACATTAACCGTCACACTCACGCGCCGCAGATGCGAGCTCAAAACCAGCAAGATCTTATTTATAAGAGAGGCCAAGCTGGTGTTACCAAGGCCAGCGTAACCATCGTATTTGATAATTCAGATAGAGAGAAGAGTCCCGTTGGATTCGAGAACTTGAAGCAGATTACAGTCACGCGTCAAGTGCGTTCACAACTTGCGACACAACTGTGCTTGATTCTCACGTCTTAAACAGATAGCGCTTCCAAACATATCAAAGTACCTTCTGAATGGTCACAAATCGCAGCAGAACAACATTCAGACTTTGTTCCAGAGTGTGCAGCTGAATATCAACAATCCCAATTTCCTCATCATGCAAGGCCGCATCACCAAGGTAAGTTCAGTTTCGTCGCTTTTGCACATTTGGATTACATATTTTTGACCAGGTCCTTAACATGCGTCCACAAGAAATCCTTGGCATGGTAGAAGAAGCGGCAGGTACTCGCATGTTCGAGGATCGAAAGGACAAGGCCAAGAAGACGATGTCGAAGAAGGAGAAGCGCGTGCAAGAGATAACGTCTCTCCTTGAGGAGGAGATCACACCTAAGCTAGATAAACTCCGGGAAGAGAAACGTCAATTTATTGCGTTCCAGAAGACCCGGACGGAACTGGAGAAGATTGGCAGGAAACTGCGCGCTTGGGAATGGTCAGCCGCCAATAAAAGGGTAGAGAAGGCGCAAGATGATATCGAGAACAAGAAAGCAGAGATGGAAACGACAGAGAAGCGGAAGAAAAAGCTTATCAAGGAAATGAAGGCAGCCGAGAAGGAGATGCAGGAGGTCAACGCGAAACGGGAAGCAGAGCGGAAGAAAGGTGGTAAGTTCAAGAAGATGGAAGAGGAGGTAACGCTCTTGGAAAAGGAGCTGGTGAAAGTTCGGACCCAAGTCGACCTTGCGAACGGTAATATCACCGACGAAAACAAAAGCGTTGCCAATGCCGAGGCAGAGCTACAAGAGCTCCTTAGATCTCTGGAGGAAAAGCGTGCCCAGGCCCAAGAACTCGAATCGTCTTATGTGTCCGTTAAAGCGAAGCACAACGACACGCAAGGATCGCTCTCGAAATCAGAGGAGCTACTGCAGACGCTGCTCACTGGTCTCTCATCAAGCAACACCGGAAACTCTGGAGGTGGCTACATGGGTCAACTTGCAGACGCAAAAGCCCGCATGGCCCAAGGGTCGGCTGAGGAAGAGCAGAATCGCGTGAAACTCAATATGAGTGAGAAGGAGCTGAAGGCATTGGAAGCAAAGTGGAAGGACGTGGAGAAGGAAGCGGGCCAAGGGAAGCGTAATATGGAAAACATGCGAACGGAAGCCGAGAAGCTCAAACGCAAAATCGCTGATTGTGGTTGGAGCGCCGAACAAGAGCAAGAAAGCCAAGTCTCCCTAGCGACAGCGAGGGGACAGGTCCGGCAGTTTACCGAGGTGTGTTCTATGCTCTATTTTATGCCTACATGTAACGGTCATACAGGGGCGCGATGCAGTCAAACAACGTCTAACGTCATTGAACTTTGATTACTCGATGCCACATCCGAATTTCGACCGCACCAAGGTGAAGGGGTTGGTCGCTAACCTGACCTCGATCCCTCCCCAGCACCAGAACAAATCGCAGGCGCTAGAAATTGTTGCCGGAGGCAAGCTCTACAACGTTGTCGTTGAAGATGAGAAAGTTGGCAAGGACCTCCTCCAGAACGGAAAGCTGAAGAAACGCGTCACCATCATTCCACTGAACAAAATAAATTCATTCGCTTTAAGTGCTCAGGTGCGTCTCTTATTAGCCCGGCTAGTCAAGGAGGATGCTTATTTTTTCACCAGAGATTAGCGCAGGTTGATCAGCTTGCACCGGGTAAAGCCAACCTGGCACTATCGCTTATTGGCTACCCAGAAGAAGTGGCTCGTGCCATGGCGTTTGTCTTCGGAGATACCATCGTCTGTGAGGACGCTGAGGCCGCCAATGCGGTCACATTCGGTGCAAAGGTTAGGTCTGTCACTCTGAACGGCGACCTGTACGACCCCTCTGGTACGCTTAGTGGAGGAGCAGCTCCAAGCGGAAGCGGCACACTGCTAAGGGTGCAGGAACTCCTCGAGGCAGAGCGCAAGCTGGGAGAAGTCCAGTCTCGTTTGAGTGACCTTGAAAAAGCAGAAGCAGCCAATCGAGAGAAGAAAGAATCATGGAGAAAATTCACTCGCGAACTTGACATCAAGCTGCACGAAGTCAGTCTTTTGGAGCAGCAAGCAGAAGGAAGCAACGCTGTAAGAGTGAGTGCAGTCGTCGTCGCCGTCATTCATTTAGTTCAATATTCAATAACAAATATCGTCTAGCTCGGTGCTGAGGTAGAAAAGCTGAAGAAGACGATTGATGCTTTAACATTGGCTGTCCAGGCAGCTAAGGAGAAACAAAAGGCCGCCAAGGAGGAGTGCAGTAAGCTTGAAAAGGACATGGACGAGTTCAAAAACAACAAGGAAGGCAAGATCAATGAATTGAAGGTGAGTACTCCTTTCATCCTTCCTTCTAGCACGCTGACCAGCTATGCAGGCCGAGATTAGCAAGAAGAAGGCAGCTCTTCAAAAACAAGCTGTTGTGGTAAAGACGCAGCACAAGGAACATCAAACCGCAGTACTCGAGCTTGGTAGGGAAGCTTCAGAATTTCTTATTCTGCTCGCTAATGACTCCTAGAACAAATGGAAAAGGATATCAAGGAGGCCGAGGACAGCATCAAAGGTGCTCACGCCCAAATCGCCAAGCTTCACAAGGACATGGCAGCGCTCGATACTAAGCTTGCCAAGCACGAGGTACGATTCTCTCCAATTCTAGCATCCTGACGGATCCTCCTCATGCGACTTAGGCGGACCACGCAAGAGCGGAGCACAAACTTCAGGAGGAACGGGCAACGCTGACTCAATTCGACAACGAGCTCAAGGACCTGGAGAATGCTATTCGTGAACAGAAGAAGGGAGTGTCCGACGCGGAAATCGAACTGAAAAAGTTGGAACACGATATTGTCGCACTTGAAAAGGATAAAGTCACGCAGGCCAAATTTGTGACCGACTTAGAGAAGCAGCATGAATGGATTCGGGATGAATACCAGTGAGTAATCCCTTGCTCTTTTTTGAATATACTTGACTTTCTCGAAGGTCATTTGGCAAACCCGGCTCACAGTATGAATTTGATCAAGATATGCCTTCGTTGCGAGCCAAAGCGGACGAGCTTGAAGAGAAACAGAAGGGGATGAAAAAGAAAGTCAACCCAAAGATCATGAACATGATTGACACGTAAGTCTTTTCAGTAAGATACTGATTTTAATTTGAATGACTTGTTACTAGTGTCGAGAAGAAGGAATTGGACCTCAAGAAGATGTTGGCCACAGTTCTGAAGGACAAAGAAAAGATCGAAGACACCATAGAGGAGCTGGACCGATATAAGCGTGATGCCCTCCAGAAGACATGGGAGAAAGTGAACGGGTATGATAATTCCTTCACCGCTAGCCCGTCACCACTCATCCGCTTTTGTAGTGACTTTGGTGGCATCTTTGCCGAACTGCTACCTGGCAACTTCGCCAAGCTTCAGCCTCCAGAAGGTCAAGACCTAATGCAGGGACTTGAGGTGAAAGTACAACTGGGGACTGTTTGGAAGCAAAGTCTAACTGAACTGAGTGGTGGCCAACGGTACGGAATAGTTGTCAGTAAAATATTGTGACTGACGAGTGTTTCGCAGCTCCTTGATCGCGCTTTCTCTCATTATGGCTCTTCTCCAATTCAAGCCGGCGCCCATGTACATTCTTGATGAAATCGATGCCGCTCTCGACCTTTCCCATACCCAGCATATTGGCCACTTATTCCGAACTCGTTTCAAGGGCTCTCAATTTATAGTCGTTTCACTGAAAGAGGGCCTATTCACGAATGCAAACGTACTGTTCCGAACACGGTTCCGTGATGGCACGTCGGTAGTCGAGCGGACGGCGAATAGGTCAACTTCATCACTGTACACATAATATAATCCTGTATGATTACTGTACGATCATTGTCACCGCCATGGCTATGCATGCTAATGCGACGTATGGGGAAAGGCGTTCTCCTGTATATATGTTGTATGGGGGCCGTTCTTCAGGAAGCCAGCAGGAAATCACAAGTGTCAGAACGCACCTATCCGCGCAGACATAAAGAATAGTCCGAGGAATCTGTTTACTTTCTCAGCATTCATGGACAATTCTCTAGTCAATAAGAGCGACATACCCTGCCTTGTTTCTATCGACCAGACGTGGGGCAACTGCGCGAACGTAGGTGCAAGTGCAGATCATCAACAAGATGACCAAAAGCAGAGATTGAAAGTTGAAAAGTGCTGACTTTGGGCCTTCAGCTGGTGAACAATGCGACAATAAAAACATACCATACCATGAGGAAAGTGACGGCCTGCAGATGACCTGCAGATAGATGCGTCACGGTTTGAAAGCGGCAAAGCTGCGATTGCTTACTAAGCGGTTATTAGCGCTGATGTACACTCGGCCTGCCAGTGGCTGCTTTGACGGGATGAGACTCGTCTGATGCAAGTACTACCTCACAGCTACTTCAAGATGCGAATAAATAGAGTTGGGCACACAATCCTCATGCTGCAATCCAGCGTATACCTGCCCGCAATGCTCTCAACGATCTCCTCTGTGCATCAAACAGGGTTTAACATCAACCAGTGACTAGCCATTTGCATGTGGAAGTCCAGCGCATCCCCCGTCTGCAGTACATTAACTTGAAGCGCTATCTTCTTCGACTCGTAGTAAGCACCCCGGTCAAAGGAACTCTGTATCTTGCCGTCATGAAAAAGCATATCACCTAGTTGCTCAGAGAAACCACGCACATCATCTTTGGTGGAGACCATTCCTTGGGCATGGGCAATGAGGTATATTGAGGTGTGTCTCCGTTTAGACTACGCTCTCCCATGGAGCTGACATTCGGCCACAAGTTATGCAACCAAGAATGCACCATCTGGATAGATGACATGGATACATTTCAGTCCATATATCGACGACATGTCTCCTGCATTCCGGACTCCGTTCTTCCAAAGTTCAAACGGGGCTCGTCTACATTGATTGGATGAGACGAGAAAGGAGATATCGAAGGAACGTTGTATTGAGGCATTAAATACGCACGACATTGATTGGTGAGTTGGGGTTTTGTGGGTAGGAAAGGTCGTAGACGTTGATTGTACTTGGCGCAGCTATGGCATCGGTAAGGTGGTTGAACGAGCTCTCGATCCGAGTATCACGCCTATTTCGGGAACACCATCAAGTCTTTCATTTTCATTTATACCAGTTAGTGCCTTGGCACGTACATCTGCCTGAGGTTGTCTGGTCTGCGCGATTTCGGCGACTCAGCGCGTTTGAAAATCCCTTTTGGTAGGGATGTGGTTTGAAGTGTGAGAATATCATTCTCCACGCTGACGCTGCGGACGCTTGGAAAATGCGCCACGCCGGGGAGCGATGTTGGCTTGTGCAACCCCTTTATACTGCGTTTACCCTGTTTCGTCGGGACTTCATACACGCTTTGACCTGTGGAATGCCCAAGCCCACGGCGGGGAAACAATGTGTTCCTACACAAATTATTTTTCAGGTTAAATCAAATACTCAGTCAATTAGCGGCGCTAACCAAAATCTTGCAGGTGCGCAGCGGTCTCATCGTTACATGACAATTCACGGGACTGGGTCACTCGTTGTCGTTGACTTGAAAATATACCTTGACATTTGCTCGCGTGATCCCTTGACGTGATCTGAAGTTAACCACACACGCTGCGTGTATGAGCCATACTGGCACGGAAGGGTAGTCATTGATTTGCTCTGCTTTCGGTAAGTTGTCCATCTGCACGTTGTTCCCTGTTTGTGCTGTTTGTCTATTATTCTTGAATCAACGTACATTGCTGGACGTGCACCGTCGGTATCTATCGTGGATTGTCGATCACGCTCGTTATCTGTTTGTTACATAGGCGGGACCCTTCTCTGACTTGCGATCCCAGTGTCGTTATATGAATGTTCCGATCTGGTGGCAGTAAGTCGTATCCGCTTGTCAAGAGCACGATTGTATTTGACACTAATTCATGTGCTCTGGCCGCTTTGCCTGGGCAACAAGTTTTGGACCAGGACACGAATGAAAGGGGAGGGACGCACCGCAGCGTAAGTCCTCCGCTTTATTTACTTGAAGCGGGCTTTCCATCAGTTTAAATAGTGGTACTACATCCCATTCCTCCTCTTCACCGCAAATCACATTCTCTCTTCCACATCCGAGTATCTAAACATCCTTCATATTCTGTCACTTGTACGGTCCTACCACAGACAATGACCGCAATACATACTACCTCTTTACCTTCTCAATCAGATTCAATGACAGACCAACGTCAAGCTCAGATGGGCCAAAGCTCCTCCATGTTGAAAACTCTAGACAATGCGCCCGAATTCCATAATTTTGACACCGCTCGTCAACGCAACAAGGTCCCGCGTCCCCAGAAAAATGTTGATCGTCGATGGCAGCCGTACCCGATTCGGGGAACGCAAGACTTTCGCCAGCATGAGTCTGAGCTTCATGCCCAGCTTCTGCCTCAGCCACGTTTCCAAGCATACTCTCCGGACTTGTATATCAATCAAAACTTTGTTCAGCCTGGACTGGCTCCCAAGGCAGACTATGAAATGTCTTCCACGTTCGGTGCTGGTGGTATACAATATGGTCAATCTATGCAGATGACGGCGGGGCCTGCAAGTGTTGCTCCCCCACCTAACACTTATTCCCATCAGCCGTGTATGCAAGCGCAACTGCTCGCACTCTCAGAGGGGGTGAACCATCGACCGGCTTTGCACTCACTGAAAGACCTTCAGGCGCCGATCATGCAGCAGTACTCCCCTACCTCCTCCGTGGTGCAATCTCAAATGCAAGCAACCAGTTGCAACCAACGTTTCGACCAGGGAGTTGTATACCAAGCATCATCTGAATGCGCAGCTGAAGGGAGCTCGGTGCAGCGTATCAAGCGCAAGTCAGTGGACAGTGATGGGGCGGTACGAAAGAAGCAACAGAAAAATCCTCGCATTCGCCCTGATAACGATCCAGAATTTGTGAGTCGGTTTATTTCTTTGGTTCTCGCCATCCCAACTGTTTCATCAGCAACAGGTCGTCAAGGACGGCAAAATCATCTATAAATGCTTGAAAGAGCAGTGTGTAGAGATATACCTGAAGGAAAGCAGCGTACACCAGCATAAACAAACCAACAGGCATCAAAAGCGATCCAATCGCTTGCTGTGCCCAGGCTGTGGCCATTAGTGAGTACCCCGCTCCTTTCAAATGCGACTTGGGGCTGAGATGTTGATTTTCACTAGTTTCAGTCGCAGCGATGGGCTCAAGCGTCATGCCAAATCTGACCAATGTTCCAAGAACCAGGAAAATCTCGAGTTGTTCCACCCGCGAATTCGGCCACCGGCACCTTCGCGGTATCGCCCCCGGGCCCGGTCAACGTACCTCAAGAACCATTCACACCCCGAGGGACAGGACTCGGGCCAGCGGCCCAGCGAACCCCACCCCTGTTTGTACCCGAGTCGAATTTTTTTTCCGGCCCCACCGCGCAACCCGTTGTTCAGGCCCCCAAACTGAACTCTATGACTCAGAAGGTTACACCCTTCACGCAGAACGTTCTATCTCTGCCCGATGTGGGATCCAGTGTCCAGGCATCGCATGAACAACGCTCCACACCCCAACAATCCTCTGGTATGCCCCTCGTGCCGATTACCGATCAAGAGGGGGAAGGTGACATGAACCTTTTTGGCTCACCGGTCTCTCTCGCACTCCCCGATCACGGATACTCAGCCCTTGATTCAGTTGTACCTGCACCTTCCACTTCCAAATTTGACGCTTCGGAGTCTTATTGGGATTGGTACAAGAGGCTGGAGCAACCGGTTCACGGAGATTTCATTTCGATGTACTAAGACAAGTTTGCGTGTTCTCATTCGGACTGCGGGATCATCATTATAGATTTGAGCTCGTATTGCACTTTCGCACCTTGTATCATTTTACCCACATACTCATACACCAGACGATCTCCTAGCCTAGAATAATTCTAGTACGCATGAATGTATATAAGAACATGTATATGCAATAACCTTACCTGTGACACGTTGTCATCTTACCTCGACGCAATCTCTACCACTAAGCAAGGGAGACTGAATATCTATGGGATGGTCTGCTTGCAGGCTAGACTTGTACGACATTAGTGTGGCAGTGAGACGTGTTTCTCCTTTCACGTCGATGCAGTATGGTCGATGGCATAGTGTGTAAAACCTCGATCAGATGCTCGACCATTGAAATATTGAGGGTGGGAAAAGGTCCTTTTTTGGCAGCAGAGGCGAAGTTTGTGGTGATCAGGCAGTGGGGGTGATATCTACTTTCTTTGGGAAAAAGGGTCATAGGCTTGCTTAAAGATCTTCAGGAAAAGATAGGCCGTAGATCTGGGTGTGCTATGGGCAATTTGTCGAACGACTGTACGACTCTTCAACCGAAATTGCCCTGCGACCTAGAATTTACTTCGAGTTGAAGAATCGGGATACCATGCGTCGTACGAACTGCCCAGGTGCGAATACCATACAATGTCGAACTAGTGGGAATCCATGTGCACGAAGGGGCGGGGTTCTGATTAATAGAGGGGGAAGGATCAAGGCGGAATGATGGTGTACAAAGCAGCAGCTATTGGCCTGCTGAACATGAATCGTAATCAGCGTGCTGAAAGTAAGGGAAGGGTCAAAGCCATCATCGCCAAAGCAAAGTTCGATGATAAGTGAAAATGAAAGTTCGATCGAATGTAACTCGCCGGCCCAGCCAGCGTAAAGCGAAACTTGAGGTTGATCGGAGGCTGGAACTCGAAGGGAGCATAAGAACCTGCTTGAAGGTGATCGACTCCTCAAGAAATGCCGGGTCAACGAGAAGCATAAAGTTAATCCAGTAAGCAATAACTGGATAAGTCGATCGTGCCATAGTCGGTGGTCATCGAAACTCAATCGAGAGGTCAAGCGGCCCAACTGTGACATGTAATAAGGTTCAGGGGAGCTGGAAGCAAAGGAAATCCAGATGAGCAAAGTATCCAGAAGCAGAGATCGTCCAGGAGATCATCGACAAGCTTGAGCTCAGAAATCGTTTTCAGGGAGTGATCAAGACATCGAATAACTTTAAAAGCCCATCGATGAAATGCGGTCCTAGCCCTCGAACTCGAACCCAGGTCACCAAACCTCGTGCCAGAGAAAATACAGGTAGTCTGAGTCGAAATCGCATATTTGGAAGCCTTTGGTTAGATCGTACCAAGTGCGTGGTTCGAATGACAGTATTAAGATGCAGCAGCGGAAATCGAGTCACCGGGCCTTTAGAACCCTCGAACGCAAGCCAACCTACCTCGTGCCAGAGTAAGTCCCAAGTAATCCGATTCGCATACTCGAGATCGCTTAGATCGCGTCAAGTTCGTAGTTCGGGGTCGTCTCAACTCTCGACTCGTCGAGCACCGCAAGAAAAGCGTGATGCAGCGTGAAGTCAAGGGTCAAACGAGTGAAGCAAAGGAAGTGGAGGGAAGTGAAGTAGAAGTATTAGCAGAAGGCAGCTTTTATATGTGGATTGACAATGGAACAATTGTGAGACGTCCGACGATCCGATTGCGGGTGAGACCGTATCAGGATGACCGTGTCTCACAACTACTGGAAGAATGAGGTCGTTCCAATCTTGACCGGCGCTGGTGACTGACAAGTAAAGCCATACCGCGAGATATTCTACGAGTTGTGAGGGTGCACATGGATGTTACGTAGGCCATCGGCCAGCAGGAACGGCGCACTGGTGGGACATGCCTCACACCAGGGCATTCGTGAATTGGGAGATGCAAAAGGACACTGAGAGTCCTGTAGACTAGACTGCAGTCTGTAATGCCCTGCATAAAGGTATCTCGATAGGACAGTGGTTAAGCATAAAAAATGTAGGCCAGACGAATGAAGAGGGTCGTTCCTGACATAAAGAGTTAATAACTGACAATGTTCGAAAACGATACTAAACAATCCAACAACATGACTCGAATACAAGCACCTAAGGCGTAATAGACACGAACGGATAGGGAGAAGCATCAACCACACTATTCAAATGCTCCCGTCCGGTGCATGCAGGGCCCTCAACGCACTTGGCGATCTCCTTCGCAGCGTTCAACCCCTCGAAATATGCACCATGAAGGAAACCTGCATTTACATTTTTCCCTTTCATGAACAAGCGAACCACGCTCAGGAGAAGTACCCACCGTAATACTTCAAGCTCGTAGCTTCACCCGCAAACCAGAGGCTCTTGTCTACCGTAGCCCTCAGATTTTCTGCGTGACCGGGAAGGAAAGAAGGGGGCCAGTTGGAGTAGGAGCCGCGGAAGAGAGGGTCCGCGTTCCAGCGTTTGAAATGGAATGCGACAGGATCAGGGACGGTGATGTTTGGGTACATGGCTCGGAGGACTTCCATGACTTCCTCTTGAACGTCTGAATCTTCCATGCCCTCGATGCGCAGTGAGAAATCACCCTGAATGTCCGTGGAATCAGCCACATAAGTGCATGGAGCACAAATCGTGCAGACTTACAGTGACGGTCACAAAGACGAGACCAGAACCAGGGAAGAATTTGACGTGGTCAAGACTCTGCCAAACCGGATACCTTCCCCGTTCCTTGTCTGCATAGATGGCCATCTATTCCAGATATATCAGAGAAATATTTAACGGTGATGTGTATCCGTGCCTCAGTATCAAACCAGAAATTTTCTTCGAACTGCAAGAAGATTTTGGTATACGTAGCCTGGGGGTAGTTGAGTTATCGAAAGTGTTAGCATTAAGCAAACATACCATGACCATGCTCTGAATGGCCTCCGTCTTCCACGAAGGAAGATCAGGTTTAAACGCGATGTCACCATGTTGCAGTACTCCAAGACTAAACGTGCAAAGCACGTAGTCCGCGGTGAGAGTAGTACTATTTTCTAGTGTGACTGTCACCCCATCCCCGCTATATGCAATCGTCGTGACAACAGAATTCAGGGAGACTTGCTCAGGTTGAAGAAACTCCGCAGCTTCGGCCTGGATGATGGTTTTGAAGCCACGCTGGTCGATGCAGAGGTTATTCTCGTCTGAGAAGCCACCCATATCGACGTCAAAGGTAAAGTTGTTGTTCTGTAAGACGGTCAGGCACTGGAAGGTGCACACTGGAATACTATGCAAATACCCAGGCTGATGCTATCCACGAATTCTGGTCTGGGGCCTGGTACGAGACAGTGAGAATCGCAACCAACAACGTGATCTAGTCTTCGTACCTGTGCATCTATTGGATGTGCGGTTGCAATGATTAGCAGGATAAAGACGTCTAAGAAAAACAAACTTGCATTCCTGACGAGTTTGACATTAGAAACGTGGTAGGTTCAGACAGGAAAGATTCGCGTACCCAGTCGATTTGATAATACTGACAAACTGCTTCGTATATGTTCTTTGGAGTTGCACTGGCGATACCATATGCGCTTTGAAGGCCGAGGTCAACCTGCTGCAACTTGACGCGTTCCCCTTATTGAACATATGAGCACGGCACAGTTGACAAACTGCATGATACCATACCTGCATCAACTACGATTTGAGTGAATTGATCAATTGACGTATCGAAGATGTTCTGATAGTCTTTGAGGCCATTATAGTCATAAGTCGCTGTTCACCAGTGATGAGTGCAGACAAAATGAGATGAAAATAGAATGGTAAGCGTACTGATATTACCATAAAGGTCATTATACTCGTTCTTGACATGATGCTTTCGAGCGAGCGTCAGAATAGGATTAGTTGGCCCACTGCCCGTTTGCGTTCCCTGGATCCAATTAGGACCGAGTTCGATGGTGTACTGCTTTCCAGGGACGCCAAATGTATAATTCTGCATCCTTCCACCGAGCTCATCACGCGCTTCGACGATCAGGAAGTCGTCAATGCCCTTGCGGTGTAATGTGCGGGCGGCAATGACGCCAGCAACACCTCCTCCAAGGATTAGCACTTTGGCATCCTTGGTTGAGCGATGATTGTAATGGGTGGTGGAGGGTGATGGCAAAGCTGTGGCAAAAGCGGCAAAGCCAAGGAGCACGGCGAGGTGGACTTGGCGCATCCCTGTGATGGGTGAAGACACGCCTGATCCAAATGATGAATCCGGGACATTTATAACAGTGGGGAACGACCGTAATGCTGGGGGCCCGGATAATTGCAACCGGATACTAATGGTAAGATGTGATGTTGGTAAAAACAAGAATTTGAAGTGATCATGAGATGCATGGATGACATGGACAGCCGACTGAGGTTGCTCGTCTTCCGATTATGCGGCGCAGCGGCTATACCATGGCCGGGAATTCCCCAAGGAGGCTTGAATTCATACTCGGTACCCTCGGTGTATAACCTGTCGTTGAACCATCTCCCTGATTATGACCATGGCTCAGTCCAATCGTCTCCAGAAAAACTACTGAGTAATTCATCACTCGAGTCAGGGAGGAAATTTCTCCCATGATCAGCAAGACTGAGCGGATGGAAATAGAGAACATTGACAACAGAGCCCGTTCGGCAACCGATGTTTATGTAAACAAGATCTCACCTATGTTTCCCACATCAGCAAGAGACCCATAATTTTCGCTTGTCAAAAAGAAGTTTGATGCTTACGGTGAGCTTACGGCGCTAGTGATGGAGCAACGCGATTGGTGGAACAGACTTTTCTGTAGTCGTACTGAATATTTCGATGTAAACTAATACTTGTCAAGGGTTTTGGACTAACCCTAAACTAGGGCAGTGATACTCATGAAGCTTCGCAGCAGTAAATGCATGAATTCAAAATCATTGTGAGCTATGATACTATGCAAACTCTGTACTGAATATGTGATAACTCTCCTTATCTGCAAAAGTGTTCAGAAAAAAACAGTCATAGCTTTCCAAACAAATAGCTGAAGAAATCTTTTCATCTACCTTTTCACCATATTCTGGGATCAACTCGATAGCATGTGTTACACTCGTCAATGGGATCACATCACCACATCTGCATCTACCATGCTGGTCTTCCACATATGATCACTCTACTGTCCACATCACGAGTTCAGGGTGATTGTTAGGACTGGCAATGAAGTGGTAGTACTGAATGTAGAGGAGTGGACAGGATAGATATGATGGCATGACCAGGTCAGAAGCTTGTGGAAGATTCAGCTGAAAAATAAGTTGAACTTGTGTGACACAAGTTGCTGAATATGATATACTTTCATTAGTGTAGGAACATGAAGATAAGAATAGACATACTGATTTGGCCATCATTATTACAATCATGTATGTCCCTATTCATTTTCTCTTTCTTTACTTTGTATTACATCATGAGCTGCATGATGCTGCCGCTAGGCTTATGTCTGACTCATATCTTGTATTACATCATGATCACCATTGCTGTCACTAGATGGTCTATTCTTGTTATTGCTGATGTGTCCTTTCTTATCTCTGACTCATCATTGATCTCACACCTGCCCTAAACCACCTATGATTCACTATATATAGTTGACGATGTATCTTGTAGTTCTTCACTTTAATCTTACTAGGTTTTACCTGAAACATCCTTCACTTGAGACCTCCAATCTCTTGTCATCTGAACTGTACTTTAAGATAGGAGCACTCCTTCTGTCTTAGCTTACACTGAATGCTTGACTTATTGTCTCACATAGAATCTCGGCAGAGGTCCTAACTCTTATCAAGTTGTCTGTCATTAGAACTATCCTAGTTTGTAACAATCATTGCCTGTGATGTTGACGAGGACATTATCACAGTTTCCAAGGGGGAATTCATCACCTGGTGGATATGCTTGTATCACTCTGCTTGGCATGATCAACTGTGGCTGGAAGGCAGAATGAAGCTGCAACCAAAAAAATTTCCATGCAGAAAAGCATCCATATCTGTAGTCCCAGTGGGTGGTATGCTCATCAGTGGAGAGAGAAAAATGTCTGATGAACTGAGAGAGTGCATTATTGAAGTTGATGAGCGAATATATGGTATGAATATTGGTGGGTGACAATGATTTGAAATCTGGTGTTGATGTTAGATGAAAGGCAGTGAGAGCATCTTTGGAAAGAATGCCCTTGAGGAAATGATTATGAACTGGTCAAGGTCCATGAACAGAATGTGTTTCATCAGGGAGGACATGAGAAACCCAGGAGAGTGCCAGATTGACAGTTGTTGTTACAGTTACGCATGTCCCTATTCATTTTCTCCTTCTACTTGTATTACATCATGATCGCTTATCACTGTCGTTAGATGACTTGTCTCCTCTTACTTGTATTACATCACGATCACTTATCGCCGTCGCTGGATGACTCATTCCAATCTCTGACTCATTCTTATCTTCTTATCTCTGACTATCTCTGACTCACGCAGTACTTGCCCTAAAGTACTTATTTACTATATATACCTGGTCATGTACTTAGTAGATCTTTACTTTAAATCTTACTAGGTTTTACCCAGAACTTCCTTCACTTAGGACCTCCAATCCTAAGTCGTCTGAACCAATATTCAAGTCAAAGACACTCTCTTTGACTTGTCTTATGACCCTTGCATTTGCAAGGTCTTGATCATAACTTCAGCCGTTGCTCTTATCGAGCTGCTGTTGTTACAACTACCCTAGTTTGTAACAGTTGTTACCACCTTATCTTCAATGGATATTACATTGACAAGTGATGTGCCATGAGAATGTAACAGCACATACAGGTTAAACAGCTCCATTGACTCCTGGCAGTTGAGAATCCATACAGCCTGCTCCACAAAGTCATTGACTTGCTGATTTGTTCGTCCAAAGAGATCCTTGCAGTGTGTGATGAGCAAGCACTCTGTCATATTGTCATATCTGCATATCTGGATCTCAGATCCGATCCACATCTTATCCCCCTCCAACATCTCATCATCCAATCTGTCCACTCATCCAGTCCAGTCCACAATTCATCCAAATCTGCAACCAGTGCTTGTCTCCTTTCGGTAATCCTCTAACTCTGGTATTTCAGTTATCTGTATATCTGTCCTGCTCACTGATCCATTACCTATGCTTCATTTCCATTTCATGATTTGTGATCCATTTCTACTTACCAATAGACCATCCATATGCTTCATACATAGCCTTGGACTCTGCTGATTGATCATTCTGTTAGATACCTATAGTATATAACCTCCTGTAACTTTCTGTAGTACCTCAGTTTGAATATCATCTTAGTTCTACTCATTCCTGTCCTCCAGACTTGAGTATCTCTGCTCTCGTCACCCTCCAAGACTTAGGATTGATTCCTATAGTCTATCTGTATCTGCCTCTGTCTCCGACAGTCCATTACTGTTAGTTTCTAGTCTGGACTCATCTGGATTAGCCCTACGATACTTATCCCTCATCTGGAAGTCATCTGGATCTACTACACTACTCATCCGACCTTCCAGACGTGTTAGTCTTGCCTTCCTGAAATAAGGGGCAATACTCGGGTAAGGGGCACAGTGCATGAGCTGAGGCCGAAGCCCTTTGGATCCAGTTATCCCTTGAGTGTGACCTTAACACATATCTTCCTTAGCACCCTTCTTCCCCCTCCTTGCCTGGGCCTTGATGACAGCATCTTTGGTTGCATGAAAGTCTGCAAGGGCCTGCATCATCAACAGTAGGGTTTCTGCAGAATGAAGTGGATTTTGGGCAAGATATATGAACTCAATGAGGGCATGAATTGCATGAATAAATCTAGGTGGAGCGGCACCTGCAATCGAAGCAACAATGGTGCATTGGATATTGTGATGCTCATGGCCTGTCATTTGGTTGACATGCGTGATACCTTTTGTGAAGTGGCACGTTCCCACCTGCTTATGCTGAGTGATGAAGTGAGCATTGAGCTTGGGTTTTCCTACTACCTCCTTGATCCAATTGAGTGAATGGTCAGTGAAGAATTTGAGGCAGGTATGCAAGATCTCACCAGTGAGAAAGACAGATGAACATGCAAACTTCCAATCATGCCAATATGGCATATGGACTCTGGAGAGATGGACAGTTTTGGCTGCCTTCTGGAATTTGTTGAGATCCTAAACATCAATTGTTTGGGAGATCTCATAGATGAGTTGAAGTGTGTGTTGCCCTGTATGAGGAGGGTAGAGAACTCCATCACCAAAATTTTCTTGTAATGCCATCGTTAGAGGAGACACATTTTTGCTGACTGCAGCAATCATGCAAGCCTCTGGCAGGTCGCATACATGAGCGACAAGTGGCATAAAGATGTAATGAATGAATCTGGAAGGATCAGACATAAAGCAACCTGTCTTGGCTGCCAGTTTAAGGTTGGCACAGATGAGATCAACACATTTATGCCACAGCCATGCCTGACAAATGGTTTAATAATTGGGATGCACGTGAAACTTAGCAATGGGCATGTAAGCAATACAGTGCCAAGCTCAAAGTGTGGCCTTGGATTGAACCTCCAAATCAAGATTGCTGATAGTGATGAAGACAGGGTGCATCTCAAGCCCTCCAGTGGTTCTCATCACAGGAGTTTTGTTGGACCCTAAGATGATTGGGATTTGCATAGCACCTAATGGGAGGTGGTCCTATATGGGATCAATATTTTAAGTCATAGACTAAGCAGAGCAAACTGACCTGAATTTTCCATGCCAAATCTGCACTCATATATAATCTCCATACTCACACTGATTCCTGACATTGACTCTATGTGGCTGGAAGGTAATATGGTTGGCAAAAACTGGGTCACTGAAAAGTTGTTTAATGACCTCTAAACCATCATGCCAAATGAGTTGAATGGGATGAATTGTCTTGTAGCCCGTAAACTCTAGGTGTGAGACTTTCCATTCTGCAAAGCAAGGTAGCACATCTACCCAGTCCAGAAGTTGATCTTTTGAGGCAAAAGATGGTTTTGAGTGAGTGTTAAACTGTGAAAGAAGAGTCAGACTTGTTGAAAGGTGCTCAGAATCTCCTACCCATTTCAACTTCAACAACTTGTCAATCTGAGTCTAATTCAGATTTTTAACCAAGAACCTGGCTAGTTCCCACTTCCCCTCATCATGAAAAGGATAATGAGCATTGATCTCCTACTGATGGTTATATTGATCTTCCTGCAACCTGTCAAATAGGTTTTTTCCAACACTGAAGACATATCCAGAATGAGGATGACAGTGGCCAGTGGTATCAGATGTCAATGAATCTTGGAATACAGGGGGAATGGGCAATTGCTGTGGATGTGCTTTGTGCAGCCAATAGGTAGACTGGGAATTGAGATGCAGAACAACAGCTTCAATGGAAGGGAAATCCCATTACAGTTGGGACACAACCTGGCAAAGGTGTGCACATTAATAAGTATACTGAAATGATAAATAAGAGCAGATGATACACACATTTGCTGTAGGCAATGGGCTCCATGTTACAGTCAGAATTCACCAAGTCTTTCAAACTCCACTGCATAGTGTGCAGAGTTGTATTCACAGCATATCCAAGTCTCAAGTCTGCACTAAGGCCAGAGACACAGTTTCACAAACATTAGTTCATACACACTGGTGATTTTATTCAGTCATTCATTGACCCAGCATGTCTCCTCACTTCCATCTTCATCTCTGACTCAATCCAGCAGTTGCTCCCCTCCATCAAGCAGTCCCCCATCATCCCCTCAATCAAAACATTTTCCAACTCCTGGGTCACCTCTTTTCAATTCCTTCCATATCTCAGCCAGCTCCCCTGATACCAGACATTCTGACTTATGTGCTTCACTCAAAGGACATCTCCTCAGCAGAGAGGACACCACCACCTATGACTTCTCCAACTTCCACTACTAAAGGGTCAGGCAGCCTATTTTATGATCTATCTGCATCTCCAGACCCTTCCCATAATACTTGCTGTCAGTTCATATGTGACAGAACAAGCAGGAAGTTTATTCTATACCCCTGTGATCCAGCTCCACTTGAGGTTCATTTTGCAGCTCACATTATGGGGTGAGAAGCAAGCCATATGTATCCAGTGAATCTCTTCAGAAGGTAACACACATATATTATCCAGTCCCAAAGACTCATTTATATTTTATAAAGCATGCTGGACACTTAGAAAATGGCCTCAGGCAAATGTGTCCTTCTACCCTGTACAAAGGATATCAAGCACAGCTGGTTGCTCATGAGACTGCACACTAGTGTAGTGCTAGCAACAGCATGGGAGATTGAAGAAGCTGAGTGCTTTATCATGTTCCTTGATGCCATGCATGTTAATAACAAAGACCAACTCAAACTCATGAAAGATCAGTTAGACAGCTTGAGGAGTCTCTTTTCTGAGTGTGACTGCACAGAAGTTGATGATGACAGAGACTACCTTCAAGCAGTCTATGAGGATGAATTTGAAATCCTTAAAATTGTCTCATCCCAAGCTGAGCGAGTAGCAAAGGTTTTAGGATTGCATGTTAGCAAAGCTTTCCAATCTGGAGTTAGAGGACCCAGATTCCCTTCATCCCAACCTGGGGTTATTGATGATGAAGACAATGTCAACAAGGCATTGGTGAGATCTGGGGCTGATGGATCTGGATCACCCACTGGCTATAGGGTTCTCGATGACAATGACAACCCCATATATCCAGGAACATGTGTGGATCATATTGAACACCCTGGCTTCTGTACTGAAGCATCATGCGTGGCTACCACATCCTAGGCTATTGGCCTTCTTATTGTGGTAAGTGGGGTATGTGTGTATGTTCATCATACCACACTGATCAATTGATAAGGGATGTTGTAATACATGCATCACTCTTTCATCATGCCCCCTTCTTGACTGTATTGGTTTGTCATATGCACACCATTTTTTACATCCTTACCCCTTCATTTTCCCGCTTCTTTGACTCATGGTTACAAGTATATCACCGAGTCACAAGATGTATAGTCTGTTTGTGTGTTTCTATTTGTATCAAGATCATAATCAATGTGCCTTTTGCCCTCTCCCCAGATTATGATACTCCCTGGATGACTGGTAGATGTCCCCCACAGTGCAAAGGTAAAACAATGATTCCAAAGCCCACTCAAGGGTCCAGTCTCAATCCATCCCATGTACCTGCAGACACACAGATCAACCTCCCTGATGAACAGCCACAACCTCTAATGACCGACTTCGATCCACACTAGCAGTACCCCCTTGATGTGCACAATTCATGAGTTTAATTGTGTACCTCATCATCCACCACTGAATTTTCTCACAGGCCAAGCACAGCCTATCCCAACCCTGGCTATTCAGCTTCATCATTCAACAACTACTTAAACTCATTTGCAAGCGCCAGCCAAGCAAACTTGGGTGACCTGAGTTCCTCAAATGTTGGTGGGTGTAGCAATTCGCTGTCTGGCACCAGATACAGCAACTTGCTGTCTGGCGTTGGATACAGCAGCTCACTGTCTGGCACCAGATACAGCAATCCACCATCTAGTGCCCACTACATCAACTCCCTATCTACTGCCAGCTACAGCAACTCTAACAATCCATCACTGAACTCATGTATGTAATTATATTCTTTATTGTTGAAGACTTCTGACACTGAATCTATCATATTCAGCACCAGACCCATCTGACCTGGTGCCAACACCAGTGCCAAGCACATTGAATAGGGATTAAACAACCTTGGTAATTACTCAAGATATCACTTGCAGTCTATCAAGATCCTCAATAGGGGCTATTTCAGCTGTGGGAGAGAGTTGCAGCAGAGTGGGGCAAGATTGTTGATGAGGAATGCCTCAAATTGATAGATAGTATGCATAGAAGAGTGGCAGAAGTAATTAGAGCAACAGGAGGAAACACCAAGTACCAGAATTATAGAGATTGTGTTGGTCAAACTGAAAGTCAAAAAAGTGTCTCAATGAGTCACCAAATTAAATTAACCATATCTTCACTTGATGCCATAATTTTTCCACACTAGAGGGATCAAACATAAAGCTTAGAAGCAGAGCTTTCCCACACCTCCCTATGGCTTAGTCATATTCTCACACCCTAGCTCATAATACAGCAATTACACAAAAAGTCACAAACATTGAGACACTTTTTTGAGCCACTGTATCAACTTTGGATTGATTTCCTGATGGCCACAGACTGCATCTATAGCCCAAGATTAGATGTATCTATCATGTTGGCCATCACAGACTGTGCTAAGTGCAAAAACTTTGGGACACCACATTTGCACTCACTTCTAGAACCCATGATGTGCAGACACCCCTTTGAACACTTCAAAGACAACAATTAACAACCTCTCACAAATATTCTGGAACCCCATTGCATCAGAAACACTCACAAGTCACAGTGGTAAGCATTTCAACAACTCCAAGGTTCAAGACTTCTGCATGAAATGGTCTTGCAAAACACACATAGTAGCAGCCTATTCACCATGGATTAATGGGCCTGTAGAAGGTACTAACAAGATACTGTTGCATGTACTCAAGCATCTCTGTGCACCAAATATAGGCAAGGACAACTATGAAGCAATTTCCTGGAACACATTGCTGAATAGCTGGCCAAAACACTTCAATGAGGTGGTAACAGCACTCAACTACCAAATACTCCCTGCATTGAAGTTTTCACCAAAGGAGCTCCTATTAGGCCAAGTAATCAATACATCTAGACAGCATCCCTATCCCAGGAGGGTTCCATGCCAGACAACTGCACACATTCATTCCCAGAGAAGGAATCAAGCTAGCAGAAGAACAGAAGAGACAAGTGGAACAAGCAAAGATGAGAGCAGAGAGTATAGAGGAAAAACAATTGCAGGATGACAAAGATGTGGCTGACAAAGACAATCCAGGAAATGACGACCATGACAACGAAGACAGGGCAGGAACAATAGAGAAGGGAGAGACTGGTGGAGATGAGGACGTGGTCGACGAGGACGTCTCCGTTTTTTGAGGGGGGCACGTGGAGTAGGGGCCCTAGGGAGGAGGGTCGCAGAGGTGCGGGGTTTGCCGGGGATTGCAGCGTTTGTCAGCAGCTAGTCACGACGACGCATGTAGTGCATCATCCTTCCGGGTTCAGGCCGCCTACAAGGCGAGCAATACTCCAATGGTTAGGGAGACAGTTGACCACTCCAATAAAGGATCACCTCGTGAACCGTCCTTGAAGTCAAGTTCGAGGTGCTGATATATACATGTCTCCTCAGTCTTATTAGGGCGATACAGAGGTAAGAGAAGAATAACCCTCATGACAACCTGTAAACCAGGCTACTTCAGCCGAATGGCTAGAACCATACATAATCGCCCATCCACACACAACCTGCTGCTGCAGGCCCGTTTCACGCGACCTTCCAAGCCCAAAATGGACCTACCCACAGGCCATGAACCGTCAACAGCCAGGCGCACTCAGATAAACACCAGCACTCACCAAGCGGGTCCGGCCTTTCATGCATCGCCCCCGTCCACATCCCCAAAAACCCAACCGCCGCACCCGGCCCCCCAATTTGAATCGCCTCTGACGACCACTCTGGCTCACTTGACCCCGCTACAGTAGATACCTTCGAATCAATCAGTAACACGTACGCAAGGTATCATAACCGGCAGGCTACAAAACGGACAACAGAGCACTCACCATCTGCCATCGAATAGCTCCATCGCTGATTATGCTCACCGTACCAGTGACTTTGCGTAAGTCGTCTATACTGCGATCAGATCCTATAGATTCACCCTCGACATGGATGGTTGGGAGGGGGCTGAGTGGTGCTGCCTGGTGGGATTGGGGATTCAGAGTAGCCAGTGATGCTAATACTGAGGGGTATGACTCGGCAAGCTTCTTGGATACCGTCTTCGAGGAACTTTTCGGGTGCGAGCTGTAGTAGCGTCGAATTAGAGGGTACGTTTACCAGATGCATGTGGCTTACGTTGTGCACTGCAAAAGGGCGTTTAATATGAGAAGAAGTGGGATGAACTGAGAGCACTGACCCAAGAGGTCTCGGTAATCAAGCCAGCAAATACATCGCCTGTAATATCAACAGAGTTGAGTTTTTCGAAGCATGCTAGATCGAAACTTACTTCCAAATACCACTCACACCCGCCCAATCCCATCCTTCAACTTCGCCTTGCTTGCTCTTCGTACTCCCCTCCAATCCCTCCCCTTGCCTAGGCCTATTTGCCCATGCATCCCAATACCCAGGCGACCCACCTATGCACATCGTATGCATCTTGCGCATATACGGCAAAATGTCACCCGTCGAAAACGCAGACGGGTAGGGCGACTGCCTAAACTCCTCCCTCAAATTCGCCTCCACGACAATACGTGCAGACGCAAGCCACACATAGTCCGGTACAAGCTCATATGGCTTGATTGGTGGACTCAGATCAGGGACGCGGCGCCCATTCATCAACCCTAAGTGCATCAGACCCAAGTCGTCTTCCTCGTCTTCATCCTCATCATCATTGTCTTCGTTCTCATCCTCATCAAGTTGATTTGACTTAAGGAAATCGGTGGTGTCGCGTCGCACTGGTTGGAAGGGACCCCACATGCGTGCGGGTCCGAGGTAGCGCATGTCGTAGACACGCCTGCGTGCGAGGGTGCGGGCATCAGCAGACTGCTTGTCGTGGGTGTATAACGAGAATCGTGGGCATGTGATGGGTAGGGCAGGCATATCTTCGTTCTCATCAGGGGCAGATGCTGAGTCTGGTGATGCCGACGTAGATGTTACTAGCCGGGCTTCAGGAACGGGTGTGTCTGCGAGCTCGGGTGCTGGTACCTTGATGGGTATAAAACCGGTGCAGCAGATGAGTTTGTAGAATAGCTGGCCAACTTCTGACCCGCTCCAGTGCGATGCCGAGGTCAGAGTGGGCTGGTACGGCGCATGACCCTGGACATCGAACGACAACTTTGCCATTAGCGTGCGTGTGAGTTCAGGGGGGAACCCGATTTCTAACAAATCCTGAAGCCACGTCGCATTGACGCTTCCAAGCAGGGCACTGTAATTGGCTGTAAGCAGGAGAAGCAGGGGTGGGAATTGGGGAGAATTGATCATGGGTGCGAAACGGGAATTGGACTCGGGAAAGTCGGTTAGGAAGGTGAGAGATATGGGCGGGGATGATGGGAAGGGCAAGGAAGTAGTGATGACTGAGAGTAGTGCTTTCACTACAGATAATGACGCGGGGGAGTCCGACTGCGAACTTACTGGGGCCGCCGTTTGGACCGGACGTCTGATATACCTCGCTGTGCTAATACGGTCAATGTATTCTCGAGTCCAGTTGAACTGCAAGTTAGAGTGACCACCTGATATGGTGTTCAAATGATTCAGAGCTGGTCTGGGATCATCAAAGGTAGTAAGGAAAATCTCCCGCCAGAGGTGTTGGTCTGGACAGCGGTAGATTAGGTCGTAGAAGAACTTGCTGGTCTGGGAAAGCGCTGCTATGGAATTCGGGTTCCCGGAGGCTGCGGACACGACGAGCACGGCTTCGGTGAGTTCTGCTGGAAGGTCAGCGAAGGCGGAAGCCATATCTGAATAGTTAGTAGATAAGACAGAGCAGCTTCACGAGCTCGCTGTGCAGCTAATAAATATAATATCGACACTTCTCACGCAAGCCTCGCCGGTCCGCATCATGAGTAAGCAACCATGCGCGTGAAGAACGATGATCTAGTATGATTAATTCAATGCAAAGATGTTGAGCAGACCGTTCCTCACTCTACAGTACCAGATGCTGTTATAGAGATTTTGCTGTTTGTGCGCCCACTTCTCGTACCCTGAGCTTCAATATTCCTCACAACATCCATCCCTTCTTCTACTTCACCAAAGACAACGTGCTTGCCATCCAACCATGACGTGACCACCGTGGTGATGAAGAACTGCAAAACATTAATATCTAATCCAAGGTTCGCCAAATGACCACCCACTTGAGAACCATTAGTGTTCGGGCCAGCATTAGCCATGGACAATAATCCAGGTTTTTCGTGCTTCAGCTTGAAGTTCTCATCTATAAATTCAATTAGCATAGCAAGAAAACCGAACGTCAAAAGAACCGACCTGCGAACTTCTCGCCGTATATCGACTTGCCGCCAGTACCATCGTGCCGCGTAAAATCACCTCCTTGAAGCATAAACTATGGAAGACCATATTCATCAGCCATGGAAGGTGTCAAAGAGGAAGAATGTAATTACAGTGGGAATGACACGGTGAAAAGTGCTTCCAGCATAGCCGAAGCCATGTTGGCCCGTAGCGAGCTCCCTGAAATTCTTCGCGGTCTTCGGGACGACGTCGTCGTATAGCTTGAATGTTATACGTCCAGACGGCTTGTTGTCTATGGCAATATCGAACTGAATTTTAAAAAGACTTGGTTCTGGTGACACCTAATGAGACTTGTTGGAACTTACGAAGACCCGCGAAGACCTGGGAGCACATGGAATCAAAAATTTTACGAGTTAGTAGGAAGATATTTACTTACAGAGGCTTCGCAGTCGACGCGGAGGTCGTGAAACGACGAAGAAAAGAATTCAGCATGGGTTGATCAGATAGATACGATGCGCCTGCAACAAGTACGAAGACACCTGCACCTGTCAAAACAATTGTTTTCTGCAAACCCATCCTACTCGACACAGCCACCACTCAACCGAACCAAAATTGAAAAAATAAACTAATAAATGATTTATTACGTCGCAGCTATCTTCACTAGTACTGTCAACACACACAGCGACTGTGACTTGGTTCCACTTGCCTGCCTGATGCTATTGGACACAATCACGGCTGGCTAGTAGACAAACAGATCTTAAAGCTTGAATTCAAAATGGTTGGAGCGCCGACTCCATCAGATATGTGTCTCTCTTCGAAGGTCGGAAATCGGACTTGGCCTTCAAGTTGTCAACGTTCTCAATTTCCACCTGTTCAGTCTCGCCGATCACGGGAAATTTTTCCTCCTTGACTCGGGCGATGAATTACTCAGTAGTTTTTCCGGGGGTCATGAACCGATTAATCAGGGGGGTGCCGAATATGAATTCAAGCTTCCATTGGAGAAGACTAGCCCGGTCACGGTATAGCCGCATAATCGGAAGACGAGCAACCTGGCTGTCGTGACAAGTGATGCATCTCATGATCATCGAATTTGCTTCAAATTCTCGTTATTAGGTCTTTTTATCAACATCATATCCTACTAGTATCCGGTTGCTCGCTTCCAGATGTGCCAAGATCGCCTATAGCTAATTATCCGAGTCCCTAGCATCACGTCGTTCCCCGCTGGTATAAATGTCTCGGATTCATCATTTGAATCAGGCGTGTCTTCACCCATCACAGAGATGCGTCAAGTCTATCTCGCCGCGCTCCTTGGCTTTGCCGCTTTTACCACAGCTTTGCCATCACCCTCCACCACCCATTACAATCATCGCTCAACCAAAGATGCCAAAGTGCTAATCCTTGGAGGAGGTGTTGCTGGCGTCATTGCCGCACGCACATTACACCGCAAGGGCATTGACGACTTCTTAATCGTTGAAGCGCGTGATGAGCTCGGTGGAAGGATGCAGAATTATACTATTGGTGTCCCTGGAAAGCAGTACACCGTTGAAGTCGGTCCTAATTGGATCCAGGGAACGCAAACTGGCAATGGGACAGCCAATCCCATTCTGACGCTCGCTCGAAAGCACCACGTCAAGAACCAGTATAATGACCTTGATGGCAGTATCAGTACGTTTACCTTTCTATTTTTATCTTGGTTTATTTGTACTCACCGGTGAACAGCGACTTACGACTATAATGGGCTCAAAGACTATCTGGACATCTTGGACACGTCAATTGATCAATTCACTCAAATCGTAGCTGATGCAGGTATGGCATCGTGCAGTTTGTCAGCTGTGCCGTGCTCATATGTTCCTTAAGGGGAACGCGTCAAGTTACAGCAGGTTGACCTCGGCCTTCAAAGCGCGTACGGCATCACCGGTGCAACTCCAAAGAACATATACGAAGCAGCTTGTCAGTATTATGAAGTCGACTGGGTACGTAAATCTTTCCTGCCATGCCTACCGCGTTTCCAATGTCAAACTCGTCAGGAATGCAAGTTTATTTTTCTTAGACGTCTTTATCCTGCTAATCATTGCAACCGCACATCCAATAGATGCACAGGTACGAAGACTAGATCACGTTGTTGGTTGCGATTCTCACTGTCTCGTACCAGGCCCCAGACCAGAATTCGTGGATAGCATCAGCCTGGGTATTTACATAGTATTCCAGTGTGCACCTACCAGCGCCTGACCATCCTACAGAACAACAACTTTACCTTTGACGTCGATATGGGTGGCTTCTCAGACGAGAATAACCTCTGCATCGACCAGCGTGGCTTCAAAACCATCATCCAGGCCGAAGCTGCGGAGTTTCTTCAACCTGAGCAAGTCTCCCTGAATTCTGTTGTCACGACGATTGCATATAGCGGGGATGGGGTGACAGTCACACTAGAAAATAGTACTACTCTCACCGCGGACTACGTGCTTTGCACGTTTAGTCTTGGAGTACTGCAATATGGTGATATCGCGTTTAAACCCGATCTTCCTTCGTGGAAGACGGAGGCCATTCAGAGCATGGTCATGGTATGTTTGCTTAATGCTAACACTTTCGACAACTCAACTACCCCCAGGCTACGTATACCAAAATCTTCTTGCAGTTCGAAGAAAAGTTCTGGTTTGATACTGAGGTACGGATGCACATCACCGTTCAATATTTCTCTGACGTACCCGGAATAGATGGCCGTCTATGCAGACAAGGAACGGGGGAGGTATCCGATTTGGCAGAGTCTTGACCACGTCAAATTCTTCCCTGGTTCTGGTCTCGTCTTTGTGACCGTCACTGTAAGTCCGCATGATTTGTGCTCTATGTACTTCTGTCGTTGATTCCACGGACATTCAGGGTGATTTCTCACTGCGCATCGAGGGCATGGAAGATTCAGACGTTCAAGAGGAAGTCATGGAAGTCCTCCGAGCCATGTACCCCAACATCACCGTCCCTGATCCTGTCGCGTTCCATTTCAAACGCTGGAACGTGGACCCTCTCTTCCGCGGTTCCTACTCCAACTGGCCCCCTTCTTTCCTTCCCGGTCACTCAGAAAATCTGAGGGCTACGGTAGACAAGAGACTCTGGTTTGCGGGTGAAGCTACGAGCTTGAAGTATTTTGGTGCGTGTTTCTCCTGAGTGCGGTTCGCTTGTTCATGAAAGAGAAAATTTTAAATGCAGGTTTCCTTCATGGTGCATATTTCGAGGGGTTGAATGCTGGAGAAGAGATTGCCAAGTGCGTTGAGGGCCCTGCATGCACTGGACGGGAGCATTTTAATAGTGTGGTTGATGCTTCTCCCTATCCGTTCGTGTCTATTACGCCTTAGGTGCTTATATTCGAGTCATGTTGTTGTTGGATTGTTTAGTATCGTTTTCGAACATTGTCAGTTATTAACTTTTCACGTCAGGAACGACCCTCTTCATTCGTCTGACCTGCCTTTTTTTATGTTCAACTATCGTCCTGTTGAGATACCTCTATGCAGGGCATCGCAGTCTAGTCTTCGGGACCCCCAGTGTCCTTTCGCATCTCCTAATTCACGAATGCCCTGGTGCGAGGCTCGCCCCCAGTGCGCCGTTCCCGCTGGCCGATGGCCTACATAACATACATGCGCACTTCACGACTCGTAGAATATCTTGCGATATGGCTTTACTTGTCAGCCACCAGCGCCGGTCAAGATTGGAATGACCTCATTCTTGCAGTAGTTGTGAGACACGGCCATCCTGATATGGTCCCGCCCGCAATCGGATCGTCGGATGTCTCACAATTGTTCCGTTGTCAGTCCACATATAAAAGCTGCCCTCTGCTGATACTTCCACTTCACTTCCCTCCAATTCCTTTGCTTCACTCGTTCGACGTTTGACTTCACGCTGCATCACGCTTTTCTTGCGGTGCTCGACGATCCCGAACTACGAACTTGACACGATCTAAGCGATCTCGAGTATGCGAATCGGACTACTTGTGACTTACTCTGGCACGAGGTTGGTTGGCTTGCGTTCGAGGGTTCTGAAGGCCAAGTGACTCGATCTCCGCTGCTGCCATATCTCAATACTCTGTCATTCGAACCACGCACGAGTTGGTACGATCTAACCAAAGTCTTTCAAGTAAGCGATTTCGACTCAGACTACCTGTATTTTCTCTGGCGAGGTTTGGTGGCCTGGGTTCAGGTTCGAGGGATAAGATCGGGTTTCTTCGATGGTCTTTTACAGTTATTCGATGTCTCGATCACTCCCCTGCTGAGCTCAAGCTTGTCGATGATCTCTTGGACGATCTCTGCTTCTCGATACTTTTCTCATCTGGATTTCCTTTGCTTCTGGCTTTCTGGATCTTATTACATGTCACAATCGGGCTGCTTGACCTCTCGATCGAGTTTCGATGACCACCGACCATGGCATGATCGACTCATCGAGTCATTGTTTACTGGGTCGCGGGTAAACTTTATACCTTTTCCATTTGCCCTGAGATATCCCTACCGCTCGTACTGCGATCTCGTTGACCTAGCATTTCTTGGGAAATCGACCACCTTCAAGCAGGTTCTTACGCTGCCTTCGAGTTCCAGCCTCCGATCGACAGGTTTCGCTTTTGATACCGACTGGGCCGGCGGGTTACATTCGATCGAACTTTGCTTGGGAGATGATGGCTTTGACCCTTCCCTTACTTCAGCACGCTAACTACGATTCATGTTCAGCACCTGCTGCTTTGTACACCATCATTCTGCTTTTATCCCACCCCCTCTATTACGCCCCTTCATACACATGTATTCCCACTGGTGCGACATTGTGCGACATTGTATGGTATTCGCACCCGGGCCCGCCTACGCATGGTGTCCCGATCCCTCAACTCGAAGTAAATCCTAGGTCGCAGGGCATGGATCCCGCTCTTTCAAAGCCGAACTGAGGCCATTTCGACTGAAGAACCGTACAAATGGTCGACAAATTGCCCATATTGCACCCAGGTCTACGGCCCGTCTTTTCCTAAAGATCTTTGTGCAAGCCCGTGACCTTTTTCCCCAAAGAAAGTAGATCACCACAAACTTGCCCTCTGCCGCCAAAAAAGGAACTTTTCTACCTTCAATGGTCGAGCATCCTATCGAGGCATGCCATCGATCATACTGCATCGACGCGAAAGGAGAAACTTGCCTCGTTGCCACACTGATATAGCACAAGCCTAATCCGTAGGCCATCCCATAGATGTTCGGTTTCCCTTGCTTGGTGGTAGAGACCGGATCGACTTAAGATGACAACGTTTCACAGGTAAGTTTGTTGCATATACATGATCTTATATACATTCATGCGTACTAGAATTATTCTAGGCTAGGAAATCGTCTGGTGTATGAGTTGTGGTAAAATGATACAAGGTGCGAAAGTGCAATACGAGCTCAAATCTATAATGATGATCCTGCAGTCCGAATGAGAATACGCAAACTTGTCTTAGTACATCGAAATGAGATCTCCGTGAACCGGTTGCTCCAGCCTCTTGTACCAATCCCAATAAGACTCCGAAGCGTCAAATTGGGAAGTGGAAGGTGCAGGTACAACTGAATCAAGGGCTGAGTATCCATGATCGGGGAATGCGAGAGAGACCGGTGAGCCAAAAAGGTTCATGTCACCTTCCCCCTCTTGATCGGTAGTCGGCACGAGGGGCATGCCAGAGGGTTGGTGGGGTGTGGAGTGTTGTTCATGCGATGCCTGGACATTGGATCCCACATCGGGCAGAGATAGAACGTTCTGCGTGAAGGGTGTAACCTTCTGAGTCATAGAGTTCAGTTTGGGGGCCTGAACAACGGGTTGCGCGGTGGGGCCGGAGAAAAAATTCGACTCGGGTACAAACAGGGGTGGGGTTCGCTGGGCCGCTGGCCCGAGTCCTGTCCCTCGAGGTGTGAATGGTTCTTGAGGTACGTTGACTGGGCCCGGGGGCGATACTGCGAAGGTGCCGGTGGCCGAATTCGCGGGTGGAACAACTCGAGATTTTTCCTGGTTCTTGGAACATTGGTCAGATTTGGCATGACGCTTGAGCCCATCGCTGCGACTGAAACTAGTGAAAATCAACATCTCAGCCCAAGGCGCATTTGAAAGGAGCGGGGTACTCACTAATGGCCACAGCCTATGCACAGTAAGCGATTGGATCGCTTTTGATGCCTGTTGGTTTGTTTATGCTGGTGTACGCTGCTTTCCTTCAGGTATATCTCTACACACTGTTCTTTCAAGCATTTATAGATGATTTTGCCGTCCTTGACGACCTGTTGCTGATGAAACAGTTGGGATGGCGAGAACCAAAGAAATAAACCGACTCACAAATTCAGGATCGTTATCAGGGTGAATGCGGGGATTTTTCTGTTGCTTCTTTCGTACCGCCCCATCACTGTCCACTGCCTTGCGCTTGATACGCTGCACCGAGCTCCCTTCGGCTGCACATTCAAATAATGCTTGGTGTACAACTCCCTGGTCGAAACGTTGGTTGCAACTGGTTGCTTGCATTTGAGATTGCACCACGGAGGAGGCAGGGGAGTGCTGCTGCATGATCGGCGCCTGAAGGTCTTTCAGTGAGTGCAAAGCCAGCCAATGTTTCACCCCCTCTGGGAGTGCGGGCAGCTGCGCTTGCATACACGGCTGATGGGAATAAGTGTTAGGTGGGGGAGCAACACTTGCAGGCCCCACCGTCAACTGCATAGATTGTCCATATTTTATACCACCAGCATCGGACGTGAAAGACATTTCATCGTCTGCCTCGGGAGCCAGTCCAGGCTGAACAAAGTTTTGATTGGTATACAAGTCTGGAGGGTATGCTTGGAAACGTGGCTGAGGCAGAAGCTGGGCATGAAGCGCAGACTCATGCTGGCGAAAGTCTCGCGTTCCCCGAATCGGGTATGGCTGCCATCGATGACCAACATTTTTCTGGGGACGTTGGGCCTTGTTGCGTTGATGAGCAGTGTCAAGATTACGGAATTCGGGCGCATTGTCTAGAGTTTTCAACGCGAAGGAGTTTTGGCCCATCTGAGCTTGATGTTGGTCTGTCATTGAATCGGATTGAGAAGGTAAAGAGGTAGTGTGCATTGTGGTCTTTGTCTGTGGTAGGACTGTGCAAGTGACAGAATATGAAGGATGTTTAAGCACTCGGATGTGGAAGAGAAAATGCGATTTGCGGTGAAGAGGAGGAAAGGGATGTAGTACCACTATTTAAACTGATGGGAAGCCCGCTTCAAGTAAATAAAGCGGAGGACTTACGCTGCGGTGCGTCCCTCCCCTTTCATTCGTGTCCTGGTCCAAAACTTGTTGCCCAGGCAAAGCGGCCAGAGCACATGAATTTAGTGTCATACAAAGGGATGCACCCGCCATCCTTTCACGCGCGCAGATTCCGTCAACGGACAATAGTAGACCATCCGGATATTCCCCCGCACGACTGTGTGCATGTTCAATATGATCGTTGATTGTCGATTTTCAGAAGGCTCAGAAGGTGTCTTCCTGCGAGAAGATGCATGAGTTATTTATGAACAATATTAAATGCGACGTGCCGGAACTGAATTACAGAACACGAGACCCACTCGATCTTTGGAAGAACGGAGTCTGGGATGGAGGGGACATGACATCGATATATGGACTGAGATGTATTTATGTCATCTATCCAGATAATGGATTCTTGGTTGCATATCTTGTGGCCGAATATCAGCTCTGTGGAAGAGCGTAGTCTATACGGAGACACACCTCGAGATATCTCGTTGCCCATGCCCAAGGAATGGTCTCCACCAAAGTGATGTGTGCGTGGTTTCTCTGAGCAACTGGGTGGTGTGCTTTTTCATGACGGCGAGATACAGGGTTCCTTTGACCGGGGTGCTTACTACAAGTTAAGGAAGATGGTGGTTCAAGTTAATGTATTGCAGACAGGGGATGCGCTGGACTTCCACATGCAAATGGCTAGTCACTGGTTGATGTTAAACCCTGTTTGATATCATACTTGCACAGAGGAGATCATTGAGGACATTGCGGGCAGGAATATGCTGGATTGCAGTATGAGGATTGTGTGCTAAACTCTATTCATTCGCATCTTGAAGTAACTGTGAAGTAGTACTTACGTCAGACGAGTCGCATCCCGTCATGTCGTAGTCACGACTCACCTTCAACTCGATCCACCACAATCATGTTATTCAACCTTGAAAATATTGGTCGTGGACTCAGACTCAGACGATGCTACCATCGCGTGGCCAAACAAATAACGAAAAATGAGACAACCGTAGGCAGAGTCGTGAGCAAGCCGCTGAGGGGCAACTTGAAGCCAATGGTGGGACAAGCTCTGTTGGAAGGAGAAGTACGGGACAACGGTCCGAGGGATTAACCACGCAACTTCCTCTCCTTTTTCTGGTTAGCTTATCGCATCTTGCGCATTCGACACCATACGTCGTCCTACCGGTAGCATTGGCTCAGGTAGCAACACTATATGCGTCTCTCCGATAGCGTTGGCTCCGGTAGCTTCTTTGCTTCCTTGTGTAAACTACTTATACGCGTCAGCTCGTAGCATTATACCTCAGCGTTGTTATCCTTAACTCTCGCTGAGGTATGCATCGTCTTCATCGTTCGTACTCACATTAATTAACATATACCATTCAAGTTAGACTTGCTCTAGCCGTCACAAGCCAGTGGGGAAACCCAGTGGCGAGGCAACCTGGAGGGCAGGGTGATGACGAGCCCGATTGGTCCCAGCCGAGAAACACCCGAAGGTGTTTCTCGCTGAACTGTGCGTGTGAGACTGACAATCATATGTTGGACACGTGACTTACATAATCTCAGGTTTATATGCTCTAAATGGTATTAAACGATTCTTCATCATGGAATAACATGACCCTGAGCGTTTCACAGGGTCCAGTTATTCCATGATGCCGAATCAGTTGAAGGGTTCTGGGAGGCAAGTACTATGGTGTCCCAGCCGAGACTGAGGATATGGCTACCAAGAGAGTGATTCTGGAGCGTCTCTGCTTCTCAAACGATTCTTCAATTGAGAAGCAGAGACGCTCCAGAATCACTTTCTTGGTAGCCATATCCTCAGTCTCGGCTAGGACTTCCATGGTTTTCGCCTCCTAGAACCCTCCAAGCCCTGGAACCTTCAACTGGTCCAGGGAAGTCACCCGTGAGTTATTGTATTATGCAGTTCCTTTAGGAATCCAAGCGATCATATGGTCAATGGTTGTCCTCGTCGTGTGGCCATTCAAGAGTGTAAGGTTTGAAGTAAGTTGAATCCGTGTCATCGTACTACTGATCTCATTGTTTTCACAGACAAAGCTTCGGGGGATTACCTATCTGATTATCAATACATTCCCCGTTCTCGCGACAACAGTATCAGTTCCGAGTTTGTTTTCACTTCTCTTGGCCTCCGTCTGGTTCGCTACTAGGCACGCATATGCAGTAAAGATCATCCTTACAGCTGTGACGGTAATTCCAATCCTGGTACTCCTTTTCGTATTGTCTTCCATATGCAACCTGTATTTAACGTCCTCGCATACCTTAGAGCATGACACCTAGCACACTATTATACACTTCTATTCTACTTCCCTTTTCGTTTTGTGCAACACCACAAGTAACATGGAAAATAAATTGATACTCATAACATAAAAACACCCTCATATGTACAGCCGCAATATTCCCTACCATATTGATGGCCCAAAGGTGCCATTGATAGTGTAGTACGACATGGCTTTCCCATCTGCTGTATTCAAGAACACATTGTTGCCCCACCATTTTGCGACGTTGTTTGCGCCGATGGTGCCGTTCCGCGGGTATTGCAGGCAGAAGAAGATCAAGATAATAGAAATGGCGAGTCCAGAGTCAAGTGCAGCAGCCAGGACATCTGCGAGGCGTTAGCAGGATGAATGAGAGTGAAGGGAATAGATACGTACAGTTGTACTTTGTCCACCATGAGAAATGGCGGCGGCGGATGACGTACTGGAATATGAAACCGACGATTGCCCAAGGCACGTAGTTGACGGCAGTCGCTGGTGGTATGTAGGACGTTCCAGTGAATATTACGGGGAAGCTATGCGCTCATTGTTAGTTTTCGAGTACAAGCAAGGCAGATGGATACATACTTGATGTAACGCATGATGCTGTTCGGCCACTTGAGGGAAATGATCCAAGCACCGAGGGGGCAAAGCGCGCCAACGAGGAAGAACCAAAGAAGGCCGCTATACATTTGGCCAGGGGAGAACTGACGCTGAGGACCAATGACACCCCACTACCAGACCATCTCAAATAAACAAAAACACGGGACAGATCAGGCTGAAACTTACGATGATTGATGCAGTGCCGAATACTTGAGTGTTGGGGCAAACAAACCCGTCAGGTTGTTTCGTGCTACATATGTCCACGATGTTGGTAAACATCCAAGCTTGCACGCCGAGCTGTACGGTTCCGGCGATAGCAGCCGCGCTGACCTGTGCAAAGAACATTGTGCGGGGAGGGATTTTCATGTAGTGACCGAGCTTGAAGTCCTGGGCGAACTGCAACGCTTGCGCCATGGTAATGTAACCCCATGTCTAGATAGGCACGTTAGCAACTGCGCCAGACAACGCAAGGACTCTACTTGCCTTGAAAAGCATCATTGCCAATGGGCGTCCGGGGATAGCGTATCCCACGACCAACTCCGTAATAACATTCAGACCGACTTGTTGATTCGTAATAGCTTGAATCATGCCAATGGGAATGATGTAGAGGAAAGCAATTATAAGTGCGAGAACGAAGCCCCACACCGGGAACTGGGTAGGCCAGACTTCAATGACAATGATGCCGAAAACGAACATGATTACGAAGATGATAAGGTACCACCACTCTGGAACCTGACGGTACCTGGCCATGAGACGCGCATGGATGTCCGGCTGTTCGTCGATTGAGCGACGCGACTGGGCCCAGATCTGCTTGCGGAAGAAGAGGATGGCGTGCGTAATGGTGGCAGTGATCGATGCAAATGATAGACCGTAAGACACTGCGAAAGTTGTCGACAGGAACAGAGGGCTGTATGCTTCATATGCAGTAACATTGAGAGTGCCATCGGTACCAAGAATTGCAGTGACATTGTAGGCGGCACCCGTGTTGTCGTATGACGTGCGAGACAAGATGGGCAGGAATTTAGAATACCAGGTATTAGTATAGTAAAGAATCGGGGTAAGGATCCAGTAAAAGAACACAAAGCCAACGAGAACGTTAGCCTCACTCCACCATGGCGTCGCGAGTGGGTTGACAACGTAAGTAATTTGGGCCCAGTCGAACGTGATCAAGCTCATGCCAAGACCACTTTCGTAGCCGAAGAGCTGGTTGACGACGACGTTATCTGGAGCGATCCAGCACACCCAGGAGAAGAAGCTGAGGGCTTGGAACAGATAACCAGGGATGAAGTACCATGCGCATCCCGCGCAGAAGACATAAACGAAGAAGCGCTCTCGTGAAATACCACCGCGATTGCCAATACCAGCGTATGATTGCGCATGGAGCGTATTAAATAGGGCGCACGTGACCAAGTTTGTTGGCCAAACTTATTAAAGTGTTAATTCTCTTGAAACATGTATACGAGGCAGGACTCACTCATGGAGGGGGGAAGAACCAGGAACCGACGCATAATGCCACCCAGTGAAAAGCCGATGAGCTGGGTAGACATGACCAACATCCATTGATCTATGCTGATATCAGACCCAATAAGACATCGTTCAGACATTGAACATACTCACAGCTGAAGTTGAAAGTTTGACCGTAGAACACCCTCTGCACCGCAACGATGTCGGTCTGGCAAGATAATATTAATTGTATTAATGAAAACCCGAGCAGCCGCACATACCGCATATGCAGATTGCCATCCGACAGTAGACATAATCGTGACTAAAACGTGTTCCTTGATGGTGAATGGTCCGGGGTTCAAGCGGACGCCAAAGATTGAAATGTTGGGGAGGACAGCTGCCCAAAAACGACCCATGGGGAATGACAACAGTTGGGCAACCATGCCGGTGATGTTGACGGAGGGATATCGGAAATAGAAGAACTGGTTCATACCAGGGATAATGATAACCCAGAAAAAGCCTGATTTCTGATTAGCCACATGACGCCTAACGAATTTTTCTGCACTGACCCATAACCCACGAGCGGAGAGTGCTAACGGGTATGGACATATCATCAGTGTTGGATACGGCCGATCGCACTTCAGGATAAGGCGAGTCATCCTCTACGACGGTCTTCTGTTCAGAGTGAATCTTAACGCTGAAGATGATGAGCTAACCTAGAACGCCAGTTATGGCTTCTTCCTTGTTGATGTTTGGGTCATCAAAATCAGCAAGGGGGAGAACTCCGATTGCAACTAAAGATGCAGTATGAGTATGACTACAATGATAGTAGGGGAAATGAACTGACGAGCTGCTTTCTCAGAGTCGATCTTTTCAACTGAGCCATTGCCGCTCGAATGCTCAGCGTAAACCGACATGATGGTCAGAAAGGACAAATGGCCGGGAGATATCCATGGTAGGGATCCCGGCTTTTGTACGGTTGTCGCAAGTATGTAAGTGCAAAGAAAGATACAAACGGATACACATGGACATGCGCTAGCACTATTTCAAATTTCCCTCTATTCATGCCGGTCAACTGCCATAAATATAATACGCGGCCGGCAAAATTTTGGCTGCACGTGTTGAATCTCGATCTCACCATATTCGACCTCACCGGTCCCATCAGTTCTTGGCTCCGTTCTTCTTCCCGGAACTCAATTATTCGGGTGCCAGGCTCTTTATACTTTCTAGTACTTGATCCGACTACCTTTCTTTTTTTTTCCTCCAGGGCACTGCAGGCAGCTCATATGTCGATAAGGTGCATTCAAATTTCGGTTATAGCAGCAGCGGCTGGCAAATGCTTTTCAGAATCTTGTACTAGGCGACGGTATGCAGAATCACTACTGGACTACCGATCTATATCACTCCCAAACTGATTTCCACATCGAACTGTGCCGAATTGTGTCGATTTACCTGGATTTTCCTCAATTCACATCGCGGCAATCAGACCAAATCGCACCCACAGTGTGAAGCACTCCCACGACATGATGATCCCTACTTGGCATCAACTTGATCAGACTCGCCTTATACTCTGTATTGCCCCTTCGTCTGAACCTCACGTACTAAGAGATCCTAATAAGCACCTCATCGTTACAGTAAGTGTGGGTGGGAGTAATACAGTATAACCTGACTAGTACTCCCTCAGATAGGCTGGCTGTATACCCGCGATCCTTGCATCTTCCAGTCTGCCACCAGCTGGGGCCCTTTTGACAGGTAGTACCATATTTATAGAGGTCACGTTCATTCGTCGATAATACTGCGATCAGGTGTTTCAAAACAGACGGAAGAATATCATCGTGGTTCCTGGTCGATAACGTGCCTAACACCATTCTGCGCCTAGGTCAGAGTCAACTTCTTCGGGCACTTTTAAGACCGCAATCTTATATCAATCTTATAATCAACCATGTGGGGGTAAACGTCACTTCGCTCAAACAGTTTTCACGAAAGCACATGTTCAGCTGTTAATCATAAAAATAAACTGATCTGCGAGGGGAACTTCGGCTAGTCTACTGTGGGTGGTCCAACGTGCTCAGGATTCATTTTGGATAATCGGCCACAGCAGATTGATTTCACCTGTCAGACTTCCACCTGATTGAGCTTCCATAAGCCCTGTAATAGACATCTCGGGGCTTCTGCGCCTGTAATGTGCCACCTAGCCTACTGTTGCAGTATAAGCCCATTCAGAAGATAGTAAGTTGATTATAAACAAATCATGGCAACGAGGCGACCTTCTATAACATGAGCAGGTACTGCCAATAGCATGTGATATTGCTGAGGCCTTTCGGACTACATACACCGCCAGACTGTATACAATCGCGGTGCAAGTCTGGAGCACCTGAGGTCCTTGTTTATGGTTATTTGTATCTACAGTCCTTCCGAGTCGAACCATCTCTGCATTGGGCAGATCAACCTCTAGTTACGAGCTTACTGCCTTTGTAGCATGTTCATCCGATATTAGTTAACATCTACAGTATAATTTTGAACCATCATGGATTTCTCCTGGTCCAGTGAGTTATTCCATCCTTAACTGTAAATCCTCAACTTGCGACCGTGATGCTTGTGTATTAGCTCCTCTTCGCCGCAATGGTCAGATCACCTTACCTCTAATCCTAAACGAAATCTATCTTGCGATTTTTGAGTGTATAGCGCCAACTGATCAGCCACTGAGAGAGCAATGCGTTGGAACCTTCTCAGCCCTCGCCCTCGTGTGCCGCTTTTTCTGCTCCATCGCGTTGCCGCGTGTCTTCGAGCGTGTCATATTTTCGGGGGATACGAATGGCAACAGGACCCAGGCTTCGCGCAAGACGAAATGGGCCAGACAGATTGTGGCAAATACTGAGCCAGCCAAGTCAGTTGCACTATACGTCAAGGAGTGCACCTTCGAACTTTGGGATCTTGATAAGGAGGCGAAGTGGCTCCTCTTTCCGTTCGTAATGCTGTATTGCCAAGCAATGGCGCGTATGTCGAACATTCGAAAAGTGGTCTTCTCTGCTTCTTTTGTGAAGAAAGATCATTGGGAAGCGTTGGCAGAATTGAAGCAGCTCGACGTCCTCGAGTTCTGCTTCTGTTCCTTCATAGAAGATCCGCCTGATAAAGAATTGACCGTTCGCACTGTCATGCTCTTTGGTACAAGAAACTCTCCAACTACCTTCACCCTTCGGCCAATCGCATCTACTTCCATACGCTCGCTCAGTGCAGATGAGGTAGAGGCAGTCCTAAAGATCGCGGCCTTTCGTCAGCTTACCATTGACAATTTGGTTCTCAATCAACAAATTTTCGACATGGAACCGCTACTTCACGTGTTTCAGCATCTGCCTGGCCTCCAGAGCGTAACTTTTGGGCTCAAAGGAAAAGCAGTGACTTCGTCGCTCATTGGCAAGCTTTCACTGAAAAAGCACTTCACTCGCTTGCATTCTTTCACTATGAAGGGAATTGGTTTCAGTTGTGTCACGGCATGACACGGAAATGGTACGCTTTATCTTGCGTGTACTGCTACCTCCCCGACTCATTTTCGTGGTAGCTGGTATCTGTTCTCTGTGATGGACCTGGTACCCTTCCTAGCTTGGAGGAACTCAATTTTCACTTCGTCACAGCTGGTGAATGGACAACAACCCTCGACATTATCTTTGACCGCTTGAACGGGACAATAATCCCAGCATTTCCCAATGTGAGGTACATTAATACTGATGCCGGTTTCATACGCTTGGAAGAAGGCGACTGGAAACTACACTACTCGAGTAGAGATTGAGTAGGGGTATTTTCAGGAATGTATGGCATAGGGCCATGCGTTTGCCTTCCCCATATTAAATATTTATTGTGGCCAGTTCAATGTTACAATCTTACACAGGATACACATAACTATTCAAACCATGCGAGGATATCCCCTGCTTGAACACTCGCTCCTTCCCTAATCCCCTTACCCAAGCTTTTCACTACCTTTCCAATATTTTCTTCTCCTGAAAGAATATTAATCTCAGTCTTCATCGCTTCGAGGATGACCAGAATATCATCGGCAGATTGTATGACGTCTCCAGGCTGGCATTTGATCTTCCAAATAGACGCTGATATGGAAGAAGTGACACTTGTGCTACCAGGTCCAATGTCTGCGGACGAGTCAGTTAAAATTATTCCAATATCAGAACCCTACCAGTCATACCTGTGTCATTCACCGATACCGTAAGCGGAGCTTTCGCCGCTTTCTGCGCCTGCCATACACGTAACAGTTCAGTCTCACTTACAACATCACCTGTAATTAATAGGTTGGAACTGGTCATTGAAGGCCTCACTTACCGTGCTTCCTCTCTCATTGTTCCTTCCGCCTGCTTTCGCTTAAACTCCGTAATCTCTTCCTGTATGCCGTCAGTGAATGTGGTGTACGCCGCCATAGAAAAGACCGCTGGCTCGATCTATCACCGCATTATATTGTTACCGGTGATTCACTCCGCAAGAGGTATCCGCGATGTCACTTGCCTTGAATTTATATTGTCCGGCATTAAATTCCTGTTCAATCTGCATCATGTGTCAGCTCAGAAACATCCTTCCAACGAACAGACACACCTCGAGATAGCGTTCCTCGCTGACGGGCTCGAAGAGGACCTGTGAAGTTGTTTTCAGTAAAAAAGCGAACAACAGACCTGCATCAACCAAGCACCTGGTCAAATGGTTGAAGCAGCCACGGTCGATCGGAGGCAAAATCAGGGCCCTTTCCCCAGGTTTGCCAAGCTGGAAGCGTGCGCCCAAACAGCTGGTATCCTCCGGGTGAGACCGCTGGATAAATGGCAGCCACGGGACCAGCGATACCGACCGCTCCCTGCAACAATTCGACATAATCACCCGTTTGATTTTTTCCCGTCTAATGAAACTCACACCAGGAGTGTATGTTCTTGAAGGGTTCATTTTTTGCCCGACCAGACGGCATCGCGGGATCAATCTGCTCTGTTGTTAATAGCAGAATTATTATTCCGTTGACATCGTCTTACTGGAACTAAGAAAGGACAAGCTAGATAAAATCCGACGCCAAAAACGAGCTTTGGTTTCGTTAAGTACCGAAATACAATAATAGTTATTCGGAAGGGCACGTACCCAAGCAGAATCCATCAGTTTCTGAAGCGCCTCATCGACACCACCCTCCAGACCATTATTTCGCGCGAGGTAATCAATGTTACTGGGCAAATAAACCGCGCTGTCTCTGGTAGTTCGCATGTACCGTTGCAATGCATCGCGACACCACTGATCGTCGAGTACGATCGGGAACGTGATCTTGCGCCCGGGGAAATGGAGGTCTGATGCGGAATCTGGCAACGAGCGCTCCGTGTTCAATAGGATGGCGAGTACGTCACCCTGGGAGATCACCGAGGGATCATAATGGCACTAACAACTCCGATTAGACCGAGATCTTGGCGATAAAAGGAAATGCACCATTGTGGAGCGAATGCATGGAGCAAACGCCCATATGCCTTTGACGTTCCTCCTGCGCACTTCCGATTCCAGCGCATGTACGCGCGCTCGAAGGACGAAATCTAGATGCATCTCCCCATATTCTACCAGAATAGCGGAGTCGCCAGCCTGATACAGCACCTCAGGCGTTAGATGTGACGATCATCGGCGATCGTGATGCTAGCGAACATACCTGCCGGAATGTTACGGCAGGTCTTGGGCTTCCTGGTAACCACTCATTTCTGTGCAGGATTCCGGATAACTCCCTAGCTTCCAAAGTACCATCTATGAAGCCCATAAGTGGTTGAGATCCAGCGACAACGGCCTGAACGGCCTCAATCCATCTGAGTGAAGCTTTCATACAAGCTTGTGCATCCTGCCATGAAATCTTGCGGAAGGTCACCGTACTACCAGGACTCAATTGCCCCAGCTTCCACCTATGAGTACCGATGAGCAGAACTCCCTTGGTTTGATTTGAAAGTCAGCTACCTTTCCCCAGTCGCAATGGTGCACAGGCAGACATACCCACCCATGTCTGGTCCTTCGTTCGTTAATATAACGGGCGTGTCTCCGTTCACGTTAACCGTCCCTAACGCATATCCGTTATCTAGGATGTTACTCGGGTGAGATCCACCCTCGCCACCAGTGTTACGGGCCCAATCTATACTTTGATTGCTCTCCAGCCGTATCCCCATTCTATTACTCGATGAACTAACGGACCACTTCGCCAAGTAAAATGTGGCGTTTCCTTCAGGGGTCAAAATTTCCGCATCATCATGTGGTCCAGCCAAGACTTGGATGACCCAATCTTGAGGATAAACCGGGACAAGGCTTTTTGGGAGTAGAAAAGCTACTGGACCAATCTCATCTTGCTCTGATAACGATTGCGAACCTAAAGCAAGCTGATCGCCGACTCTAAGTGATCTTCCCTGAGAGGATGGTGAGCAAAAACTAAGTTTTAACTAAATGTAGAGCTCGGAGTACCTGATAGCCTCCAAGGCCCATTGACGTTGATTTAGAGCCAAGATATTGTGGCACTTCAGGGAAGCCACCTCTGATTGCTAGATATATTCTGAACCCAGGACCTGGCAGGCCCGCAATATCGAGGACCGCATTTTCGGAGACGGTAAGGCGAGCCCACATCGAAACCTGCTCGCCGTTGATCTTGACAGTTGCTGGCTTGCCGGTTATCGCTACAATAGCAAAACTGTGGAATTTCAGCTTGCATCCGGCACCCGGGAGGGTGACGATCTCTAGCGCTTCCGTCTCTAGTGTATTGCCAGCAAGTATGTTGGCCGCGCTGAAAGCCTGAGAGTCCATGGGGCCGCTTTGCGGGATGCCTAGCCCGATACGCCTGCCGGGTAAGTCTTGGATAGTCATTTCAATACCAGCTGATAGGACCGTGAATGCGCTTCGAAATGAATTAGTCTGTGGAACATTTGGTTCATATCCAACTGTGCGTACCTCGGGGAGAAATCAAAGTTGTCCAAAAACTGTGTTGTAGCCTTCCCTTTTTTGAAGATAGTGCTATCACATATTGAAGCGAGGTAAGCCAGGTTGTTCGGCGGGCCAAAGACTTTGCAGGCTTTCAATACTTGAACCATTCTGGAAACTGCTTGTTCTCGTGTTGAACCGGTTACGATTAGTTTGCAAATCAAAGGGTCAAAGAATCGAGTCACTTCCGTTCCCGTTGACACCTACAAAGTATACATTTGAAGGTAAAGTGCTGGACACAGGGCAACATACATACCCAACTGTCAACGCGAAGCCAGTTCTCTTGTGGGAATTCCACGAACTGTAAGATGCCTGGACTGGGTTTGAAGCCTTCTGAGGGGTTTTCACAGTAGACTCTAGCTTCGATGGCGTGGATACGAGACTCGACAAGGTTCTTGTCATAGATAGCTTGCGCCATGCTGGGACTCGCATGATCAAGACCTCTCGCTTCAGATCGCTGTGCAATTCCTTGTGCCAACATCATTTCTACGAGGTCCAGGCCAGGGTGTATAGCCTCTGTGATGGCGTGCTCAACCTGCATGCAAAATTAGAGGACGTATTTCTTGATCACTGCTCCACGCACCTGGATACGTGTATTCATTTCAAGGAAGAAAAACACCCCCGACTCATCGTCCACAAGAAATTCTATGGTACCTGGCTCGCAGTAAGTAAGATACGACCGCCGGTAATTGTAGGCTATTCAACCTGCAGATGAATATTTGATGGTCTTGCACAGCTTGACGGCTGCGTCGCACATGTCTTCACGAAGACCTGTGAAATATCAACACACGCCACTCCACCAACTGCCTTCATAACTTACCTGAATGATCTGCAACGAATGGACTCGGGGTCTCTTCCACGACTTTTTGATGTCTCCTTTGAACACTGCATTCCCTCTCCCCCATGTGTACCACATCACCCAGCCCATTACCGAATACCTGTTATGCCGAAATGGAGCACGGGGTGAATTCAAGCTTCACAGATACTGACCTGGATTTCAATATGGCGTGCTGCAGGGTAGTATCGTTCAATAAAAACTCCCCCGTTATGAAACAGTGACTGGGGAATGTGCATTCAGCTTCAACAAGTATGTCAACCATCATACTTACAGTGGCCCTTTCTTGAGCACTGATAAAGCATTTGGAGAGGTCGCTGCTATCTCGACAAACAAGAAGGCCCATGCCCCCTCCCCCAGCTGTCGCTTTCAGAATCACGGGAAAACCAATCATATTTGTTATACTTAGGGCCTCATCGAGAGTGTTTACAAGTCCTTGGGATCCTGGAACGAGCTGCAAGCCGGCATTTGCAGCAAGACGTCGGGCTTCGTGCTTTAGACCCATGATCCGAATAATGTCTGGTTTCGGACCGAGCCAGATCATCCCAGCTGCCTCTACAGAAAGCGCAAATTCCTCATTCTCCGAGAGGAATCCATAACCTGGATGAACCATGGTGACCCGATACTGCCTGCATATCGAGATGATGATAGCACTTGATAGATACAACTTCGACTCTGATGCTAGTTGCTGTTGGTCGCTGGCGCGGTTCTGCAAATGAGCAGCCTCATCTGCGATGGTAACATGAGGGGAGAGGGCGTCTGACGAGGTGTAAATGGCTACTGTTGCTATACCCAGCCGTTGAGCAGTTCGAATGATTCGAACAGCAATCTCTCCTCGGTTTGCAACCAATAACCTGTGTCTAGCATATTCGCTATTGAGCGACATGTTGGTGGTGACGCCGGGTCGGACGGGCCTCTCTTCATACCATGATTCTAGGCATTATATATATCAGCTTATCGAGAAGGAAGTCTGAATTGAGTTTGATAAGGACCAAGTTGGGGCGGCCAAAGCCGCGCACACCCACATCATGTGTCCAAGTAGTGGCTCCATTGTTGAATACCATACGACAGATTTAATACAGTTCCCAGCCGGCACACGAGCCATCGTCTATACTTAGCAATTATCGGATACTTAGGTCGTTATCGATGTCGAGTCGTATTAAATGAGGCAAAACCTGATGTTCTCTGGTGTTCCAAGGGTGTGTGTTTTTCTTAGATTACCATTCAATGATAGGGACCAAAATTAAAGCCTATAACTATACTTACCAGTTGAACATGATGGGCCTCGCAGTACCAGCTAGTGCCATTAAAACGGACTTGACGTCGGAGAGTCACGTAGCTGTGACGAGGTACCGGCGCGCGGCTGCGCCACCACGTATTGGTTGCAGGTACTGATCTATACTCCGATCACACTTGGAAAATTTAACTTGATCGTTGCCTCAGCTGATGATGACCGATGATGCCTAGGAGGCTCAAGTGCTTCCAACTTTGATGCTGAGGCGCGGTCCGCGCGGAGCTCTCGCACTGCCGTACATTGATGCCAGTCATTTAATGCCCTAGTGTCAAGCCGACCACCCGCCTTTTCCCCTCACACCTCAGTATTGTGGGCATCACATAGACCGTCAGGCATGCAGGGACTTACATGGGTTGCCCTCTTACTTCTATATCATGCAGGTGCTGTTTTAGCGATCGGCAATACGACATGTCTTAGCAGTCAACTGGATTGGTACACAACCGCGGTTGGTGAAACGCCTTGTAAGCCATTACAGCTTTGGAGTGATTCGGATGACAAATTGCTAATAAGTTAGGCATGACATATCAACGGCTTCGACAAATATGCAACAATGCTTGTAGGTGTGTCCAAGCTTTTCTCTGACATGTACTGACATAGATAACAAACAGATGTGGTGGGTAATTTCACCGCGAACACCCTCGGTGATCGTTGCAATGATCAAGTTTGTAGGTTTTTTCTTATCACGCCAGTCCACTACGTTTGCTGAACTAGTTGATTAGCGGATTGCTGTTGCAATTCTGTCGCATTCGCATTAAGCATGCTCTGCATGAAGTAATTCATATTCTCCTCTTTCACGGCCCGCTAATAACAGTTGTCTAAATATGCAGTTGCCAAGAAGATGCTGATCCAGGCGATGTAGCTGGAATTGATGCGGGTAATACCAGTTAAAATTGTTTTAACATGACGACTCACTTTTTCTGCAGCTCCTGGAACATACACTACTTATCTTGCTAGCTGTGGTGCTAGCACAAATCAGTCGTGAGTAAACCGAGATTGCAAGCAACGCACCACTCACAACGCCACTTGGTATAATTAAGACTTCCAGCAGGCATCCAGCAGGCTGTGTGCAATGAGAACATCAAAATTGATAACTTTCTGTACAATAGATCTTATTGGTCTGATGGATCTTGGTAAGTTTCTACTTGACATACACAGCACTTATCTGACCCTGAGCTAGGTACTAGTGAGTAAAATATCGAAGGGGGCAGTAGTTCATTCCTCACGATGACCCAGTCGATGGACAGCGGATTATGCAGTAGAACAGCAGGCGATAAACAATAACAACACTTTCACGGTTTGCCCAAACCAAGTCTCACCTTCGGCATCCCTCCCCACATCTACAACGGTCCCTACTGCAGCCACCTCTCCCACTCTTACTAGTATTGTCTCTGCGTCCTCTAGCCCTGGGAATACTATTTCATCTACTTCATCTACTTCACAGAAAGCCATCATCGGTGGTGCAGTGGGTGGCGCCGCGCTCACCATAACTGCAGTGCTCGGTGGCATTTACTGCTACAGACGGGGTAAACGACCTCGCATGATCAAGGATACGCCATCTGTGTTTCTGGACCAATCACATGGCGCCCAGCCTGCCTATGGAGCGTCCTCCACGGATACTGAACCAGGTACTTGTACTCTCAATGTGTTCACTCACGCACTCACAACATTCCCTAGTATCCACTCAGGGATACAGCAGTCTCATTCCAGTTGGGCGCCATCATGAGTCTAGGGAGTCTACTCTGCCGGTGATACATTCTTTGAGCCACGAGTGGACCCAGTCCTTAAACACATCAACTGGCACGTCATATCTTGGGAATGACAATTTCTCTGAAGCCATGCCATATAGCCGAGAAGACGATGCTGGCACGCTGATTCCCCCCCAATGATGCGCCTGCAGAAAGGCTCCCGCCTGCGTATCATCCATCTTGGGTGTCCAGAAATGCGCCGCCAAGCAACTCTGACCCTAGTGAAGGTAGCTTTATTTCACGATGTCATGCTCATCATGCTCATCATGCAGTCATGTAGATCAAGTTCTGTTAGACCAAACTGTTCAGACTGTGTGGCCAAGCGACGAAACACGACCGCGAAGTCTAACAGGGTTCCGCAAGAGAAAATAGCGTCCAGGTGGAGTGTTGATAGCTAAGCAAATGAGGTGTAACATTATCCATTAATATTATTCACCGTTCCGGACATTCTCACAGTTGTTCATGTGATGCTTATATACGACAGCTCGCATGTTATTGGGACTTCATGATACAAATGGGAACTAACTTATCTTGTGATCAGTGCTGCTCGTCTACTTCACACTGTCATGGGCGCAGCCACCAGTATGTGCAACCGCGGGCCGAGGTCTTCGGGACCTATGAGGTCACCTGCTTTCGATTACTGGCAGTATTTCCAGGATTTCCAGGCTTATCAGCGACATCGTCTTCTTATCTGCCTTCAGTGAACGCCGACTTTACGAACGGACACCACGCGAATTAGTTATACCATGAGCAAAGCATTAAAAGCTACTGTAAACTGTGATATGGGAGAGGCAAGTAACGTTATTGTAAGCAGTCGTTCATCATGTCAACATTATACAAGGGCTTCTCCTTGTATACCATCGTATGTATCGCACGATGAACATCGTATCATCTGTTTCAAGAGAGCACCAAACAGGGAGATGACGAAGGTCTTATGAAGACAATACATTTGGCAAATGTTGCATGTGGATTCCATGCTTCGTTGAGTCCCGCTTGTCGACTTTAGCTGCTCGTTCATGTGCTAACAGACCTGCTCAGCGACTTCTCAGTCATGAATAAGACAGTTGCACTTGCCAAATCCAACAACGTCCTTGTGGGGGCTCACCCTTCCTTGCCTGATTTACAGGGTTTTGGGCGTCGCGAGATGGCAATTGAGCCGGTGAGCAATGTCATTAGTCAGTGTATATGCATTAAAATATTCATGAGTTGGCAGGACGAGCTAGAGTCCTGCTTCATCTATCAAGTAGGTGCATTGGACGGGTTTTTGAAACGCTACAGCCTTCCAATGAATCACGTACGGTACTCTATTTCGATTTCCACAGACCGGTGGCTGAAATAGCCATACAATGTTATAGATAAAACCCCACGGCTCTGTCTATGGTCAGACAGCACGCTCTATCGACCTTGCACGGGCAGTTGTTGGTGTCACCAAAACCTTCAAATCTAGCGCGGCCAGTCCTCAAGGTGTAGCCTTTATGGGACTCGCTGGAACGGCTCATCAACAAGCTGCAGAAGAGCTGGGCGTGCCGTTCATTGCAGGTTTGTCGCTGCTGTACTGATTTGCATGACTGAGTGACGAGGAAAGTTTAGAGTGGTTTGCTGACCTTGACTACAGTGATGAGGGGAAATTGTTGATAACGAAGTTAGTTCGTCTGCTATCGCATGCTACTTTGATTCACCTTTTTTTTGGACTCTAGGAAGCATGATCCAGTACCCATTGAAGTCGTGCGCCAACGAGTGAATACCTTTCTTGGCCTATAGCGGTCGCAGCGTTCAGCTTCTCACTCATCTTCTTTCTCATCTGATCGCAGGTGACAAACCTCCTGAGGTTCCACAAAGTTTCTACAGTCGGAGGCAAGCTGCTCGACATTGGAGCAAACGTCGCCGAGGTCTCCATATGTTGCCATTCCGATACCCCCGTGAGCACCTCTTTTTGTCATCGAGCATCTGACATAAAAGCTAATATGGCTGTTTTTAGGGTGCAGTGGAAATCGCCCAAGCAGTGAAAGCTTTGGTAGACGAAAGCAACAAAGAAGCCGGTTATGTGTGAATGGAGGAATCTGAGAAATAAGTGCAAGAGGTTCCAGTCCGAGACTCCGCGTTTAAAGACTAATATGTATTGCAAGTTGTATTAGCAACACCTGTGTAGCTTTCAAAGATGAATCACATTCCAACAGTATCCACAAAGCTTGGTCCGATTGAGTGAGCTGCCGCGCTAGCACTAGCCATCCGAGTCTCCATCTGAAGTGGCTTGCTCCCTCAACTGACCTGGGTCCCGAACCGGCGCGCGTGAGAGTTGGATGAACACCAGCATCTTCGTGTTTAAGTGAATCTTTCACTCGCATCTGCCTCCTGGAGCAGAGCAGCAGATGAGCCTTGGACGTCGCTTTGTGTCCCGTGAAGGAGTAGGCAGAGGTTGCCAGAAACAGGATACGATCCACGGGGGAGGGACTTGTGGCTCGGGCTTGTTTACGCACATGGTTAAGACTGACTTTATACGCGTATATGAAATTGACCGCAGAGTACAGCGTCAGGCTGCGGGATTGGCCAAAGGACTATGTTGACCGTCGGTTTGCATGGCTGGAACAGTGAACATGGAGACGAATAAGATACATGATATGAAAGCGAACGATTCGATGAAAGGCTTACATGGTGATTAGACTAGTTTCTCTAGATAGTACGGCCAGGAAGGGACAATGGTTAGTACCATGTAATATATATGGTATCTTATAGGTAGAGCCAAAAGAAGTCAGCGAGGGCAGCAATGATAGGTTGCATTCAGCACGCTCTGCGAATAATGTTCCATTACTTCATAAAGTTAGGTCATCAAAGTAGGATATAAATTTACTAGAATTGTACTGGAGCGCGAAGTATACGATGTATTCTAATCATGCAGAGTCGAAAAGCATGGAATAAAATTGTTCGTCAAACAAAAGGTGTGATGACCCATCACCGCTTAGTACGCCGGGGCCTAGGCTCACTGTCCGCCGTGATCTGTAACCTGGAAGGCTCCTCCGCTTGGGATTCTGAACCGGGATTCAGTCGCGAAGATTCGCCGTGGGGCGCTTCCCAGCCAGGGTTGTATGCTGGAGGCAGTCTTCCAGAGTCTGAGCGTGCAAGGCCTGGAACAACCCCAGCATCCTCGTGTCTTAGCGCACTGACAAGAGAACTTGAGTTCCTTCTAGTTGAAGCTAGCGCACTACTGGAGGGAGATGTCAACGAGAAATTGTTTAACGTCAGGTAGATAACCCCGTTTGCTTGGATTCTCGAATCTGTGCGAAGTCGGTCTCGTGCCTGCATCTGAATCGTTCGACATTCTCACCATTAACGGGAAATGTAATCAAAGACTTACCGGGATCTGTGACTGTATATGGTGAGACCATTGCCATTGTGTATGCGTATGGGCTATCGGTATCCAATGAAACGCGGCGCTTACGCCAGCAGAATCGTGCGATCACGACGGCCCCGACCAGCGCGATCAGACCTCCGATTACAGGACCTATAATTATGGCAATATTAGATTTCTGTGCGGAACCCGCAGAAGCAGCAGTCGTTGTCTGGGATGGGGCCGCTGTCTGGGATGAGGCCGTTGAAGCAGTGCTTGTTCTGGTACTTGAGCTCAAGGTCGAGCTTGCTGTGCTATTGCAGTGGGTATACATATTATTGTTTGTCGCCGCTTCGTCCTTAACACCGGTGTTCATGGTATAGATACTTACAGATGTACTAGTCAGTACTCAGGAAACATGAATGCCTGATTCACGTACTAGAACCTGAACACACCATTAATATTGGTATTATGCTCGCTGAGCTTGATACTCACCACGAACCGTCGTTCCAAAAGAGTTCGTACAGGAAATTGGAGAGTTTGATGTCTTCGTTGCAGACTGCAGCCTGTATGTCATCAGGAAGCCTAGACAAGAAACCACGTAAACAGCATGCAAGCGGAATTTGAGCGCCATGATACTTACGATTGATTCGTTCCTGGAGTGCAAAACGGTCCTGATGGAGAACGATACATCCCATATGCACCAACGCCTGAATAGAATTTAGTTTCTAGTAATATTATGGACATCACTGCAGTGTTACCAGCGTCGATGCCTGAGACAGACCCGCCATTTACATCCCATTGACAGCTGGGTTGTAAGTTAGCGCAATGCTTCCAGTACTCAGCTAAGGAAACATACTTCATACAAAGCATACTCAGCGCCCACGATACGGAGTTGCAGCAACAACTCTCTACGCGTGAATGTAAACCTGGCTTGCACGAGAAGGACCTAACTGAGACGCACGCAATTGATCGTCGCATTGATCACCTGGAGTATTTGGTCGAAAGTTTGGGACTTGATCTTAAAATCGTTTCATGCTTTGTTTGCGCTTCAATGAATACGAACAAGATATGACATACAGTTGGGATTGCATATTTGTCTGAGTCTCTGATATGTCGTACCTATTCAACTCAGGACGGGAATCAAATAAGTAAAAAAGGATGAGTCTCACATGCTGTCTCTCCTACTGCATCCGTGTACCATTGTGTCATATTTCCCGCGCAAGTGGTGTTGCCTGCAACTGCGAAGTCGATTAAAAACACCAGCAGGATAGTTGCAATGGTAGGAACGAGACTTTGAAGCATTTTGGAATTTGGCAAACACACTCGCTGTCAAGGTTGCTGGAGAATATCGGAGAAAAAGAATGAGTGGGTGCAATATATATCTTGGCGAATACATAGTCATCGCCAAGGTGACCTGCAGTTGATGAATCAATATTGTACCCAGGAACGTACTTGAAGCGTTCCGAAACCGGTCGTCTCTAGGCTCGTGACCAACCTGGCTTATATAGCATGGACAAGTCAAGTCGCCTCTTTTGGTAATTTTGAGTCTAAGAGCGCTCGCTTTACCCTCTGATCAAGCGTGCATGAAAGGCAGGACTCCACAAGCGCTCGGATAGTAATTATAGGCTCGGATGTTTTTGGTCACTCTGCGAAGTAATTGCGGGGAAAACGTTCCCGGAGGTCGCAGTTGCTTTGCCCATCTTGAAGGAGGACTACTGAAAGCAAGGGTAAGAGTTCGAAAGGAGGCTTCGATAATTGAGATGGCGCACCATTGATCATGCAATGACTCAGCCTGGCTGTCACTTAAAGCGATATATGGCTCTGACTGTAATGTCGTGCTGCGTCATTGTGTGGAGACGAGAATCCGAGTTATTGAAAAGAGCAGCTTAAGACAAGAACCTTCGCTTTCCTTGTGGCTGACAAATAGCGGATTTCATAGTAGGCGCTGACACACTTAGAGCCCGTTCAGCAACCGATGCATGAACAAGACTTTGCCAAACCAAACACGATTTGGTCAGCACGAGCGTGACGGAGATTCAACCTGAGTCTGAAAGTAGTCAGTGAGCGATAACATGATATGATATGATATCTATGGATCAAGGACCTGCAAATCTGCTCTTTGCTAACACTTTTAATTTACAGAGACCTCTCGTGGTTCCGCTTGTTCGACCTTTGAACTGGACTCAGACTCCCCCCCAGGCTCATGATACTGCACTTCGCCAGTGCATTTTTCAGTTATATCACTCTTATCTTCAGTGTACTACTTACTGCTACTGCACATATAATCCTACAGGACAGTCCTAATGACCCTGAGCCTTACCACACATCAGCCCTGACCAGGCAAGAGTGGGTCATCAAATTGATTCTCGGTCACCCAGATCGCATCCATTGTGAGCTTGGGGTCAATATTCATGTCTTTGAGAGATTGATACATGACCTTTGTGGCCTTGGTCACTCTGATTCACTGCTATGTCTCACTTGAGGAACAGTTAGCTATATTTCTGTACACATGTGTGACAGGATTAACTGTCAGACATGTTGTGGAACAATTCCAGTGATTGAATGCTACAGTTTCTAAGTTTGCAACTTAATCTATGTTTCCCACCTCAGGCTGATATCTCATAGGTACTTCCACAAAATGTTGGATATTCTCTCATTCCACCCATTTTACATGAAATATGTCCACCTTCCTGCAGTCGACGCTCCTGTCTCCAGCACCATTCACAACAACCCAAAGTGTTGGCCAGTATTTCCAGGATGCCATTGGAGCAATCAATGGCAGTCATATTCACGCATTTTCTCCCTCAGCCAGCTGCCATCTATACTACAACCAAACAGGTTTCATATCTCAAAACTGCCTCTTCATTTGCAACTTCAACCTCGAGTTCACTTTCGTGCTGACTGGATGGGAGGGATCAGCGACAGATGCACTACTTTGGGATGTAGCTCAAAATGATGGCTTGAATGTTCTGCCTGGAAAATACCTTCTTGCAGACCTTGGTTTCCCCTCATCCTGACAACTTTTGGTTCCTTACTGTGGTGTTCAGTACCACCTGGCTGAATGGGATTGCGCTGGTGTCAGGCAAGGCTTTTTTTCTCTTTGTAGTCTAGCTCATCCAATGCTACATTTTTAGGCCTGTTAACAAAGAAGAGTTATTTAATCTTCATCATGCCTCTGCTCATAATGTGATTGAACATATTTTGGGCGTCATGAAGCAATGCTTCCACATTCTTTTAGTTGCCCCAGGGTATAAGATAGCTATCCAGGCTCATATTCCCATGGCGCTATGTGCACTGCACAATTACATACTTATTCACAACCCAAATGAAGGGTGTCTTCCTCAGAGGGCTGTCTTTAATGACAACCCTACCTTTCAAGGACAAGCCGGTCAAGCATGGGACAATCAAGGTACTTCTAACAATGTTGATGCAATCATTGGTGACGATGCAGATGCAAACACATTTCATGATCACATGGCAACAGAGATGTGGGAAGACTACCAGAATATATTACAGGACTATGACTTAGAAGACGTATTTCACTTGTTGGATGTTGATGAAGAGCTGGAGGACCTGGAAGACATAGACAAGTTTTATGGGAGCGAGGATGATGATGAAAATGATGCCTAGATTCACAATGCAATTTAGTGTACATAGGACTACAACAATATGTGCTGCATATTAAAGAGTGACAGCTATGTAACATGATTCAAGAAACAAAGAAGAACAAAACAAGACAAACAAATGAGAACTGAGATGAAAGTGCAATGAAAGAGACAAAATTTGATCTGCATGTGAGAATATGATTTAAAGCAGTCCAAAATCCCCCCTGGCAGCCTGAGCAAGAACAGATTGCAAGTAGGGGATGCAATTCTCAACCTTGGCAGACAAGTAGGTGCTGCATACCACTGGGCTCCTTGAGAACACATTCATGAGGGTGATTTGGTCTACTGGCGGAATGCCCTCCTCATCCTGCATGAAGGCCAAGGCCTGGGACCTTTCATTTGCCACCTGAGTTTCTTCTGAGTTGGCCACTGACAAGTGAAGGCTGTCCATCAGTGGTTGATGGAACCTTGTAAATTCATGAAGGCAGCAGTGCTAGCGGCATCCTTTGCTGCTTTAGAGCTCGTCCAATTACTAGCAACACGTGATATTGGACTGCCACCACATGCCGACAACCTTGGCTTTTTGTTGGCATTGGCAGAACCCACCTGTGATGCCAAAGTTTGGGTGGTGTTGGAGGAAAGGACCATGTCTGAGTGAGAGCATTTGCTGGTGCTGGAGGGTGTGACAAAAGAGGGGGGAGGGGGCGCATTCATAGAGCTTTGAGCGATTCCAGGGGTGATGGACAGAAGTGCAGACACAACCTGATCCCATCCAGCATGAAAGTTGAGGCCAGTGTTGCCCCATCCAAGGCCATGAGCCCCACCAGTGGCAGCAGCTTTTGGCACACTGACATCAAGTCCCATCGTCCTTCCACTTGATGCAGTGCTGGTGGTGGTGGCCATGGACCCACTTGCCTCAGTGCTAGAAGCAGTAGCACCCCCTGAAGCCTGCACAGCCAAGGAAGCCAGGTTGTAGGCACTACCCCATGAGCACCACTCCTGTTCAGGAGAATTGCTGTACATCTTCTCCCAATATCTCCACCCATTGGTTTTAAATGGTTTCATAATCTGTAAGTAAGTCATAAAGTAGTACATTGGAGATGCCAATATAAACATACCTTATTTCTAGCGCTGGCATCAATAAACTGGGTCCACTGAGTTTCCACAGCTTGCTCATGTATATTGGCACCATTGACATTGTCCCAGTGACATCCAGATCAATTGCAATATCTCTCAATGGCAAGATGGATTTGTTTCAACTGTAGGGGTAGTTAGCGATGTAGCTAGGTAATATGATAAAGGGAGACATACCACTTTCCACTTTCTCTTACATTGTGCCATGTCCTTGGGCAATCCTTGCTTTGAGAGATGTGCAATGCTCTTTGCAGCCTTGCAAAATGTCTCATCTTTAAAGGTGACCCCAGCAATCTTCAACACCTGCAGTTGTAGATATGACAGGAGGCCATCAACCTCTTCCTCACTCCACTGGGCCTTGGATTGTTTGGATTCACCCTCCTCAATCATGTTAAATAGTTGAAATTGAGTAGAGATTATGAGTACAGTGATAGTCGAGTGGATCTGCTTTCGCTGATAAGGACTGATTTGACCTCGAGTCGTGCAGGGAGTAGTCATGATTGGAAGGAAAGATTATTGAGACTCCGTCACGGCAGCTTCCATGCTGCTCCAACACAAACACGTACATAAACCAAAATCTTGTTCAAACATTGGTTGCTGAACGGGCTCTTAAGCTTCAGCTTTGATGTAGAGCGCAATTGGACGTGCTTACTGCTATATGACCCAATACTGCTGACCACTACTTCCAGCTTCTATGTCAGCCGTGCATATAGTATTCGTCAGCTCTGAAGCGCACTGCACGCTTCGGACTTGCATAAATAGCTGATCATGACATCTTTACCGTCGAGCTCTAAATCATGGCTGAAACAGTTGCACTTTCCGATGGTGAGTTTCTACCATCATGCGTCCACATAGTATCTGATCAACCCAAATCATCTACTAGGCCACACCATGCCCACTCTTGGGCTTGGTGTCGCAATGAACGAGGAATGCGCGGAAACTTGCAAGGTTGCCCTTCAAAATGGTTATCGGTGAGTATTGCACATCAGTCAGAGCTTCGAAACTCAGTTAAATCATTAGAATGATCGATGGGGCGCGGTACTACGAGAATGAAGTTCAAGTTGGTGTTGGGGTAGGGAAAAGTGGTGTTAAGCGTGAAGACATCTTTATCAGTGAGGACATCTCATTCGGGAGCTCCTAGACATTGGCCTCTAACCTATCGGTCCCCCCTGTCATGTTAGCTTCCAAGGTTTTCCATGATGATTTCACCTACGACGGCACAACGGCTGCTTTGAAAGACTCGATCGCGAACCTTGGATATTGCAAGTATTGTACCTTCCTGATAATATCTACGGCTTACAAGACTGGTACTAGCGTATTATGATTTATACCTAACCCACAGCGCTACTGGAGGTAGGGAGGCACGTCTTGCCGCCTACAGGGCTCTCTTGGACGGCAAGGCGAGCAGGGATGATCAGATCTGTCGGCGTCTCCAATTAGTAAGTATCATCGCTCATAGGTGTCCTCTCGGCTGACAGTCACATAGCTCAGAAAATCACATAGAAGAGATACGTGAGGCTGGTCTAGAGATGCCTGTTGTAAACCAAGTAGAGGTGAGTATTTCTACGATTGACTCATAGAGCCATTGGAAGAAGGCTGAAACTGTCATCAGTTACACCCATTCTGCCAGCAAAAACCCATCGTCGAGTATTGTAGGAAGAACAACATCATTGTGCAGGCATACTCGCCTCTTCTGCGTGGTGCTCTCGACAACCCGGTCATCCAGGAACTCTCCACAAAGGTGACTATATAGTGTGTCTTCTTGCGTCGTAATATCTGAAGTGTTGCAGTACTCCAAAGATCCCGCTCAAATCCTTATCAGGTGGTCTTTGCAACGAGGGTGAGTGACGTGTGATTGGTATTTGCCCATACTCTTATTTGACTCTATCCAGATTTGTGCCTCTGCCGAAATCCTCGCAGCCTGAACGTATCATATCCAACGGCCAAGCATTTGGTTGGAGCATCGAACTTGCGGACATGGCAAAGCTTGACGCGTTGGACCGCGGGAAGGAAGGTGCAGTTACCTGGAATCCAGTCGACGTCGACTAAGGAGTCAGGTCAGCCTACGGTTCTGACCGTATGAAGGCCAGATGTTGTGCTATATCACGGTATGATGTCAGTGTGTGTGAACTTGAGACGAGAGTACTCAACGAATACATTTTTGCCACCTGTCTGGACTGCACAGCTGCAAATTCCGGACTGGAAACCCATTGGATGATCAAATTTTCACACGACGACTTGATGGGAACCATGTTTGGTTCCTTCCCGGCTTTGACGGGCGGCATATTTTATGGGCGCTATCAAGCTTCAGCTTCAGACTGTTCAGTGCTTGAGATAGAGGAATGCGATGAGAATTGATGTCATGATGTCTTGTGCTATCGAGATTCTGGTGCTGGGAAGACATCCTGCATGTGAAGGGAAATGCGCAAGTCGCGCCTACATGTGTTGGGTACGAACAGAGTACGGGACAAACTAGAGTACAGGCAGTATATACAACGAGAGAATTTAGTACTGAGTCCAGAACCAGGGCCCGAGGATGAACCAGGAGGCCAGAAGGACCACCCCAAACGGCTTGACAGGCGAACCAGCAGAGAAACTCAACGGTTCGGCGGCCTCACTGGTGGATGGGTGCGAGAGAGCAGGAGAACCCCTAGCTTCAAATTAAGAGCTCTTCCAAGTTTCCGGAGTTAACGCTGGAAGGATCGGTTTAGGAACTTGACACACCAGCAGTCTCTGCCATTTGGTGGGTGTCTCTGTTTTTTTTTTCAGTTGAGTTGACCGAGTGTAGTAGGGTTCGGGTGGGTGCTATGATCCATCGATGCAGACGTCGTCCTTTGTTATTAAATCACGATGCAATATCGATAATCACGAAAGAAATCAGTCTGGTGATGACCTATTTTCTAAGAAAGGTAATCAGGACGAACCGTGCTTATACAACACTCGCACACCTTGCGATAGAACGTCCGGGATGGTTCTACATACGATCCCACGAACTCATCAACGTGCATCCAACTGAATCTGATCATCGCAGAAGGAGAAATGTCCACCATGATACCCGCCGTGCTACACCTGCGAATTCGGGGATGCAAAATGACGCGGTTCAAATCCGTTCTCCGAGGGAATGGACAGTGATACGCGAAGGAAGGTGTCGAGATCGCAAGAAGGCCTGTGACTGTGGAAAGCACCTGAAGGCACTCAACCAAGAAGCTGTCAAACAATCTCGGGACTCAAAATTTGGTCGACACAAGCTCGAGATCGTCGTGGGGACAAGGGCCGCTGTGTTCCACTTCCTACCCTGAGGTAGAGATTTATATAGAGGGAGGGGCTGGGCTACTGGCATGCGCCTGCGGGACTGAAATTGGTGTCCGTAGAAGGTGACGTGGGTGACTTTGATTTGCTATTACGGGGACATAATGTGGGATGATGATGTGCATGTGAGCAAGGTTCTTTCTCACTCTCTTCAATGTAGAGCGTGCGTTGACGGTTCAACCAGGCTCGTCGTGGTGATCAATTGGTGGCAAGAACATAAACCAGGCTTTAACGGGAAGTGCCGACTCCTGATTGGTTTATGCAGGTCTTATGAGGCCCCGGAGGCTCCCATCCAAAGATAGCAGATTTGAGACCAAGCTTAGCCCGAGGTCTGTCCATAGATAACAGATTTTTAACGGCCGGCCGGGCTGTTAGGTGTTCAAGTTGTCAAACGCAGACCAGCATTTTCATTCCGTGCTTCTTGCAGCGTTATCGAGCTAATATTCATGGATGTACCACGACGCTCAACATCAAGTCCGAACGATTCGCAAACATCGAGCTAGTGATCGACGCAGCCTGATTTCCGGAGCAAAAAAAATACCCGGAACGAAGATGGATGCTTTTGATGCAGCCCTCCAACAAAATGACGAGACGGTAGTCGCAGGCTAATGAAGCAAAGATTACCTAGACAGTCTAAGCTCAAGATTTCTAGAGGCAGGATCACGAAGGTTTAGTGTTTTGTCATAGGTACGTACTTAATGGGGACGCGTCCAATCCGTTGCTCCTGTTCGCTAATGGGTCACATCTCACTGGGGTGTCAAACCACGTGACATGTCAGATTTGAGTTCTCGAGGTCGAAGCTCCCCAGGGCCATACGTCTGTCCACCCTGTCGGTGCCCGCTTGCTTCACACAGTTAGCTGTCTCAGCCCGGTATGAAGAGGCCGTCAGCTTCTATGTCAGCCGTGCGTATAATATCCGTCTGTTCCCAAGCGCGTTGTACGCTTCGGACCTGCATAAATAGCTGGCTCTTTCCCTATCTTTATTCTTCAGCTCTAAATCATGGTTGAAACAGTTACACTCTCTGATGGTGAGTTTCCACCATCATATGTCCACGTATTATCTTATCAACACAAATTGTCTAGGCCACACTATGCCCGCTTTTGGGCTTGGTGTCTACTTGAACGAGGAATGCGCGGAAGCTTGCATGGTTGCCCTTCAAAATGGTTACCGGTGAGTTTTACATATCAGTCAAAGTTTTAAAACTCAATTAGATTGTTAGAATGATTGATGGGGCCCGGCTCTACAAGAATGAAGTCCAAGTCGGTGTTGGGGTAGGGAAGAGTGGTGTTAAGCGCGAAAACGTCTTTATCAGTGGGGATGTCTCATTCGGGAGCTCCTGGACATTGAATTCTCACATATCTGGTCACCTTTGACACGTTAGCTTCCAAGGTCTTCCATACCGATTTCACCTACGATGGCACGACGGCTGCTTTGAAAGACTCGATCGCGAACCTTGGATCTTGTAAGTCTTGTACTTTCCTGATAATATTTACTGCTTACAGGATAGGTACTAGCGTATTATGATTTATACCTAACCCACAGCGCCATTGGAGGTAAGGACGCACGTCTTGCCGCCTACAGGGCTCTCTTGGACGGCAAGGCGAGCGGGATGATCAGATCTATTGGCGTCTCCAATTAGTAGGTATCATCACTCATAGGTGCCCTCTCGGCTGACCATTACATAGCTCAGCAAAGCACATAGAAGAGATTCGTGAGGCTGGTCTAGAGATGCCTGTTGTGAACCAAATAGAGGCGAGCATTACTGCGATTGGCTCACACAACCATTGCGAGGAAGCTAAAACTGTCATCAGTTACATCCATTCTGCCAGCAAAAACCCATCGTCGAATACTGTAGGAACAACAACATCGTTGTCCAGGCATACTCGCCTCTTGTGCGTGGTGCTCTCGACAACCCGGTCATCCAGGAGCTCTCCACAAAGGTGACTATATGCCATATCTTCTTGCGTGATAATATCTGATGTACTATAGTACTCCAAGATCCTGCTCAGATTCTTATCAGGTGGTCTTTACAACGAGGGTGAGTGACTCGATTGGTATCTGCCTATACTCTTATTCGACTGTGTCTAGATTTGTGCCCCTGCCGAAATCCTCGCAGCCCGAACGTATTATATCCAACGGCCAAGTATTTGGTTGGAACATCGAACCTACGGACATGGCAAAGCTTGACGCGTTGGACCGCGGGAAGGAAGGTGCAGTTACCTGGAATCCAGTCGACGTCGACTAAGGAGTCAGGTCCGCCACCTCAGAGCTACCTCGTTATTTTAGGAAGCAATGTACTAGTACGAACAAAGAATCCGACTCTTTCGTTTGCAAGTATGCAATACAACAACGTTCAAGACCACTACGTCACAAAACAACGACAGAGGACAATAGGAGGTTAACGAGAGGGAATATTTATACTTGCACGAAAGTACTAGCACATCGTAATTTTCACAGCGATCAGGTGCTATTGCCAAAAGTCATGAGTCTCCGGCGAATGTCTGACAGGCGCTGTTTTCTTGTCGAGAGCGATGCACGTTTCTGAGCGATGGAAGCATCTTCGCTAACCAACTCGTTCATACGCTCAGAGAAGTTGGACCCAGACGCAACATCGGTCAACAAGCTCTTGAAAAGACTCTGCGACAATTGTTCTGCCAGGGCATGGTGAAGAGCATGCTCAATAGTTAGAGGAATATGATCAATGATGCGCTGCTCGAGGGATAAGCAAGCTGAAACGCAGACGACAAACGAGACTCACCTTGTAAGCGACGTGATAATAGGCTCGAACATCAGCCATCACAACTAGCTCTTCCTGGAAGGAGTCGGGAGGTAGCAGACGCGCAAGATCCGGTATCCCAATATTCGCATAGCCCGCTTCTGCAAGCGCCCTCAAAGCTTTGGCCTCAGGCGTCTCCGACGTCGAATAACTGTGGGATGGAGCGGCTGGACTCAAATCACGAGGCTGTGAGGATGCAACGCGCGGAGCTGGTTTTACCCGTGCCGAAGCAAACGATGGAGTATGCGCCACTGTCCTTGGTGAATCATAATCCCGCGGTGTTTCCCTTACTGAAGGATATCCCGGCATCACTGCTGAAAGATATGCCCGCTCTGTCGGTCCTTCGCAGGCTATCGGTCCTGCGGAATCTACCTCTTCTTCCAACATCGACCCTTCCTCAGAATAGTCATCGTCATCAGGGGACGTGGCTGAATGATGCTGCTGAATATGATGTACGGGGGCCTTATACTGAGAAGCTCTACTCCGAACTGTCTTATAATGAGCCAGCCATTTTTCGCGCAATGTTTGAAGATAGTGCGTGTTCTGAGTATAATGCGGAGTAGTTTCCAGAGCCAAGGCCGATTTGACAGCTTCCTTGGGCGTGTGCTTTGCAGACACCAACATGGATTCTAATCAAATCGCTAGTGTCACAGACAACTTAGGCTAAGGCGATAGTTATAAGGAGTAAATGCTTACCCAACATAAGCCCTCGAGCACTTTGAAGCGTCCAAAATGGACACTTATGAGTGTGTCGATGACTTGATCGAGCACATCATTGATGCCAGCAAGACAGCGCTCAGACGGAGCGACCCAGAGTTTAGTGAATTGGGCGATGAGATTCGCCTTCGCCTGATATGGCACATTGTTCGGAAGCTCCCATCCAATTGCCCTTGATGATTGGTTGAGCTGCTCTCCAACTGTCACGACAAAACACGAAAACATACTCGTGGATGACCCTGCTGACTTCATATATGCCCATCACTTTCACGCCAGGATCTCGCTCAATAAGGGTCATCTTCCCTTCAGTATCGTCCAGTGGGATATACTCTTCCGGTTTGTCAAAAGGCCTAAAGTCAGGAGCAGTGCCGCGTATATTCCTCTTGAAGATAGCATAGAGCGCGCGGTTCCGCTGCGCAAGACGTTTGTCTTCGTGACTGCCATTCACAAAACTCTTAAAGACATCGCAGAACGCATTGACACGTTCTAAAACTTCGATTTGTGGGTCGTTTGCAAGTGGTGGGGGCAATGCATCGAATTCCTTGTTACATTTGACAAGGAGCCTGTCGACATCTTCTCTGAGGCGCGGTAAACTATAAACAAGGTGACTTAAGTTCTGTTATAGCAAGCGACTAGAATTTCTACGCACGTTTCTTCAATTAGCTGGATAAGCAGTCGGCTTACATCGGAAACAAATCCCGGAATCCCGAACCGATGACGGTCGGTCACGCCATTCCAGGGCGATGTCGTGTCGAAATATGCAGTAGCACGCCTTTGCAATTCAGCACGAGACAGGCGTTGTGCCCGTTCGGCATCATCAGGAAGACGCACGCAGTAAAAACCGTGTCTCAATGTGTGATCCTCCGAACGACCCTCGATGATTTCTACCCATTTTCGGCGCTGGTTGATAGCACCGGCGCCGAGTGTGTCAGGTTTCGTAAGGACACCTGAACAATTTTGTTATTTAATCATATTGCAATATGGGCGACTTGCCAATTGTTCGCTTTCCGTTGGGGTCTGCAGCCCTCGCAAGAGTCATGGATTGTTGATTTTCCATATCATCTAGGAGGGCACCATCACTCAGTTACAAAGGATTTCGCAGTTCATACACGTACCACTCATGGGAATTGTGGTCAATATGATGGTGTTCTCTTTCTTGGTGTAATGTTCCGCCAAACTTTTCACGAGGGCAACAGTTTCGGCTTCTTCGTTTTGGATCAAACCTTCATTGCACATCAGATGTATTGTCTCGATCCAGATCAGCATTCTTACCTGGTAGATCATAGAACGACAAGTCTGTGGCCTCGGGGTCTTCAATCGAGACGCACACCACGTTACGGGAGAACTTCAGTGTATTCCTTAAGCTCCTGAGTTCTTCGATGGTCTTCGTGTGAAAACTCGAAGAAGGGACATTCGGGTTCAGAATGGCTGCCTGGGCACGACGCTAGCCAAACTTCAACCTCACTTCTGTCGGTAATCGTTCGGCCAAAGGGCGCCGTGACAGTCTTTTGCACTGGCAGATCTCGGCCGTTATTGTCGAAACCCATCCGTAAGGTGATAGTGCAAGACCACGATGTGGCATGACTAGACATCGTACATTCCATAGGACATCTGACAGAGTAGCAGTGAGCATCCCTTGCAGCGACTGATTGTGGCAGGGTCACCTTGTACATGTTCCACTGTCTCTTGGGACATTGATCTTTATCATAACGGAAAAAATAATTAGGCCAGCGAACAAAAGAACAAACTATCTACCGACGTACCCCACTAACGGCTTCGACGAGTGAGCTTTTGCCCGCTGAAATACTGCGTTGAGTGTAGCTATGGTTGCAAGAGGAGGCGACCACGAACCTGATTGGCCACCAATGACGACTACGGATGGTAAGTCGATGAGCGCGTCGGCACTATAAGAAATCGCATGAGCAAGCTGTGCAGTCAGATCCACAAACACGCACCCCATGGACTTGAGGTCAGACATCATTTTCATAAGCTCTCTACGCCTGCGGGCATAGTCAGTGGATGATATGTCAACCCCCATATCTGGAGGGTTGGCAAAACCAGGAAGAGGACTTGGCATTAGGAGACGTATTGCCTGATGATGTGGTCTTCATGGTAGATGGGATATACACAATACCTGAATGATCTCTAGTTTTATGCACCGGCTAGCGCCTTCTTGGACATGCGTGTCAAAGTATACAACGTTAACTTGAAATCTAGCCGGTAAGCCACTTGCATGGATAAGAAGAGAGAGCGCCGTGAAATGTCGCTCACACAGCAACCATCAGCAGATGATAATCTATTGGTGACCTTGTTGTTCTTTGACAGCTATCTGCGGACATCCCTATGTAAATGTCGTAAGACTCGTACCAGCCAATCAGAAGAGATCTGCGATGATCTATTCAATAAATTGTGTTGTTCTGATATATTCTGATATCAGAGCCTATCAGAACCTGTCCATACAAGGATGTGATGAGAATCGCCCGCAAAAGGACACGCACAGCACATAAAATTGTTATCTCGTACAGGATGTCACGTATGAGCGCTCGTAGGTCCATAATTTTTTTTTTAAATTTTAATCCTTGTTTATTGTCCGTTGGGGCGTAGCCCTATGTTAGACAGTACATGCGGTATGTTACTCTATGGTACTCGGTGTTTATCTAATCTGGTGAGGGGGTTCTGTAATCCTGGTCCGGGCTGGTGCGAGGATGATAGTGCTGTCTTAAGGCATATGAAGAGGGGATGGCTAAGCACTTAGCGCATCATGATGGTTCTAATTCTTCTTTGGGGGGCTGATGTCTCCGAAGGTGCTTGCTAAGTGTTTGGTACGAGCGATGAATTTGAGGACTGCCTTGATATTTTTCCCCTCGTTTAGGAGGTCTTTGAGGCTGTGCATGCACATTCTGATCTCTGCTTTCATGATTGCTCTTTGTCTCGTGTGTGCTGGGCATGATAGAAGAAAGTGGTGTACTGATTCTTCTCTTTCCTTGCAGGCAGGGCAGAGTGGGGAGAGCACTCTCGAAATTCTGTGGAGGTGTTTGTTCAGAGGGATGTGGCCTGTGCAGAGCTGGATGAGTAGGGCAGCGTGCTTTCTTGGGTACTTGTCTGCTAGTTTCGCGAAGTGGTTGGATGGGTAGGATGGGTCTATTTCCTGGAATCTGTCACTATGTGGTGAGTTGCACAGGACAGTTTTTGCTTCTTTGTTGATTGAGGCATTGAACATTTGCTTTATGGCTGATTTGCTTTCTGGGAGGGTAGCCAGCATGTTGTTAGGTGAGCAGAGTGATGTGGGGAGTAGGTGGGTGTCTGTTGTTTCTCCTCTTGCCGCCCTTTTGGCTTGTTCATCTGCCTGTTTGTTTCCAGGGATGCCAATGTGACCCACTGACCAGTGTATAGCCAGTTTTCCATCACCCTCGGTAGGGAAGAGGGTGTGGAGGTTGTCATGGAATTTGTCCATCAGATAGTGACCCGGTTTTGACTGGAAGGTGTTGGTCGCTCTAATTGCCACTTGGTTGTCTGCTCCCAGAGCCATTGTCCTTCTTCCTCCTCTCGCTCTCATCTTGTCTTTCAGCAGCTTGACTGTGAGTATCATTCCTACTATCTCGCCCTCATACACCGTGTGTTCCTCCTCCTTTCCTAGGTGGAATCTGCTCTCCCTGATTCTTCTCTCCCCTTCCATCAACACAGCTGCGCCTCCTACACCTCCATCTATTACTGAACCATCTGAGTACACCCTTAGCTCTTCTCCTGCTCTTGTGTCTTCCTCAAGTGACTTTTCCTTCAACTCCACTATCTGCACTTTGACGTCTGGGGTCCACTTGGGGTAGTGGCGAATGGGGAGGATTGTTTCGGTGGTGTTAGGGTTGATCTTGAATTCACGGAAAAGTTTGTGTATTGGGGATGGGAGTTGTTTCTGTTTGGTGAAGTCATGCTTCGCTAAATATCGGTGTGCTGACGCGACACCTTTATGTAGTGGGTGGTCCGTGTGTAGGGTGGCCAGTCTCAGTGTGGCGTGGTGGCATTGGCTTCTCAAGATTTGCTGAAAAGGGGCAGTATCAGCATGCATGTCAAATAGGTCTGAGGCAGTGGAATGCTGTGGGAATCATATTTCTGCTGGCCAAGCTGCTGAGTGGAGAGCAGTATGTTCAGCCCATGGGATTCTGACTTGGCTTTTTGCTCAGAGAGTAGAAATTATCATCAAAAGGGACTGTCATTCAGGCTGGTACTGACACTAGTGAAAGAGATACATGCTTAAGTAAGCAGCAAAAATGCGAACATAAGCTAAAGAAAGTGGGAGTAGGTAAAGGTAAGTAAAGTAAGTAAATCTAAGCCCAAGGAAAACTTGACTGTCACAACGCATTGCCCCAGTGATTAGGATAGTGGCCATCCTGTGGACTTGCACCATCTGTGACGCAAAGCCCCTCGCTCCTCTGCCTCCTGATTTGCCCCTTCCTTTTGAGATGAGGTCTGTGCACCACACATCAGCTGCGTATAACATCTTAGGAATGATTACTCCTCTGTATAGTTTTCTCATCCACCTCCCCTTCATGCCCTTCGTTGTTCTGATCATTCTCTGGCACGTCATCATGTACTTTGTGCCTTTTGCCAAGGCGTATGTGGCATGTTCTTTGAAGCGCAGTTCTTTGTCGATTATTATTCCTAAAAACTTATGTGAGTGTGAGGGATTAATGGTATGATTACCTATTGTGATTGAGGGACGATGCATGGGTTTCGATTTTCCGGGGTTGTCTTTGTCTGCAGTGTGCTTTCTTGACAGGCAGATCAGTGCAGTCTTGTCTAGTTCGAATTCAGCGTTGTGCTCATGGCTCCACTCTAAGGTACCCCCCGGTTTTTCCATCATGTTCTTGAGTTTGTTGTTGGCTTCTTCATATGTTTTTGCGTGTGCCAGGAGGGCTATGTCGTCTATGAAACCTAATCCCATTTCTCCCTGTCTTGGTTTGGGGTCTGGAACTCTTAGGACATCTGCATTGTAAAATATGAAGGTGAGGGGGGAGAGCAGGCAGCCTTGATCAATGCCATTTTGAATGTTGAAGGGGGCTGATTTGAAGTCGTCAGATGATAGTGTCGTTTTGCGGTTGGACAGTCTGCGACGGTACCAGTCTATGTATTCTTGGGGAAGGCGTGCTTTCTTGAGGTTGTGGAGTAGCTTATTGACTATCACGCTAGGAAAGGCTGCTTTAACGTCCAAAAAGAGAATAGATACGAAACTGTCCTTAGAGGCCCATGTGTCAGTGACAAACTTCATTAAGAGATGGAGTGAATCAGTGGTAGATCTGCCTGGGCATTGTGAAGAAGTAATAGGTACTAGGCTGTTAGCAACTAGCACTACTTATCCTTAAGAGGCACGAGTTTAATTGATTGGCCTGAGAGGACTGCTATTGAAGCACTTCCTTCAATTATGCACAAGGGAAGTAAGTGAGCGAAGGGGTTAAAATCTATATCAGCCTAAGAAACTTGAACGCTGGCCATAGGTATACCTCTGAACTCCTATACCAAGGAATTGACCAGGAGCGCAGGCAAAAATCAACCATTGTTAATAAAAATCAACTGCGCTCTATGGAGCGGCTGGTCGCAAGGGATATAGCGCGAGTGAAGAATAGCGCTAAACTACCAGTCGTGGGTTGAGTATTCTTGCCAAGCTTGAGGGTAAGTTCCTAGTGGTATGGACTTCAGAACAGTCGAATTGCGCAGGATTGTCAGGAAGGAACAAAATAGATGGATAGTGCAAGGTCTACAAAATAATGCGAGAATCACTCTCCTATAGAACCGATTCCGGGGGAAGAAAAACTACTTCATTGTATGTACTGCGGTCATTTATATCATAGTGTGTGAGTGTCTGGAATGCGTAGGCGAGAATTGTAGCGTGGTTTAGCGAGTGCACAATGAGTCTATAGGTAGTAAAACATCATGCGCTGCAGAATGTGAGTAGTCGTGTAATAAGACCTGCAGCTCATTTAGCAATGACATTTGGGAAAATAACGCACCAGCAGAGATAGGTGGACATGGATAGGACATGAGAGGATGGATTCCTAGGACCAGACTGGAGTAAGAGCGGATGGGTTGATATATATGGATTTAATGATCCGCGCTTTATCTCCTTTTTCTGTAGGTGAGAAAGACCATGCTATTGATCATACATGCCTAGTGCCGGCCTGATCGTCACAGCGTCCTCCGAAATGCGTTGGGGGGAGGAGGTTGTGCTGTTCTGAAATATATGTTAGATCGTCTGCTACACAAGATGAAAGGATCTTAGCCATTGAGTCAAGAAGGGTGATTGGTCTATATGCTTTGGGGAGGGAGTAGTCCAGGCATCCTGGTTTTTGAAGGACAATGGTCAAGGACTGTTTCCACTCATCTGGATAGACTCCGAGATGGAAGGTGGCACAAAAGATAGGGCCTAGATAAGGAATGAGTAGGTTGGCGCATTTGATGAATACTATGTTGCTGATTCCATTGGGTCCTGGGGCTTTGTGTGGACCAAGTCTCGCAATTGCTCTGTGGATTTGCTGGTGGGTTATTGGACGGAATTCACATATTGGTGGTTCATATTCATAGTTGGGGTCTACGAAGTTGTTGTCCAGGGGTGGACAGAAGAAGGTTTCATATAGGAGCTGGCTTTTTCGTTCATTATCTTGCGTGTCATTCACGTTAGCTTCGGGTGCAGGTTGAGGGTCTTGAAGTGTCGTTATCCTCGTGTGGATTTGCTCTGCTGGGTTGCTTGTGGCATATCTGTGGAAGTTCCAAATGCCTGTCTCAGTTAGCATTTCTAGCCATTCATCCCAATGTGAGTCCTTAGCCTTCTTGATATTTTCCGAGAACCGGTTGTGCACTGTTCGGTATTCTTCATGGATGGGGTGATTTTTCTGAGGTAGCTTGTTCCTTGCTTTCTTGCCGAGCTTGTGGACTTGCTTGCATTCTTGGTCCAGGTCTTTCGACCACCATCTTTTTGAGTATGGTGAGGGCTTGACTTTCAGGACCTGCTCTTCTACGGTCTTGAGTATAGCTCCTGTTAGTGCTGTCAGCGATTCTTGGAACTGGTCTCAGTTAGTGAGCTCGGTAGGGTGTCCGATGTTGTCAAGTCATGTCGCTAGGGCTTCATTGACTAGGTCCCAGTCTGCCTCTCTATAGTTCAGGCACGGGGTTGGATTTGTGCAGTTGGGGTTGAGGTCCAGGGTGCTTATAATGGGGTAGTGATCGGTAATGACTGGTCTTAGATGGTACTTGACTTCGCATTGGGTGAAAGCATTTACAAGGGCCTCTGAGCAGAAAACATTGTCGGGGTGGGTTTGGTTCTTTGTGTTCAAGGCCTCAAGTGTGGTGACACCAGTTGGGAGGACTTGGGTGAGGTTGTACAGTGCTAGAAGGTTGATTAGTGTACCTGCTGAGTTCAGGTTATCCGCTGTGAAGAGGTGAGTGTTACATGTTAATTCCCACATGGGGTGGTGATGGTTGAAGTCTCCCATCCAGATTATGTGCTCTGCGTCGTCTTCCATGCCTTGAGCAGTCTCTAGTGTGGTTTTGGCATACATTATGTTCAGTATGCATATGACGTTCTAGGAAGTGGAGGACATTGTCGTGGTTGCATGGGTTATATACATTATAGATACACACCTTTCCGAAGGGGCCCAGTAGTTCGATTGCCATGATATTTGAGGAGTTGATTTTTATTGTGTGCCATTTGTTCTTCAAAAGTTGCTTGTTGATGAGGATGATCATTTGGGTGCAGTCTGGGCTGGTGTGGTGATGTGTCGGATAGATTACATCCCAGTAGCGACCCAGATTTGAGGCATTGGCGAGTTTGACCGGGTTGAGGTAAGGTTCCTGTATACAAGCTATATCATACACGTCAGGGTTTAGATTACAGATTAGATGTTCCCATGCGCCAAGGGATTTGTGTAGATTTTGCTGCCAAATTTTGAGGTCCATTCTGTTGGGGGGATCGTTAGTTGTGTTGGGCATTAATCCCAGCCGTGGTGGTCAATATCACTGTTGGAGATGATTGGGTGGTGTGGCAGGGGGGGAGTGTGTCCATCAGTGGAGGTTGGTGGTTTCTGTTTGCTGGTGTGGGTCTGGAACTGTGTTCCTGGGGAGCTTGCTGGGTGTTTGTACCCCAAGTGTTGGTGAGGCAAGCTTGGGTGCCTAGGGGTATGTGGTTAGAGTTTGTGCATTGCTGGTTTGTCTTGTTGTGTTGTCAGTGGTTGGGGACTGTGTTCCAGTCCTCCTCATGGGGTGGTGGGTGTCGTTGTTCAGCTGGGTAGGTTTGCTGCTGGTGGTGGTCAATGTTGATGTTGGCTTGGGTGTGTCTGCTTGTTTCCCATGTTAGCAGGTCCTCAGTAGGGAAGTATATGTACTGGGCTTCATCGTTTCTGTTCTTGTGTGTTTCCCATTTCGCTTTGAAGGTCAGGCATTCTTGGCTCCAGGCTGCATGTCCGTTTGACTTGCAGTTGACACAGTGGTAGGCTGCTGCATTGTCAATCTTGCATTCTGCAGTGCAGTGCTTCTCGCCACACATGCCGCAGGTGTCATGTTCCTGTTGACATTCCGCAGCTATGTGCCCTCCATCAAAAGTGTGACACTTTAGACATCTTGTGGGTTCAGGAAGCAGTTTGCAGCCATACACCTTCTTGCCCTCTATGGTGATTCCATGTCAAAGGATCTGGTTGGCTGGGGTCTTTGAGTTGAGGGATAAGGCAATGTGAGCGGTCCTTTGGTTCAGATTTCTGCGAGCAACAGGTTTGATGTATCTGGCCTTGATCACTGATTTTGGTTGAAGGCCACCTTTCATTTCAATTTCTGAGGTCACCACTGGAGAGGTTGGGTTGAAGGATACAGGGACATTTTCGATGATGAGGTGGTACATGCAGTCTTTTATGATTACCTCTGCTCCGAATTGTTCCAGGAAGTTGCTTCTGTTCCCTGGGATGCTAAGCCAAGCCGCTGATTCCGGGTTGCTGAGTTCGTAGAGAATGCCGCCATGAGCAAGTTTTCTTGCTGAGAGGATTGCCATGTTGGAGGGGAGGTCCATTCCTGCATTTTTGAGTAACTCAATGGCCATTTTGGCCTTTGCAACTAGTTGTGCCTCTGTAAGTTCTCAGAGGGAGTTGACACCAGTGATGAATCTTTTGCCGATGAGGATTTGTGTTGCCTGTGCTTCACTATGTGCTAGGATTCTGGTTAGTGGTGCAGGCATCCCCAACTTTGTGGCATTGGCATATGATTTGGGTCCTTCAGACCATTTTGTGCTCAACTCAGTGATCTTGGTTTGAATGACACCCTCTACTGCTTTCTCTATGCCTTTTGATGATTCAGTGATATGGTCACACACCTCGTTCATGGCCTTGTCTAGAGCAGTTGTTTGCTTGTCTGTGAATTCTGCTAGTGCCTCCACCTTTTTGTCTAGCGTTGCTATGGGTCCACCCATGAGTGCTGCTATTTTCTCTACTAGTTTGTTGGTGTTTATGGTTTGCTCGATTTCATGGGCTATAATAGCAATTGCCCTTAAGGCTTCAGTATGGGTGGCCCCTAAGGTAGGGGATAGGCTTAGTTTGAACAGAGCAAGGGTTAAGTTTTCAAGGGTGCCTCCACCTGTTGATAGGATCAAGCCATTGGTGCTTAAAAACTTTCTCGCTGCTGGAATGGTGGTGATGTCCATCCTAATGTCTGCACCTTCTACATATTCCTTTAGGGTTTTGCTTGGGGTTAGTAGGGTTTTACTGGAAGTAGCTTTGTTCTTTCTAGTGAGAGGAGCCGAGATTGGTGGTGGCATTGGAGTGCCACCATGTGCCATTTCTATGGATATTATTAGTTGAAGAGAGGGTAAAAGTTATTGGGAAGTAAGTTCTATGGGGTTTGGGGTTGGCCGAGGTGATCGGCAGGTCGCCGTTTGACGGCGTAGGCGCTGTTGGGCGCGATGTTGGGGTCTGGTTTTCGGGGTCCTAGCCGGGGTTCCACTTGGTACCGGTCCAAGAAGCAGGTCCATAAATACAAAGGCGACAGCTTAACTTCAAGTTGAAGCTTTAAGGCTGTGGAGTCTGGATAACAACTTGGAAGGCGGATATGACTCCATTTTACATAAGCTTTTGAACCTTAATCATATACAGCTACTTCAGAAAGTCAGCGGTACTGGGAAGTTTGTGTGAGGTCCGACTCTGCGCAGACTCCGCGTCCTAGTCTGCGTCCAGTCCTCAGCTACTTATAGTTACGCGAAACGAGAAATGCCGGCGCCAGTGAACTCGATGATTTCGCTCTGTATATTCTATTCATGCCTCTGTCTCTCACTCAAGATCGTGAATGAAACTGATGATGGCAATATTAATTTTATTCCCAGCGTGCAAAAGAGGCCTAGCAAAGAATTTCGCAACTCCAAGTTGACATGTAAATGTCCAACTCATTCGTACACGACTTCTGGAATTGAACGCTAACTCTTTTCTCTCGGATAATCTCAGCCGTCTACCCTTATTAGCTCCGACACTAAGTTGCCCCTCTTCTGCAGCAGCTTATAAAATTTTTATCGTGAACATGGATGTCAAGTCCAGCTACTTAACAAGACATGTATTACCTTTTCGTTCAATGACTCCAATCCCTACTGCTCCAGCTGGACAGTTAGCCACAATCAATCCCCTTTAAATCTCGCCTACACGAACGCTTCCAACGACTGCCGATGTTTCACTTCCTCGGGCACCGTTCCCGATCTTTGAACGCACCATTTTGCTCACGAGCAAACATCGTGTACCCGCGCCTCCTTTCGTAATTTACGCTGCTCCATTCGCAAAACTATGCAACGACCGGAGTTCGCAGCTTGTAACAGAACAATACAGCAACCACTACATAAATAATGACAGGTCTCAACCTCTATATTTGCACGAAAGTCTAGCAGACGAAAATACGTCGTTACCCCTCAGCGATCAAGTACTGTTACCAAAAGTCATGAGTCTCCGGCGAATGTCTGATAGACGCTGTTTTCTCGTCGAGAGCGATGCGCGTTTCTGAGCAATGGAAGCGTCTTCGCTGACCAACTCGTTCATGCGCTCAGAGAAGTTGGGCCCAGACGCAACATCGGTCAGCAAGCTTGTGAGAAGGCTCTGTGACAGTTGTTCTGCCAGGGCATGGTGGAGAGCATGCTCAATCGTCAGAGGAATATGGTCAATGATACGCTGCTCGAGGAATAAACAAGTTGAAACGCAGACGATAAACGAGACTCACCTTGTAGGCGACGTGATAATAGGCTCGGACATCAGCCATCACAATTAGCTCTTTCTCGCGTGAGTCGGGAGGTAACAGACGCGCAAGATCTGGTACGCTAATATCTGTGTACCCCGCCTCTGCAAGAGCCCTCAAAGCTTTGGACTCCGGAGACTCGCCGCGATAATATAGAGTTTCTGGATGTGCAGGCTGTGCGCGATCAGTCCTGCGTTTCCGAACTATCTTATAGTAGGCCAGCCATTTTTCGCTGAGTGTTTGAAGATAGTGAGTGTTTTGGGTATAGTATGGGGTAGTTTCCAAATCCAAAGCCGTTTTGACAGCTTCTTTGGCGAGCGCCTTGCAGATATCAACCTGAGTTCTTATCAAATTGCTAATGTCGAAAGACAACTTAAGCCAAGGGAATAGTCGTGAGAAGTCAGCACTTACCCAACATAACCCTCAAGGACTTTGAAACGTCCAAAATGGACGCTTATGAGTGTGTCGATGACTTGATCGAGCACGTCATTGATGCCAGCGAGACAGCGCTCAGACGGAGCAACCCAGAGTTTGATGAATTCAGCGATAAGGTTCGCCTTCGCCTGATATGGCACGTTGTTTGGAAGCTCCCATCCAATTGCCCTTGATGAATAATTGAGCTGCCATCCAACTACCACAACGAAATGCGGAAACATACTCTTGGATGGCTTTGCTGATGTCATATATGCCCATCACTTTCACGCCAGGATCTCGTTCAGTAAGTGTCATCTTCCCCTCGGTGTCATCCAGTGGAGGACACTCTCCCGGATTTTCAAAAGGCCTGAAGTCAGGAGCAGTGCCGCGTATATCCCTCTTAAAGATAGCATAGAGTGCACGATTCCGCTGCGCAAGACGTTTGTCTTCATGACTGCCATTCACGAAGCCCTTGAAGACATCGCAGAATGCATTAACGCGCCCCAAAACCTCGATTTGTGGGTCGTTTGCAAGTGGCGGGGGCAATGCATCGAATTCCTTGTTACATTGGGCAAGGAGCTTGTCGATGTCTTCTCTGAGGCGCGGTAAACTACAGACGATGTAAGTTCTGTTATAGCGTGCGAGCTGGAAGGTTCACGCACGCTTCCTCGATCAGCTGGATGAGCAGTCGGCTTACATCGGAGACAAATCCTGGAATTCCAAATCGACGACGGTCGGTTACGCTATTCCAGGGCGAGGTTGTGTCGAAATATTCAGCAGCACGCCTTTGCGATTCAGCACGAGACAGGCGTTGTGCCCGTTCGGCATCATCAGGAAGACGCACGCAGTAAAAACCATGTCTCAATGTGTGATCTTCCGAACGGCCCTCGATGATTTCTACCCATTTTCGGCGCTGGTTGATAGCACCGGCGCCGAGTGTGTCAGGCTTTGTAAGGACACCTAGAAAATCTTGAGTTGATTTAATCATATTGCAATATGGGCGACTTGCCAATTGTTCGCTTTCCGTCGGGGTCTGCGGCCCTTGCAAGACTCATAGATTGTTGATTTTCCATATCATCTAGGAGGGCACACATCAGTTAAAAATGATTTCGCAGTTCATACACGTACCACTCATTGGAATTGTGGTCAATATGATGGTGTTCTCTTTCTTGGTGTAATGTTCCGCCAAACTTTTCACGAGGGCAACAGTTTCGGCTTCTTCGTTTTGGATCAAACCTTCATTGCACATCAGATGTATTGTCTCGATCCAGATCAGCATTCTTACCTGGTAGATCATAGAACGACAAGTCTGTGGCCTCGGGGTCTTCAATCGAGACGCACACCACGTTACGGGAGAACTTTAGTGTATTCCTTAAGCTCCTGAGTTCTTCGATGGTCTTCGTGTGGAAACTCGAAGAAGGGACATTCGGGTTCAGAATGGCTGCCTGGGCACGACGCAGCCAAACTTCAACCTCACTTCTGTCGGTAATCGTTCGGCCAAAGGGCACCGTGACAGTCTTTGGCATGTCTTTGCCGTTATTGTCGAAACCCATCCGTAAGGTGATAGTGCAAGACCACGACGTGGCATGACTAGACATCGTACATTCCATAGGGCATCTAATAGAGTAGTATAAGCATCCCTTGCAATGACTGATGGTGGCAGGGTCACCTTGTGCATGTTCCACTGTCTCTCGGGACATTGATCTTTATCATAACGGAAAACATAATGAGCCAACGGACAAAAGGATAAACTAACTACCGACGTACCCCACTAACAGCTTCAACGAGTGAGCTTTTGCCCGCTGAAATATTGGGTTGAGTACAGCTGTGGTTGCAAGAGGAGGCGACCACGAACCTGATTGGCCACCAATGACGACTACGGATGGTAAGTCGATGAGCGCCTCGGCACTATAAGAAATCGCATGAGTAAGCTGTGCAGCCAGATACACAAACACGCACCCCATGGACTTCAGGTCAGACATCATTTTCATAAGCTCTCTACGTCTGAGGGCATAGTCAGTGGATGATATGTCAATCCCCGTATCTGGAGGGCTGGCAGAACCAGGAAGAGACATGGTATCAGGAGACGTATGGCCCGACGATGTGGTTTGTCTACGTCCGAGAAATTTGTTCATGGTAGATTGGATGTGAGAAATGTGTTATGCACGATATCTGAATGACCTCTGTTTTTATGCCCTGGCGCCTCCTTGGACATGCATATCAAAGCACACGACATTAAGCTGGAATTCAGGGTAAACCACTTGCAGAGAGAGCGCCGTGAGATGCTGCACACACAGTAATTAGTGCATAATCATCTGTTGGTGAGATTGTTGTTCATTGACAGCCGCATCTGGGGACATCCCTATGCAAATGTGAAGTAAGGTCATAGTAAGACTCATACCAACCAATCAGAAGAGATCTGCGATGACCTATTCGGCAAATCCTGTTGTTCTGATATTTTCTGATGCCAGAGCCTACTAGAACCTGTCTATACATGGAAAGGATGCGACGAGAATCGACGGCACAAGGACACGCACAGGACATAAAATTGTTATCTCATACAGGATGTCCCGTATGAGCACTAGTTGTAGGTCCATAAATACTTTAAGGCGACAGCTTGAAGGTGTGCACACAATGTTACGTGTAGGATGCATAGCCCTTCGAAAAAGGAAAACTGCCTGACATTGAAGTTCCAGGGATGGGCTTACACAGCCATACCCTTTGCAAACCCAACCACGATATTGGCTACTCCCCAAGTACCGGGGTCAGGAGGAACACTATCCCTTCCTTCCCCACCCCCCACGTATGATGCCCGTCCTAATCGTGCCTTCATTCTTCGGGTCTTTTCCGCACCTTCTTTCAGAATCACAGCCATAACAGCATCTTCCAGTGAAGCATCTGATGAAAGCACAGTACAAAATAGTAGCAGTGCGTCAACGATGCTTCTATTTCCCGGACGTGTATGTGTATTCCTAACACAGTTAAAGTGGCATCCAGTGAACATGGGCCGGTTAGTGAACGTAGGGTACTGGACCATGCTGTGAAGAAGATCGCAAAAGCTATCAACGCACAGAAACGTTATCCACGTTATTCACGTCCAAGAATTGCCAACTTACGAACACTAGCAGTACCACCTATGCTCCCTTCCAGCATTTCACTTACCTCACTAACAAATGCGACAGGAACTGTCTTCGCTAGATCGAGGATCCCAGAGTCGAGGGCCACAAGAACGGCTGTATTCTGGTCAGGATCAGAGGCAAGCGAACAGCATGTACTCCTAAACAAACCTTTAGCGCCACCAGTGAACGTCTCTCTGCAATCACCATCGCCCACAACCGTGTCAAATTGTGTCATATCTGGCTCAGGAACCAGCGCAGCTTGACGTGCATATCTAATACCTAGTTCATCTTCTCTTCTAACACACCCAAACCTTGCCAAGTCGAATCCCCATCAGATGAAGACTGAGAAATTCCAGAGGGAGAAGAAGTGAAGGTTCGCAGCAAGGCCTCCACCTGCGCTTCATCCTCGGCAGGGGTGGCCCTGACAGCCAGCCACGAACGTACACAAAGCCAGGAATGGGCACCCGTTGGAGCATCCAGGAGCGCGAGCAAGTCGATCTCATCGTCCTCGTTGTTGCCTGCAGCGATATATAATCTATCAGTAGTATGTCCTAGCCATGCGGATGGAACTTGAATCACCATTAATAAGTTCGTAAATACTGAATGCATTCACAACGGAAATGGAGAAGCCAGGCGCACTCAACGAGGTCATCAATGGAGCGCAGTAGACACGAGACGGAACAATCTTCTGCGACGCTAATTTATGTAAATTGCTTTTGTATCTTGGTGAAATCATTTCACCTACCAAGAACGCCACGAACTTCTTCCACTACTGCGCCAATTTCAAGTTGCGATATACCGCCAAGATTGTCCATAAACAACAGTGACATTATCTTCGCGGAGCCACGGCTCATGAGCATCAAACGTGGACACCCCTGAAATGCAAAGAAGTTCATTTTGGAAGGAAATCTTAATTGAATAATGTACCTTCACCCTGGCAGATATTTGCACCATCCTCCGCCATGGAGACATACTCACCAGGTGCAACAATATCTCGGTGGTGAGCCAACAAGAGGATTTAAACAATGCACAGCAGACACCTAGTTCATTGTGTAAACCGAGTTCCAACCCAACGTTGTCATCGGCAATCAGTTGAAAAGCACCACGGTTTCATGCCACGCAATTGATAGCGTAGCAGTGGGATCTAAGAGCATTACCGAATGCTAGCGTATGTGTATGATAAATGATGCCTAAACTCAGACCCGAAAGAGGTTCTCGTCCAGGAACATGACAATGTCCGAGTGCACCATCAATGCTACGCAGATGTACAACCAGCGCGTCACCAAGACACTTCGCACGTGAAAGTGTGGGACTAGGGGCACTTGAAGAAGCGGATGCTACAAGGAGATCTATCATGAGCACTAGCAGAAGCAAGCTACCTTGAAGAAATCCTAGCACTCACCCCATTTGCCACCGAACATTGTAAAAGCACCAAGGACCTTGCACACAAATGTTTCGTCCGAAACCTCTCGGACAGACCATCCCTACGGCCTTCCTGTCTCGCCTTGTCTGGGGCAAAAGCGAAATGTCGTCCGCATTCAGCACGCTCACAACCTTCAGTCCCGTATATTTCGCACGAGCATGCTCCATAGCTAGACCAAAGTTCAAACGATTGCCAGTAAAATTGTTGATGATGACCACCACGTCTCGATGGGTGGGGCCGTTTTCGAACACAGCAAACTCAATGGCGGCCAAAATTCGTTTTGCACTCGGACTTGCGAATACGTCACCAGAGAGGGAGGGCGTTAACATTCTGTGGCATGTATGACCAGTATGCGCAGGCTCGTAACCGGCACCCCTGCCGGAGAGAGCGGTAATGCGAGAGTCGATGGAGAGGAGGTCACAACATATACTATCTTAGTTGCGGCATGTCTAAAGAATGGTGATGGACTGAGTATAAAAGCTTACGGGCGGAGCGCAGGGTTCTGTGCAACTCCACCGCTAAGGGATTTGCGAACGAGGCCATCGGAAGGGTTGTAAATGCATCTGAGACATCGTAAGATGGCACATCATAGACTTCATAAACTAAGGGGTCGCTATTCGGACCTGTTGGATATTATTATGAGGCAGGGGAAGAGAAACTGCGAGCGCCTTGGTAGATAAGCTTGATGTAAAATACAGTGTTGCTTTCGTCGTCTTCGGTGGTTCACCTAATGGTGAAATAGTTCTCAACCCACTACCTGTATCAAATTCAGTTTGTAATATTGAACCAAGATTATGGCAAGCCTGACTATCACCTTGCAAGACCACTCTAGCTGAGTTTGGAAGAAGGCATGATTTCAATATCCGGTGATCGTTGAACGCAGTGTTTTGTTTGTATCCCGGACCGCAATTATGCTTGGAGTTGAATGGAGGCGCCGGTATGAGACCAGAAATGAAGAGAGAGTAAGCATACTACGGCAAGCATACGCCTTATGATGATTCCAAGTAAAGACTCTAGTACTTACATGGTGTCCTGTGGTGAGCTTCGGAAGCTTCCCTGTGCAGTTCCAAGCATAATAGCCATGTGCTCTGGCATGTAGTAGCGCTCACGACGACTACTAGTAGTCACTCACCGGAACAACCTCAAGTCGGCGGCCATGAACGCAAGCCCTTCATCGTGGAGTCAATGACAGTGCCTCGCTTTCAACCCGCCGTAGTCTACTGGCATCATGCTGATCGCGACAGCGCCTAATGAATAAGTGACGACTTACAATGTTCAAGTTCAACAAACACAACCACGGTCCACAACCACCGAGGTGCGATGACAGCGACGTGGCAACTGCATCCGGGACCTGGACGTCGGACAGTCACACGATTATCTTCGAACTTTCAATCAAGTATTTTTGACTGCACCCACGGAAGCCTACTGAATCCTGAAGGCCTGATCATTGACCCATCGATATCGATCATCGCGCGCGCAGATCAAACGCAAATAATCTTTTTAGGGGACAGTACCATTTTGTGGATCCAACTGACCATTGAAGACTGTCACGGTTGATCATGCTGCTGTACGGGTTGTTGCGTTTCTTGCCTCGCGGCCAGCTGCGTCCACGACAAACTTCAGTCTAGGTGTTTTATGTACTAATATCTCGTCAGTATTTTTTTCGTGCCTGTGTCACGGCCTGTAGTAATAGACGTTCCTATTTTCTGCCTGTCCCTGTAATGATATTACCGTTCTGCAGGGTCAACAACGCATTGGAGCCAATTGGTGGTCCCTCGTTGACATTTTACGTGCAGGGCTAGTACGACACGTTCAGGGTGAAACTTTTCCTACTAGCTATGGCTCGATGCACATATGTCAAACTATCTCATCATCAGAAGTTTCAGAACGCTATTGGACCTAGAGCGCATAGAACTTTCAAGTCTGACTTCTAAAATATCATGTTATTATCCATATGCCTTTTTTGGATCTATAATATTTGAAGATTTTCTAGGACTTCGTCTAGACATTCTTTATATGGATATCCAGCCGTCACGAACTCCCTCAAAGATGGTGCCACCATCCTTTGAAATTTTATGTCCCCCTGCTTGTGTTGGTATCTTAATCGGTATAGGGATTACTCAACTTGGACATAGTGCGGCTTTTTGTATTTAAATATGGGCAGGCCATTTTTATAACGGATAGTTTATTTTTAGCCGGAGCCTTTACGAAGTTTGAACATACATGCATACATACGTATACGGTGAACGGCACGACCGTCGGCTGGCTATATATACCGATTCTGCGTGTTTTTTGCACCCGGGTGTTGTTTCTCCTCCCACCATCGAAATTTCTGTAACGCGGTATCCACCACACCTACAGCTCATACATTTTCCCAGCAGATTCAGTTTTCAGTGAGAAAGAATATCCTCGCCGACGAAGTTTCCGCCAATTTTAAACTCCTGCCTATTTCGCGAACCGACAACTCTTAATCACTCGCAATCTCCTTCTGCTTCTCTAAAAATCCTCCAACCACCCAAACTCATCAGCATGCGTTTGTCGTCGCTCTTTACTTCACAGCCAGCAGTCTCCTCAGCTCTCATTGCAACCACGCTCTTTACTTCGTCTGTCAGTGCGCAGGACCGCACCACTGAACAGGGCGAGGCGCAGATCACTGGTGAGGATTAAAATATCATTCGTCCATGCGAGTTACAGGCATTAGCCAAATTAGTTTGGAATGGAGAGATGTATATTGGCGGGCGCATTGCGCATCCTCTGGATCGTCACATTCACGCAAGGCAGTTGGCGCCGCTCCATTTGAGTGGCTTGTTCAGTTGGACATGCCCTTTTTCACTCGAATACAACAACCCTCCGAATAGGAGGGAACCGAGGAACGCTTCGGCCTTCCATGCGGGTATCATGACGTTGGTGACACTACGTTGCTATTTGCGTCTATACCTTCGACATTTATATATGTTTGACACAGATGGACGATAATAGCCCTGACAGCTTCAGCCACTCTTGGCCCTGAATTTTTGGATTACGTACTTCATATTTCTTGCCCGACCAACATTTTTTTTTTTGCCATGTTGAAAAATCACGCTGATCGCTCATCAACTCAGACCCGAATCAAGAATGCACGGCATATTCCTACGCGCCCGTTAGTGCTGCTCTCGCTGCGAACGAGTTCCCGGCTATCTGGACAGTCGCAGACATCCTCCCCAATGACACGAATGCTCAAGCCAAGTACCAGTCCATCCAGAGTCAGATCCCAAATATTCAGCCCAAGGGCACACAGCCTGCCTCCCTCTTGGGTGACTTCAGCGGCTATTCATACCCTTCGTCTGACCCAGATTGCTGGTGGACGTATGACCAATGTACTACCCCAAAATTAGCTGGATTATCTCCGGATCTGGCTGCCGTTCCAGAGGTATGTTTTTCTATCCTATCATAATCTGGTAATTGACTTTGTCTAGCCTGATACTCTAGGTTATGGTTTCGACGATGGACCTAATTGCTCCCACAATGTGTTCTACGACTATTTGTCACAAAATAACCAGAAAGCCAGTACGTCGATTTTCAACTTTATTGTAAGTATTCTTATTGCAAACTAGCCATGTTCTATATTGGCAGTAATGTCATGGACTGGCCTCTTGAGGCGCAGCGCGCTCTCGCTGACGGTCATGAAATTTGTGTTCGTGAGTCTTCGCATACTCGTCATCGTGATGGCACATTGATGTCACACTGGCGTAGACACTTGGTCGCATAAATATAGTAAGTGCTACATGGGAACAAACATGCTCAGGTGGTTGATCATATCACTCTATAGTGACTTCTTTGACCAACTCGCAAGCTCTTCGCCGAGTTTTACTATTGTACGTCGTCTAGCATCATTCCCTTACCTTCCACTCTAATGACCTCTTCTTAGCCGTGAGATTTTTGACCGAGCATAGTCAGAAATTTATTGACTTTGACTTATAGATGCAAGCGATCAAGTTGGTTATCGGTGTGACGCCTACGTGCTGGAGGGTAAGCCTAATCATTTCCAAGCGTACAACTGTCTAACGCATTCATAGCCTCCCTTCGGTGATGTTGATGATCGGGTCCGGTCCGTTGCCCATGCACTGGGCTTGCGCACGATCATTTGGCAATATGACTCCAACGATTGGCGTGAAGGCACTGGTAGCATTACTGCTGCTGATGTCGACCAGAATTATGAGAATCTCATTTCTCGTGCACAAAATGGCACCTTTGCTACCGTAAATGCCTTCGCTACTCCTATCACCGCCCATCAAGGACTGACGCTGCTTACAGGGGGGTACTATCATGCTCACACACGAGCTGAACAACTTTACCATGGCCGAGGCTGTGAAGTTCTACACCCAGCTGAAGTCTGCATTCAAGTACCTCGTTCCCATGGGCGTTGCCACAAATCAAACTCAGCCATACGTCGAGACCAACTACTCCCTACCATCGTTTGATCAATGTGCGACCAATACTATAATTTGTCGCATCTGTATTGACCCTTGTTTAGATATCAGCGGCACGACAACAGTCACCGGTGGCGTTTCGAGCCCCTCGGGTGGGTCTTCTAGTTCAACAGGGTCTGGATCATCTTCTGGATCATCTTCTGGAGCCTCTGGGAAAACCAATTCCACTGGTGCTGCGGACAGAGCCTCATTTGACGGTTTGGGAATGCTTGCTGCAGGCGCAGCATTCGTTGGCTTTGCCGTGAAACTCTTGGCCTAGGGTTCTCGTCCTCCGATCGCTGGTCCTTTTGTTCTCCTTTCCTTCATCTTTGGTTGTACTTGTGGCATGCTCGACGATGCTTTTATTCCTGGTCGCACGTACACTATATCCTTGCCTTGTACATTGCAACCTTCTCCACGCATAGCATACCTTGACATTTCTCTCCCCTCTTCACTAGAATTTCGCACTCGTCGACAAAGATGGCACCAATAGCCCGGTATTTTTTCTTATATCCTGTGCATGTTCATTTAATATACCGGACTTGGCTGATATCACTTGATCTCGATGTTACCAGACTTTTTTCTCGCTTTGTTGTTTCATATGATGGCCGGGTCACTACGGACGTGCCAAGACGATGTTTCTTAACAATCTAATTACGATACTTGATGAACAGAGATGTTACGACCGAGGTTGCGACGCAAACGTTTGCCAGCGGACATTGGCGTTAGGGTGGTCTACAATGAGGTGATGACGGGGATGTCGGGTACTCAGGAGTCCGCATTTCTTTCTGTAAGTAACAATCAGAATCACGTAGCCCCCGCGACAGACAGCGGCCGCTGATATATGAAGGCCATGGTGCCAAAATTAAGTCACGTGCAGATGATTTGATGGATACTGGGTCTGCCTGGGAGGCCGTCGACTTTACAGGCATCGAGAATAGCCTCTCGGCCTCTCATAGTCCATACTAGGGCACTACTCACAGTCTTGACAGATCAGATTGTAGTATGAGCAGCGGGCGGTATGAATGTTCATTCAACAGCCTCGTCGTCCCGTGGGCTGGCGACTGAGATCCGTCGGTGGTCGTCTCTGGTCCCTGGATGGACCAGCATGAAAGAAGACGGCTGTTCTTTTTTATTTCTATCCAGATGAGGAATATTTACAGTACAAACTATACGATTCAGGTTGCGTACAAACTTGGTATGTTCGCTCTATCATCATTCGTTGTATCCCCGACTTGGAGAGAGATAACATGTGCCAGTACCCTGGGGATGGTCCAGGAACGAGTGATAATAGGAGTTGGGATCTGCGGCAACCCAGCCAAGCTCCAAGCGTTATTCATCTTCTTGTTATATACGATGAAATATTGCCAGTGAGTTGTGAATTACTTGGCGTGGATATCCTAGAGATTGAAATTAGACAGGAAATGATCTAAAATGATGTATTTGCAGGCTGTTAGCCGAGTTTTCACGGCTAAAAAAACATAGCTAAATATGTACATCTGACATGACCTTCGGTGATAAGTTTGCATCTTTTCCGGGTCCTCGGCCACGATGCATTGATGTATTGTTCGTGACGTATGTACCGTAACGTTGGCGTGAGTTTTGGAGACTCTTTTTTTAGCGCGACAAACAGGTGACCACGCGCCATCAGGTCTCTGCCGACACCAGATGCGTTGTCGGCTAGCTGTGTGCTGTGGAACGATCAACGCTCAGTGGAATCGGATAGCCCCAACTACTAGTGGGTAACAAGGGGGTAGGCTACAAAATAGAATGCATTAGACTATTAGTCGAGGTATGAATCGATGTATGATGACGAAGGACCGAGTCGTCCACCAAGATTTTCAGCCTGCGGCGAAGACCGAATACAGAGCATGCACTGGTTGAGTACTAGTAGAACACATGCGCGTAAAGGTTGCTTGATACATGATGCATGATGTAGAGCTTTAGAATTCAACATATACAAATACTAGTTGTGGCTGGACTGAAGTGGCTGTACGTTGGAGTAAGTAGCGAAGTACGCCATGGTGACATCATGCACCCCAGGGTTTCCATTAAAAACAAGTGGCTCCTAATGATCCTTACCACTCCTATTACCACTCGAGCTCAGGATAAATTTTGGTAAGCTTGTACAAGAGAAGGTCTTGGTGTCGCGTTAACCTCGACGATTGCAGGAAAATACCTCTCACATCCCTCCTTAAGCGTGTATATCCCTGCAAATCGTAGGATCGCGATGTCTACCAGAAAAAGATCTAAAAGGGACCGTAGAAGTTCCAAGGGATCGCAGTGAAACGCCTACCTCTCTGGCTAAAGAGAAACATCTGCCGGGCTCTTTGTCCGAAGAATCTGACCATGTCAACCAGTCAGACTTACCGCCTTCACGACCACGCAAAGAGATATTGACGCCTGTCTCCCCACCGGGCCAAAGGGCACCTCTACGTTACTTCATATACACCTTGGTAACAACAGCCCTTCTCTTCACAGTGTGGTATACGTACATCACAGCTGTGGGGCTCAAGCACTGGAAAGAGGATGTTGGATGGTGGGGAATGTTTATTGGGCGATTTGGGAGGCAACATGATATATTGTATCACAACCAGTGGAGAGGTCAGGAAGTGACGGGAGAACTTGAAGGGCATCTCAGTCAGCTTGCATCCGCGCTCGGAATCCCCGCAACAGGACTTAGCTTCGGCTATCAAACCATTTGTGCCACCTGCGACACTGTCTAGTCTTGCGCCTCAGGCCACCGGTGAGGCGATGAAGGTTCTTTTTGAGGACTCGCATTAAAGAGCCCCCTGATGGCGGTGAAGGCACTGTGGGCAGCACTGCTGAAGAACTTGGAAAGTAGTTGGGTTTGGCTATCCTCCAACAGGATTGTGATTCAAATTATCCATGTACACCGAGGAGGGCAGTCCTGTAATGTCAGAGATAGATGCTAGTATTTACCGCATCATGGAAATTATAAATGTTATAAGACTCGTGTATCCTCCAGTATCTGTATAAATGTGATATGGGTTGGCTCTGGGCACAATCACTGCAGGAGACTGAGCAACACCGTTGAATAAGATGTGTTTGACATAGACAATTCTCTTCGTACAACCTTTAGCGCTTTAACGATACTAATACATACAGGATCCAAAGACTCGCATGGTGCTTTCAGTGTAATAAAGGAGACACCCCTAAGACTTGAGGATGCGTTCAATTACATCCTGTGCAGCCAGCACCAAACCGTCGTTGAATCTTCGGCTCACGGTCTGCAGCGACACCGGGGCCCCTTTGAATATCGCTGCATCATCTGTATGCGATAGTCAGCTCATGCTATCCAATCCGTAAGAGCGCGACTGACACAAGGAGATGTTGTACTCATCCGCTGCACTCATCGGGCTAGGTGACTCCTGATATACGTCAACGGCTGGGTCAGCGACGAGACCCGTCGGGAAGACTGCCCCTGGGTAGTCTAACAAATTCCAGATGGCCGTGTAGCTAAGATATGAGTTGTTAGATTACTCGGCGTCCTGCAATATACTGCTACGCACCCCCAGTATTTTGCAGTGTCGTGGCGGCTGGCTGTACCTTGGAAGGGTGGGCATACGACGACATCGACGTTTTGGGACCACCAGTGATCAGAGTACTCCCGCTGGTAGATATCACGTCGATCACGTAGCTGGTCAAGGTCAGCGCCTGTGTCTAATGACAGCAGAATCTCTTACCTTCCAGACTTCCGCGGCATCATGATTCCTCACGTATGGTGGACTGATTACCCATTCTGTCAGCGAATGCATATCCTCTCCACCCTCCTCTAGAAGACGTCGGACTGTAGCTCCTCCATCCTCATAGTAGAGCTCGCGCTAGAACACATCATGGTGAGTTGCATTATATGGGCCCAACAAACCACCAGACTCACAATTATGCTGTATCCACGATCGTGGTCGTACGGAATGTAGTCTACCACCTCAACCTCTGACGATGCCTCAAGCTTTGATTTCACCAAATTCAGTGCTCGGATAGTTGGAGGATGAGGCATCACGACCCCATCATGCATCATGATTCCTACACGCAGTTTCTTCTGGGTCAGATCTGGCACTTTCAGTGGAATGGGCAAAACATTTGGGTCCCGAAGTGCAGGGTTGGCCCCAAGGACAGCTTCGAGGAAGAGTCGCATGTCTCGTCCTGAACGACACATCGGGCCTGTAGAAGAAAAGACTCCGTCCTGGCCATGTTGACTATAGTGGTTATCAACATGGCTTCATGTCAGAGCTTGATATACTCACTACCACAAAAGTCCATGGGTGGGCGTTGTCCGAGAGGATGGACGGATTCCATATATACCACAGTGGGCGGACGGGCCTCGAATGGATCCCCCGCCATCGCTTCATTGGTAATGCATCAGTTTCCATGTCATGTGTAGGAAACGGACTTACGTGCCAAGACCAATGCAAGAGCCCTTCATGGCGATAAGGGCCGATTCGCCACCGGAAGATCCTCCTGGAGTAAGGCTCGTATTGTGGGGGTTCAACTAATAAACTTGAGCCGAAAAATACTTGATATTCAAGAGACGACATACCACTCGACCGTAGGTAGACATAGACTCAAGGTGCATTAGAGACTGTGGCTGATTCGTCTTGACATAGAAGACTACGAAAATGCTCGATTGACAGTGTGTTGAAGCATGGATCAATAACATACCTGCACCTAATGAACGCAGAATGCTTATCATATCGCAGTCTTCCGTTGAAGTTTCCACATTTGCGAGAAAGCCTCCACACCCAACTGCCCCCTTGAGTGGGTAATGGCCCTGAGGACAGCGGGAATTAAAGATAGATGATTGCAAGTTGGTAATGGTGTACTGACTTTGACTGAAATTGGTAATCCATGAAATGGCCCAATGACCTTGCCTTCTTTTTGGAAGTACTCATCCAGCTGCTTCGCTTGTTTTATACCTTCATCGAGAAAGAAGTCCACAAGACAAGCTGTGAGCTGATGAGCGATAGCTGCGCGCTTTCCAAAGGCAGTAACAGCCTCGACTGCTGTCAGTTCGCCTGCAGCAATCTTTTGGCATACAGCAGTTGCATCTAGTTCGGTGATAGCCAACTCTTGGGCATTGAGTAAGCCACATATCTCAGGGATGTGAGTGATATCAAGAGGTGGGTCCTCGAGAATTGCTGGGGGAAGTTTGAGGCTCGCTGGAATCTTGGCTTCAAGCTGTTCTCGTAAGACGCGAGCCTTTGCCTCGTATGAAGCGTCACCTCCTATACCTTGATTTTCTCTTTGAAGGATACTGTAAGCATTGTTGTAACTGGGGAGATGGAGATAGCAAGGTTGATACACTGGGGTTGCGATATATGTACTGGAAGTAGCTCCTCAGATAGGCTGTCTGCCAAAAATATGCGTGTCTTCTGAAGTTCTTTGTGGGGAGATGATATGTCCCATGACAGGAATGCCAGCGAGGAAGGAGTCACAAGGTTGATAAGTAAAGCTGGTTGCGTTACCGTACCACGAAGGGACAACGCAGAGGTCGAGAGAATGAACCTGTGCCACGTCATATGGCGTGGGAGACACTATCGATGCAGGCAGGCCCGAGGCCTGGGGCGCGCGGTGAGGGAGCACCAAATTCACTCAACAGCACTGCAGGAGTGAAGAATTCCAACAGAGGGAAGATAGAGGCAAAGCTCTGGAAACAGATACATTGTCCTCAAGAAGCTGGCGTAGTCCAACCAAGTATCAGAAGGAGGATAGTCGTTCCTTCTTCATAGTGGTCGAACTTTCCGTAGGATTTGAGTTTTGAAGTGGTAGATTTCTTTTTGAACCTTATCGGCGGAGTTTGGGCGAAGTCTGAAATTGAGAATATCTCACTATGACTGAACAACGAGACGAGCACTTATCATGGATGAATGCAAATCTAGCATGACATTTTGGAGGATAAAGCCTACCCCGGCCAGGAATTACTCCAGCCAGTTGCTGTGTGGGAGCCCTAATAATTGCAGACGCTGACGAAAGCCCGACAAAGACGCATCGCAGATGTTCATATCGCACATATTCGTGTGGAGTGACCTACTACCGAGTGCGTCCATTGCTACTCCATGGCAGACATTTTACCATGCACGAAATGACAGGGCATTCATCACCACAATGCACTTTGAGCAGAGGGTTTTCACTACATAATTTGGTTTGCAACACAGCAGGCCCAATCCTTAGTGCATTGTTCACCTGGTAAATGCAGTTATAGTTTGGCATCTTAGAGTTCGACTCGGGATATTTTACCTTAACCGCTATGAGTGAGTTACATGGCGTCAGACTCGGGAGGTGTCGCGGACTACGAAATCTATTTTTGAAAGAAGCTAGAAGAGGGGGCAGAAGTCCCCCCTCGTTCAGACTCTCGAACGAGAGTCTGGAACGAGCCTGAGTGATCTTTGATAGGCGGAGTGTGAAACATCGTTCGATTGTATAGTACGAAGGTTTGGATGTTTGAATCTGAAGACATTCTAAATCCTACGGAAAGTCCATCCAATGTGAAGCTAGAGACTTTCAACTTGTACGGGCCGGGCCTAGAGCTCTAGAGGAGGGCCAGGTCTGGGAAGATTAATGTCCGGCTCCACTTGGCTGCCGGTCCGACGACATTTGGAATGTATAGCCTCTTTGTATTTACATAAAGCGTCCCAGACTATAGTCTTGAGCATGTTTTGCCTGAGCCTTTCGAAGCATCGTATTGCAAGCATAACGAAGCCTCAGCGTGCTCTAGTGCATAATATCTCAAGCAGGAAGAAGGATATACTGTCGCTGAGAAGATCTGCTGCAAGACGGACTCGGAGTACGCCAGCTGTGCAAAATTTACAAGCTGGTGAATGGGGAGAAGCGGCGGATGGATATATATCATCGTGATGTGCACAGAAATTGTGCGATAGCTCCCACTCCCCAATTTTATTCTACCGTCGTCATGAACTATGACATCATGGCAGTCAGCATGATCCTGATTGGACTGGCGAGAGCAAGGGCTTCGTGCATTCACGCCACATGATATCAAAGATAAAACACACTCCCACACCGTCAAAGCATTGATGAAATACACAGAGCACAGGATCCAATTGTACACGGACCCTTTCCGGTTGGCCCTGGGGTGACATGAGTGCAAGAAGGGCACGTATTGCCTGCATGCTACGCAGACGACAGCAGTGGATGATCAGGCGTTCCACTGGAACGTAAACATCAGGTATCACCATAGGGACGTCAACGGTAGCTCGTACGGACATGCCAGACATGGTCCCTTGGGCCACAAATGCGTGCAGGGAAGTGACAAGGAGACGTCAAGTTAGATGTTGGTTGCGGCTCTATCTGTCCAAGAGCGTATGAACCAGGACTCCAGCCACTGCCCTGCCAGAACAGTGACCCCGGCACTCCAGGAGGACTTGCACCGTGATCACCCTGGTACATGCATCTGCCATCCCAACACTTGCAACCGTGCGCAGTTGTGCAACGAAAGCACTACTTGCCACGTGTTTCACTGGCTGGTGAACTCGAGACTAGTGAACGTCTGCATCTCCATGATATTGTTCCATTGTATCACTGCACCAGATTGTGAGCTCCCGTACATCCGCGGGTCTATCATTATACTGAATTTTGTGGTCACTGATACGGGGCAAGAAGCAGGGCACGCAAAGATTTTGGTGCCAGTACCACGACAGGAATAGTAAACATTCACTGCGCAGTCACCCTTCCCAACATAGAGGGCCAAAATTTAGGGTCACCAGCAACTTGCATTTCAATTTAGGTTTCGGAGATCGATCAGATCGGTGATACGCACCACGGGGCTGGTTCCCAAAAAACCTTGGTTATGACAATAACATACTTTGACTTCCCAGTAACTGCCATAATGGAATGCCAGTCCTTGCTCTTCTGCTCTGACCTCGAGGACACGGACCTTCCTCTACTCCATAAGCATCACTATTTCCTTGCCGCGCTTTGGAGGGAGGAAGGATGAAAAATATATTTCCTGGTTAGTATGCGCGGTAGATGAAATGACAAACATATGCGCACAGAAGTCGCCGAAAATTAGCACATAAGATAGCTACTTGATCTAGAACCCTCAGCGAGGTATGGCAAAGGTCTGCCGTAAAGTTTCGACCCGCCCCGGACGACTTGTGCAGCATGCTAGCTCGTAGCAACCCGGCTGAAATGTGTGAGCATCTTTGTTGTGCAAAAATTAAAAACTCATAATATGGTTAGACCGGTATAATGTTAGCCAGCAACAATCACCGGTGTACCGGTCGCAGGACAGAAAAATGGAAAACTCGTGGCTGCCTAAACGGCAATAAGAAGCGCATGACACAAACTTGACTCAGGAGCATCAAGGTCCTTTCCGGTTAGACGGAAATGGGGTGAATATGAATACAGGACCTCAAGTCAAGCGCCGAACTAGTTTCACTGCAGGGGATAATGAACTTGAGTTGGGCGACTACAGCAGACTAGCATGAATCGAGACCCAACTGGCTGTGATGGTTTGCCAGCGTGACGAAGGCATGGGAGTGAAATGTTATCCAAATAGCCTCGGGTAGGCTGCAATACCAGGCGTATCGGACCACCGGGTTCAGAGTGGGTGCAACGCAAGATGACAGAATGTTATGCCGGATCCTAAGCCGCGGTGTCGACAGCATACGGCACTTCAGCTGCCAAATAAAATTTGCAATCAGCGCTTATTACACTCAAAGCTTGGATGGGATAACGTACCCTCCAACTACGCTATACCGAATTCATGCTACTTCTTCTTGCATTGTCTTCATTGGCCTACAGTCTGCCGGCAGCCTAGGGAAGACTAGTCTGATGTTAGCCCTCAAACTTTATAATAAACTCACGTTGTACACTCTCCTTCGAACGATAGGCATGTGGTTTTGGCCCTTGTGTATAAGTAGGCGCCAGTATACTAAGCGGGATGATCGATTAGTATTGATGTTGCTAGATCCGGTGCTTAGAACTTGCGGGAAAACGTGTACCGCTAGTGCCCACTTCGAGACAGACGCGCTTGTCTGGGTTTAAGCCGGTTCCGGGCTCCCAAAGCCCTTGATGCCAGGCGGAAGCTCTCGCTAGCCTGTCTTGTACTCACGATAGAGAACAAAAGGCTGACTGGACGCGATTTCGTTAAGAGACCCCCAAGCAACAGTTGAACATGTTGGAGCAAGTTGAAAAGTGTACCGTCCGAAGTAGTACCTCATCAGGATTCTTGCGCAAAGCTTTGATTTGAGGAAAAGATAGAAAGATTCAATGCAAAGTTCGAACAGATTATCTGACCCGCAATGTTGAAGCTGGAATAAACAGCAGGCTACAAGCGGCGATCAATGTTCTTGATTGATCCCACGATCTGATGATGACGGTACTGCTTGGTGGCTGTATGTTGTTGCACCATGCTAGCAAGCACCTGAACGCTCATTTCAGAATCATACCAAGACGTTTATTATCAATGTCTCTTACATCTCCCGAGCCATTCTCAGTCGAGAAACGTGTTGCAATCGCAGCAGTACGGAGAGCATGTCTGGTGACTTGCACCGTGTTCAATCAATTAGTCCGAGACAAAACGGATACCCTCAAGAAGGAAGACGAATCACCAGTGACAGGTGTCAATTTCCATCTTTCAGGTTCGAGGGTCAAAGCTAATCATTTTTATAAAGTCGGAGATTATGCCGCACAGGCGGTTATCAATACTGTCTTGAGGAATGCATTCCCCAAAGATCCTATCATCGGCGAGGAGGGTGCAGATGCCCTCCGGCAAGGATCAAATACTAGACTGCGGGAACGAGTGGTTTCCTTGGCTACCAACGCATTGCAGGAAGATCTCATCGACGGGGAGAAAGCGCAATGGGGTTTAGGTTCTCATCACGAGCACAGTTCGGAAGCCCTGTTGAAGGCGATAGACGAAGGAAATGATATGGGTGGTCCGAATAAACGTGAGGCTGTGTTGGCTGTTGTTAATTCCGTATTCTGACCTGCACTTAGGCATGTGGACAGTTGACCCTATTGATGGAACGAAAGGCTTCTTGCGTGGCGGCCAATATGCTGTTTGTTTGTCTCTCATTGTGAATAGCCAAGTTGTGCTGGGCGTCATCGGATGTCCGAATTTACAAATATACCCTGTAAGCCCTGATGAAGGGAAGGGTTGTATCTTTGTTGCGGTCCGAGGGCAAGGCGCCTTTCAGGTAATCTCAAATTCTGTGCGCTTGATTCCCTGATTTCCTTACACAGATCGCCTTGTCTGGCACCGGTGCGATTAAACTCCCTTACTTTCCTTCAGAGAAGTCATATGTCCTGCAATCGGAAGAGCCGAAGCACACGAATATACCGTTGATTGAACGGGTTTCCGACGAGCTCCACCTCACTAAATGGGGAATGGACAGTCAGGCCAAATATTGTTGTCTTGCCAGGGGGGAGGGCGCTGTGTATCTTCGCATGCCGGCGCCTATCGTTGGTGGTAAACAGCCTTACGAGGAGCGAATTTGGGTAAGTCATTTGAACAGTTAATCATTTAGTAACGCTAATAATCCCGTTACCCTGACCTGCAGGATCACGCCCCTGGAAGCATCCTTGTTGAGGAGGCGGGTGGTAAAATCACAGATTCTGAGGGCGCTCCGCTTCGGTTTGGACTTGGGAGGGGAATGGGAGAGAATCGTGGCTTTGTAGCCACAGTTGATGAAGAACTCCACGGGCAAGTGGTATCAGCTATTAAGCGGGCTCAATCCACAGGGGATGCTTAAAAGACGAAGGCTACACCTTAAGAGAGCTCCTTAGGATGAGGTGCTACCTTGTCTGTCTCTCATCTATCAGACGCTGGTACAACATATGGTTCCCTGCATACCCCCTAGGGTTGCCAATCGGACAACTAGTGGGAATTAAGTGTCAGCCTGGCGTTAGATCAAGGCGTTAGCATTTCCTTGGCTGCCTCCAACTTGAAGGGGACCATTAGTCCACACTGCCTCCCATGGATGAATTAAAAAATTCTATGGAAACTTCTGTTGCATCCCACGGGCAGTGTTGCGTGTGCCTGGTGAATCAGCGTTCAGCGTCTATCTACCCAGCCATTGCCGTATGCTAAGTATGTACTTACTACAAGGGATGATGGTGAAGCGCTCATCTTAAGCTTCCGAGACGGAACTGGCAAAAACGTGCGTTTAAGATTACGCCGCATATATCAATTAAGTACTGAGTCGGAAGGCTTGAATCTGGTAGTCGAGTAGGGGTTCAACGTTCAGCACGAGTTCAGCCACGAGAGTTTTGACTAAAGGAGCGTGTGAACCTGTGAAAAGTGGTGCATTCTGCCTGTATCTTTCACATCCTGGCGCTTACAATTGTCTTCAGCAGCTCCCGTTTCGCCGCTTCCATGCCGCGGAGAGCACCTGAATTTGGGCGCTTGATAGCACGAGCGCTATCTCTTGAGAATGCTTCTTGCCTCATGGTCATTGTCGGCGACAACCATACAGCGCTAATACACCTGTTATTTACCCCAGCTCTCTCGACTCACCGCGTATTCTATGCTGCCTAGCAAAAATGATTGATCAGGCCACTCTTCAGACTGCGACATATAACATCAGGCATATAGCTACCGGGCAATACGTTGCTCTCAAGGACACCAAGAGAACATCGACTTTGATTGTCCTCCAAGATAGCCATTTCGAACACCTTGCAGTGAGCCTTTACAGAGTTAATTTTTGTATGCTAACTTTTCTTTGACAGTGGGTTTTGGACAAGCTGGCTGGACTTGAAGACACATATCATGTCAGGAGTTTCCTGCAGAACACTTTTGCTCAGACGGGAGAGTCTCCCATCCCGGGCGCTGAAATTATTTCCGGGACGGAATCATACCCGTGGTTCGTTCGTCCTGCTGCCAGCGGGTTTGGTGACTTCTACCTGTGAGTAACATAATTGTCATTGACGCATTTTTTTTAAACATACAAAATACCTAGCATTTCACCTTATTCAGATCCCTCACTCTATTGGACCATCGTGAAGACAAGGGATGGCACGAAAGTAAGCCTATCTAAGTTTGACCTGCAGCCTCATACTTATCAGCTGTTATAGGCTATACTAACCAACAATCCACAACATCATGTACACTGGCAATTTGTTAAAATGTCTGCCTGAGGGCACAAGCTGGGAATTGGGTGGGTAGTGACACTGGTCTGGGGTGGCAAAGTGGAGCGCGAGGGGTCCGAGCGTGAGGATTGAGGGGTCATAGTCCAGGGTCACGTCCAGCCAGTTCTCAGCGAAATTTTTGTGTAAATAGTATTGTTTTCTGTGTTCTTGATGATTCATTAATATTTTAAAATATTGATTGCACCATGCATCTGAGGCTGTGCCTGCGATGGGAGTCATGGGACAATCCAGTATGATCCAGATTCCAGAGTAATCCGGCTGCTTCTTTTTTTTTCTGGTGTCAGAAGTGGTGCCCACTTTGCAGCCGGCTTTTCACATCCGGCATGTACCACTGGTTCAGAAGGGAACAGCATACCCATAGGCTGTGTTCATTTATGACGACATTCACGGTGTCATCTAGAGTCCGAACATCATGCCTAAAAGTCTGTCACAACTTGGCGCCACCCCAATTCTGCATTTTCGCCTGCCGCATGCCCATCTCCATTGTGCATGCGAAGTTCATGCGAAGTCCGTTGAACTCGAGAATCTGGATACGAAATTATCCATGACACCGTGACTGTTTCATATACCGTCTCGACACCACTGTCGTCGGCAAACTCGGACCACATGTATCTTGACTCCGATTCGACTATAAGAATGGCCTGGTAAATGCAAGGTTTGCCATCAAAAAACACAACTCGTTCATTTACTGCGCACTCACCTTCGTGACGATGACAATTCAAGGCAATCTTCAAACTGGGACTTACACTATTAGGAATGCTAGCACAAATGACTTTGTCATCGTACAAGGTCCAAAAGCTGCTACCCTGATAGCAAGCAACGATGGACGAGCAGAGAATGCCGCAGTACGTCCAGCCTGCAGATCATGTAGAGGAACATGAAATAAACATCATATAGTGGGTCCTTGAAAAACTCAGTGGGCATTACGACAAGTACAACATCAGGAATTTCACGCACAACTCGTATGCCACTGTCAACTCTGTGCAAAAAAGAAGTGCTGCACTCGCCTGTGGGCGTGAGGTGTCCCCTTGGAGTATCAGACCAACTGGATACGGAACTTATGTGTCTGTCTTCCAAATCAGAGTTCATTACGTCTTATCTAACAGACGCACAAATACATCCAGAATATCGCCACACTCAGACGCTTCGTTATTTTGGAGCCTGACAACGTCCGGGGATCACTCACAGGTATCAATGCTCACATGAATCATAGGGTCTACTTACATAGCAGTTGAGTCTAGGCGCTGTTGACGGATGATCGGACCAGCACCGTTCATTGGTACTTGCATCGTGTGTCGGCCTGAAGACATGAATGGACAATGGGCTGCAGTGGAGATGAAAGTTAAACTCATCATAGTATCCCCCCTATCCTCCGTCGAATCTCATGTTTGACGCGGAGTGATTGATGGTGGCGGCAAGCTAACTGGAGGCGCTGGTAGGATACTTAGTATATGTGATCTTGTCACCTATGTATTCGAACTCAGACAGGTTCTTCAAGCTACGCCTTTGTATTAGTCAATCATTTAATGACGTTAGTCCGTAACAATAGCCTATCTGCATATCGAACAGCCGTGATAACAAAAAAAATGAATTCCAGGTAAAGCCTCACATGATTATACGACCGAATAGCGAGTAATATTGCTGTCTGAACGCGCGCTCAAATTTAGCTCTAGATGATGCTCATCTTGGGTACGTTTGGCGACGTGAAGAATGGTGAAGGCCTTGGATGTTGTTCGTAGGGGATCATCAAGATTCAGTGGGCGTATGGTGACAGAAGGGGTCGATGATTTGATGTAAATGTCAAATCCTTGTCATTCTGCGTGCCGGTGATCAATAGGTACGCGGGACCAGTATTGGTAGGCCGCCTAAGCACACCCGAATTTAGACGTACACTTACTTCTTGCTCATACGGCATCAAGGTTTTAATTCGGAGACAAAGGTGAAGGAGTTCAAGTTACACACCACTTTAGTAAACTCCGTGTCAGGGGCTCCTCATGAGCGTAGCGCTACTCGAAATTGTGTGTCATCAGGTGGCACCCTTTCCGTACTCACCGAGATATATACCGCTGATGGTCAGCAGGGTGCTGGCATCTTCAACACCACACCATCGGCTATTTCTTTGATGCCCATGACACAGCCTGGATCACTTATTCATCTGCGACAGCATGATCCTGCCGCGTCTTTCAAACGTTTGCCAGTGCTGGTTGGACAGTCCTATCAAGATATGGGGCTGCCCAGTGGACTCGCAGCCGTGTGTGGAGGAAGAGACGCTCGATGTGCACCCGGATTGGGTCCATGGCGTTGTTGGGCCACAACAACATCCAAAGTCAGTTGACAAAACAACCCGTGCTGGGTTTTTATATCTGAAAAAGTTTATTTCAAGGACAAGGCGACTTAATTTGATCAAATAACTTGCCAACATCTCCATGAGTGAAGGTTATCCTTGATTCGTCAATGATCCCTTGGGGTACCTAGTGCGGCAGCCACAGGCAAGTTCCCAACAATGTAGAGCGCGTATCATGGAATCGCTGGGAAAAACTCCGCGATGAGGCGTGGAGACGGGAATGCCATATCGTTATAGAAGAACAAGCTGCAAAGCGTCCAAGGAGTGTGTCAGTGGCATGCCAAGAAGTTGGGTATATGTGGTTGGATCAGATGCGTGACTGGTTCTTCTGAGGCACGTATAACGCGTGCCATACATACGCGAGAAGAGCCAGCCTGCATAAGCGCCACCTTGATGCAATAAAGTAAAATTGTCGACCGGTATCATGGTGCGGTTTGTGTGGGCAGCAAGGGATGGTCACAGAAGGAGCGATTTGAAGTAGTATAATTTGGGTAGTTGCTGAGCGCCCCACTGTGCATAGTTCTAAACTGCAAATACATCATCAGATGCAGTTATGCATGGGAAGACTAAGAACATGATGGAAAGAGAGCGTTATGTGTAGTTGTTGACGTTCAAACGTTCAAGCTTCAAGTTGAATACCTTCTCTACATGTACATTTGCCACGGAGCTTGAAAGTGTCGATCTTTGATCTTTGTTTCATTCAGTGAAAAACTATCTGCGAATTATACCAAGCGACTATCATGGGCAGGAACAGTACGCAAAGCACTCCATGCTCATGTTTTTCTCATCTGATGACCTATAGAATCCCAGAAATCATCAGTCCCGCAAAAGTCCAGTCAGTCCTCATTCCCATTTCTCCGGTAGCTATTGCAGAAAGAACAAACGTTGATCGAGCCCCAAATTTTGCGCATCAGAGCTCAAGAAAGACCCCGGAATACCAAGACTTCCTCAACTAAAGGTTCGGAATGCGGAGAAGCGGAAATCTAGCTCTGTGTGTTGCATCCGAGTCTTAATTGTTACTACTTCATCTTGAGTTGCTCTCATAGCCTGCGATTCCCCAGCGCGATGATCCAGATGCCTATATGGCCACTGAACCTACCCTGTCTTCACTAGCAGCTCTCGCTTTAGAGACCCAGGAGGGTGTAGACCAGGATGCCACGTCTTATGTGGGCTCCTCACAGAAAACAAAGGAGCAAATTCGCCGCCACTATGTCCGTATGCTACACAAAGTTATTGATCAAAGTGACATCGTCATTCTTGTGCTCGATGCTCGCGATCCGGAGGGATGTAGGAGTCGACTGGTTGAAGAAGAGGTAAGACGGAGAGAAAGTGAAGGGAAGAAGCTTGTGTTTGTACTGAATAAAATCGGTACGGATGTCGGTTTCATTTGGTGTCTGCATTCTTCCTCACCGTGTGCTGTGGGCGAAGATTTGGTTTCAAAAGAGAATGCCCAACAGTGGCTGCGATACTTGCGACATTCCACGCCGACACTCCCATTCCGTTCTGCTTCCTCCAATCAACGTTCTAATCTCAGCTCTACGACGGCACCCGGGCTTATGCGCCTTCTTAAGGCATTCAAACCTAGTTCACAGAGTATCACAGTCGGTGTTGTTGGTTTCCCGAATGTCGGTAAAAGCAGCCTTATCAATTCTCTGAAGCGATCAAAGGTCTCGATCTTCTTTCTACTACCCGTACCGAATGTCTTATATGTTATGTGAGTTCAGGCTTGTGCAGTGGCTGCGCAGCCAGGTCACACGAAAGACCTTCAATCCGTGCAGCTGGAGCGAGGAATCAAAATCGTCGATTCACCTGGTGTAGTTTTTGACGAAGATGAATCAAGTGACTCTAGTCAAAAGGGCAGCATTCTCCTGCGAAATGTAGTCAAAGTAGAGGATATAGAAGATCCTATTGCTGTTGGTGCGTTTCTTAGTACAAACTCAGTTCCTGATAGATGGATTGCTAATCTTACTGTTTCAGTGGAAGAGATCCTTGCGCGGACAGAACACGAGACACTTCAAAAACTATATAATCTCCCTCAATTCTCAAGTACGCTAGAGTTTCTCACCATGCTTGCGCTCAACAGCGGACGCCTGCTCAAGGTCAGCTTTTTTATTATTTTTTAATTCCGACGCTTCACACAACTATTACACCCACAGGGAGGTACCCCTGACCTACTTTCAGCCGCACGTCATGTTCTCATGGATTGGAATCACCAAAAAATCCCCTACTTCTCCGTCCCGCCCACCATTCATCCCTCGTCGATGCCTTCTACCACAATAGGCGCAGAAACCGTCGGGCAGGCACAAATCCTTAATTCATTCTCCAAACCGTTTGAGCTCGCAGGTTTGTTTGGCACAGCAGACGCTGGCGCGTTCAATGAAAATGGACCGATGCAGGAGGAGGTAGCTATGGATGACGGTGAAGTCAACGATGACATTGCCGGACAGGAATCTGGCATGATAGTGGATGATGGCATGACTGCATCTGCACCGTCACTCCCGTCATCCCGCAAGCGTATTCGTTCGCCCTCGCTGGTCACACAGGCAGGGGCTACCGATCCCGCAGCACAACTGCGCATACCGAAGCGGTTCCGTCGCGCGAAGGACCTTTCTGCATACGAAGAAGCCGCTGCGCGGAGCCAGAGTCGTGCGATGAATAGGCGGTCGCTGAAGCAGGACCGCAAGCGCGCACGAAGGGCCGCTAACAAGTTGACAAAGGCTGAGTCGGGGATGGAGGTTGATGGACTGCAGGAGACGTTTATTGCTGATGTGCAGGGGTAAATCACCGTTCTTGCTATCTGCATGTCATGGCATTTGTTTTTGTGCAATATCAACTCTGGCTCTAGGAAGTGCTGCCCGTTGGAGCCCCAGCCAAAAATCGCTGTATCAAGTATCGCTGTGAGCTACCCTTGTTGCAATGACTGTTGCCAATGCTAAACTAAAAAATGTTCAATCTGCCATGTTGCCAGTTATTTTGTTTGCACTTGGTCTTAAAGCAGTGGTTCCAGATAAGTATATCGTACCCAAGTACGGTTGACAACGACGAATCGCGTAATATAATTCTGCAGCCCATTGAGCCATCATTGCCTCTGCGGTAACTCCGAAGCTCAGAGTTTGCGGCTGAAACAATATCCGCTTGGCACAGCAGTACACTACGCATTCCCACGAGGTAGTGACTTTTCCCTCTTCGAAATTGGTGCAGAGGACATGATTGCGTATGTCGTCACTCCAGGGTCCTTGCGCACCACGTGGCTATTGATCATTTATGTGGTCAGCACGCTACTGATCTTTCTGATCTTTCTGACAGGTTCCAGCTTAGAGGGCGTATATGAAAGCGTGCTTGCCCATCTTTGGAACTTGCCTTGTTCTTCGGTACTGAATCGGCAGTGTAAAACTGTATAACTAGAAGCTCTTGGGCTCGGAAGTTGAGTCATGAGCCGCAGGCCTGACTAGTTGAAGATCTCGCAATCGAGGATTTGAAGGGGAAAAAAGGTGATTCGGTAACAAAGCTATCATATTGTTTTCTCAGGTAGTAACTTTGCGCATGATTCGTCTGATAATCACTGACATATACCAAGTAAAGGTCAGGCCTGACGCCTGGTTCTCAGATTACTACAAATCAAATCATGGCCGATTACGCTACTCCAGCACAGACAAACCAGCCTCGCGTCGCACTCATCACCGGCGCAGCCCAGGGCATTGGACGCGCCATTGCCCTGCGGCTTGCAGAGGACGGACTGGACATTACCATCACAGACTTGAAATTACAGCGCACGAACCTCGACAGCGTCGCAGATAAGGTAAGAGCGACAGGGAGGCGGTGTCTTGTCTTGGAATGTGACATTTCACAAGAGGAGGAGGTCCAACGCATGGTGCAGGCTACGGTGCAAGAGTTTAATAGTTTGGACGTCGTGCGTGTCTCGTGGGCCGTCAACCTACTAAACTGTCTGACGGATGGTACATTAGATGGTAGCGAATGCTGGACGAATCCTTGTGAAGCCTATGGTTGATTGTAAGCCGACCACGTCTTTGATCCATTTTCGTGATGTCATCATATCCCAATAGCCACCCTCGCAGATTTCGATAGGATCTTCAACACCAATGTGCGCGGGACGTTCCTCTGCTTGCGTGCTGCAGCGCAAGCTATGATCGAGCAGGGGCGTGGCGGGAGGATCATCAGTATGCATGGCCCTTTGTTCTTTTGTTTTGGATGATAATACCGTTACTGTAGGCGCGTCGTCGGTATTAGGGAAGAAAGGGATGTCGTTTAATAGTATTTACTGTGCGTCGAAATCTGCCATTCGATCATTCATACAGGCGCTCGGTGTGTATTCAAGTCGTTTTATCACTTCGTCTCATCTCATCTTAGCCTTCTTGCGTTGTAGCGAGTGAAGTCGGATCACACGGCATCACCGTGAACGCCTACGCTCCTGGACCAGTTGATACGCTTCTCTGTATGTTTTACTCCATCATGTTATTTCCTCAGCCACCTCCATCTCCCTGCCTCATCCACTACCCATTTTCTTTGTTAGTTTTTGCATCCAGATGATGACGTGGTATCCAGTGCGCGACTCTGCCGACGAATTTGCGAAACAGGTAGGGCTACCTGATGGTAAGACGTTTATCCAAGGTGTATGTACCAGTATTTCTCTCTTGAGGTGAGGTTTCTTAAGCGCTTCAATTACTTTATAGTACCAAGCAAACGCGGCACTGGCGCGGATTGGAACGCCTGAAGACATTGCGAACATAGTGTCGTTCCTCGCAGGTAAAGACTCTGCCTATATCACTGGGCAGACGATCACAGTTGATGGGGGATCATGGATGGATTGATCATGTTGCTTGTGGCCCGCGAGAATCACAGTGTGCAATGTTAGCTGTTTGCAAACCACCCTTGTGGAGAACAAATCTGTTTACATGACTGTATCTTCACTTGCCTTCTTACTAGTGTGCCCATATGACCGAAGTGCTTGTATTTTAATGACGATACTGATTTCTACTCCCTTCTTAAGAAGATCACCTGAGACTGCACGATCCTATGTGAAGCCTCGAGAGCGTGCCAGTGTGGGACGTAGAAACGATGAAATTCAACTTATTAATCACTGAATTTACCAGTAGATTCAGTAAGGGTACGGTTTACAGTTGAACGTTAACGCGTGTAATAATGTTTGCTGTACATGAGTTACAAATCACCCTGAGACTAGTAAATTCGTCTTCAGTTGGAGACCCGACAAACGTCGCACACGATGGTGAGTAAAAATCATCGCCAATAGGTCGAAAGTTCTCTAACCATTTCACGAAAACGTAGACGAGCTCGGGAAAGGTAGGTCCTAGACCTCGGATCAGTGATTCCGAGCACGGGGCAGGAGAACACGAAAAGTAAAGAGTTTCACTGATGCAAAAGTCGACACCAGATTACAAGTTGCACGCTAGTAGCGACACGCGTCGAGGTAAGCAAATAGAAGTAATGAAGGATTCAGAAAGCATACGCATCTCGTTCACTCTTCATCTTCCACCTCTGAAAAAGTAGTCCTCCGGTGCTGCGTTCAGATTGTTGCATTGTCATCAACTGACACGCATTGCAGTACTGGCGTTCCTTATAGACCGAGTCGGGGAGCAAAACTCATCGTGCTCCTGACATTCTCGGTGTTAGCCAAACGTGAGGATTAGCTTACCAACACTAGTTTTTGATGTCATCTCCAGCTTCACATCTAATGTGCCATCGCAATCCACATATATTTACTATCATTGTGCATATGAAACCCATGTTACGAAAGAGACGAAAGAAGAGGCGTCAGAACCAGACCTACGTCAACCACAGTAGCACGTAAGCCTTGTTTCGAACTTTCAAATTCACCATGTGATGTACGGAGGAAGAGTATTCCGAACTAGACCCACGCCAGCAAATAGCACCTGCGCGCGTTATGTGGTGTAAGCAGGGACTCTCTGCCCAATGATTAGTAAGAGTTGTTTCGCATCATGTTGACTCACGGCACATTGTACACAGGGTGACCACCATGAGGGATCGAGCTTTTATGCAGAGCTACTTGCAAGGAATCTCGAATAGAATATAAATAGTGCTCACAAGGATACAAGGCAAGCTGGGATGCCCGGCATATTAACGACTGCGCGAAGCTCCGAAGTCCAACAGAGAAAAGTACTTGCATGTATCAAAACCAAATACTCAAATGCTGCAGGCATGATTACTGGGTAGGAGTGAAATTGACATAGAATGAAACTCACCCCATCCACCCAAATCATGAGCACGCACTCATAGTACAGAGTTTGTTATTTTTAACTACCTCGCGGAATGATTTTGATGGTTAACAAAGCACTTTGAAGTGTCTGTGCAAGTTTCGGTGCCGGCAAAGCGAGGAATACCAGACGCTGGATATTGACCAGTGGAGCCCCGGCCTGTGAGATATTGATCTTAAAGGCACTCAGCGTAGTTGAGGTTGAGCAGTCGAATGGCATCGATGAAATGAAGGTTGTCTCTGTTGTATACACTCTGGATGGGAGGACTGATCACCATCAAGACAGCCTCTGAAAAATATGGATCGTCAGGCGAGCTTTGGGCGATATTTTCAAGACACGGCGGCTAAGCAATGATCAGGTGCTCAAGCATTCGACGTTCACTGAAAAGCTACAATCGGAGTTCGAAAGAAAGAGGACACAAGAAGTGTCACAGACCAATCACAGACTCACGGTTATCAGACTGGTAAGCCAAAGGGCCAAGGCACTGACACAACACAGCCTCTCACTGATCAAAACAACTGACACATCATATACATACCCCACATCGCGCAGCACAGGCATATGTCAAGTTATACGAACATGAATGACAGGAGGACACACAGCTTGCAGGCTAAAATAACTTAAAAGGTGAGCTTCTATGGACTGTAACAGCCACATTAATTTGAGTCTTGAATGCAAATGATTTTCTATGGTGCTTCGTAAGGGCAAGCACCGAGAGCGTCCATGATGGATTCTCCTTCACGATACATCCGGCTGGACAATATCATCTGGTCAATTACCCATGGGCCATCGCCCAGCGCTCCGGTACTCTTAAGACCCCGAACTCCCAGACCCCTGACTCTTGCCTCGTTGCCCTACCTGCCACGGTTGTATCATATGTCATTATGAGGGCTGTTCAAACGACTTGACTTCATAATACTTGGCATCATGATGCGATCAATCAAGGTTAACCAGATATCCAAATTGATCACCATACAAGCGCTGGACGATGGTATATCTGTACGAACTCCATGTTAATTAGGATACAACTTCACTCTCGTACGCGTGTCCATCCTTTTCTTTTACAGGCACGATCACTCCTCGTTATACGCCTCATACACGGGTTCTCCGTCTCAATCAGCGTGTCAATTTCTCTTCCTTTCCCGTTCCAAGTCGGAGCCTCTTCATTCGTACTAAGACTCTATAGGCCCCATCCCAATATGACCATAATCTTAAATGATCCCACTTTGTGGCCGGTTATCAGTGGTGCTCTACTTTGCAGTTATTTCATAGGTTCGTAGAAAGCAAGTGTGATGATGATGTTGATACGATCATTGTCTGTTATTTTGCAGTTGTATGCTCTACTGTGATTGTATATGATTGGGGTGAGCGGGATAATACTTTCCGAGGGAATCATTGATACTTATATAGTATCCAAGTATTAACATTCAGACAGGAGGTAAGTTGGTGTAATGACCTGCGCGGCCTTGTCGCTAAGGATGCTTTCACAGGTCGAACTGGTTTGGGTGAGCAAATTCCTATATCAGAAGCAAAAATAATAATGCAGTTGACCCGGATCAGAGGCAACGCTGGTCTTTCATAACTCTGCTATATGTCGGCGTGAGTAGCTCATATTACAAGTGTACTTGGTAAGCTGTGTTGACTTAAATATACCTAGGTGCGCTACGTGGGGATACTATATTCTGTGTATGTTTGCGAGGCAGACCTGATGATACTGCACTGTGCTGACGAGCCATATCTCACAACTAGCATCTACCCACTGTGTATGTGTCCCAAAATATATTCGTTTCTTCTGACTGATGCCATGCAGCGATGCTTCCGTTCTCGATGTCAGATGAAGTGGGTACTATTGATGCCTGCCATGCCCATTCAGTTACTAACTGCGCTTCTCCATAGGCGTGAGTGATATTCTCAACCGTCTTGTTTCTTCAAGATAACAACTTTAACAGCTGTGGGTTCATTCGGAGCACTTGTTCCACCAAATTGAAGTGACTGGGTTTTCAGGCACTACTTGGTGGTTCGCAGAGGCATGGATCTCTGTTGTTGTCAATGCCATGCTGGGCGGTGAGTCAATCTGCGGTACCTTACTGATACTTACCCGACTGAAACATTATGCAAGTCATCATGATGATACGGATACATGCCATGTATCAACGATCCAGAAAGATGCTCATCTTTCTTGTTGTGGTTTTACTGGCTTCCACGATTACTTCCGTAGTTATCACAGCAATAGCAAATATCGGCGCTGTAGGGGGTAAGTTTCAGTTGCCGATGAAGGCTTTGAGTACATATGACTCATGGACAAATACCAGAGGAATATGTCCTCTCTGGCTATCATTTGTGTATCACCCAGATCTCCCCAAAGGGGGCAGATCTGGGTTACGAGAGTTTGATATCTACCGCTATATGGGAGATGCTCGCTCTTTGTCTTGCGGTCTGGATTGTTATAAAACACTTTCATGAACTGCGACAATCGCCGAGCGGATCGACCATGGGCGAGTGTTTCATGGTGTTAACAAAAAGCCACGTGTTTTACTTTCTAGTGTGAGCTCGGTCATTTGGACGTTATATCTTTTTTTCGCTGAAGTTTCCTATGTGTTAGCTTTGCTATCGTGGCTTGCCTTACTCTTGGCGCTTTGTCTCCAAATATAACGGTGCGCTGACCATCGAATCCCATCTGCATCTGACCACTCATCATGTCTACAGGGCTCATTTTCTACGGGAGCTGCTGTCTATAACGGCATTATGACATTTGCTCAGGCGTTCCAGATGTTTGTGCTGGGACCGCGTCTGATCCTCAGTGTTCGAGAATATAATGCTAAGATCGTAGCCAGGTCCGACGAGGGAACATGCATGACAACCATTGCTTTCCAGACTGGTAGAGATGCGTTGACTGGCGGAGATGTGTAGCACGTAAAACGATCCAAACGATCAACCACAGTGCTGTGCAGGGAGCATGCAGATTATCAGTTTCGTTGCGGTATTTATTTCGTGTTCTGAAGTGATTTGGAGGATAGGATTTAGTCTGGACAAACCACATATGTCAATTATTATGTGATGTATTACTATCGGAACTATCTGCCCACATATGCATGGACGGAGCTATACGACGTCTCGCAATCAAAACATGCGAGTTTAAATATACATGTGTTACTACTTAAGTCCAAGAAGTCCCGCCTAATGACACCAGAAATGTGGCAGCGTGCGCTAATCTACCCTCCGATTCGAAAACAATGATGGTTATTCCCAATTTTGCGCAAGATGATCCTGCCGTATGTGTGGACTTCAAGCAATGGTTCTCGCAATCTCGAAATTGAACCAGTGTTCACATCAACGGACAGCATCTGAGGTTTACCCAGAAGCTGTCCACACTGCACCGCCTATAATCCAGGGCAAAATTTTGAACTTATCAGAGTCAACGGTGTCCGTAGACTCATCCACTCACTGGGGATATGAGTATCGGGGGTCTCCCCTGTCAACATCAATCATTACTAAGCATCAAGCTTTCAAGACCAAACAGGCTCAACCGGGTGATCAGATCAACTTGATACGCCTCCTTCATTATATTTATCTTTGCTACCCTACCCATGGCCAGCTCTGCCCTCCCATCCAATGTTTGTTTTCTATTTTTAATATATAAATGTATAAACCCCGCTGCTGACATGCTTGTATCCAGTGCAAGCCACACACGGACCTTGGGGCTTCTGATAGGCTGGCAAGACTTTGATCCAAAGTGTATGTGTCAATCTCAGGCCCATTGCGCCCCTCAATTGCTGAATCCATTTACAACACGAAGCGTACAACAACTCGTTGATGCGGATTGGAATTAAGAAAGTCAGAACAAATTGGAGATATGCTGTTCGTCAACTGTTCCGAGTTCCTCGCGGGAAGGACGCCCCCTGTATTACTGGCCACAATTGATGGGGATCATATGGCTGAGAGAATCATGGATTATAGCGTGACCTAAGTAAGTAAAAGTCAATTGTCTTATATTCTCTTCCGATACTGCGGGCTTGATCGGACCATTGCGAGTGTCTCTTGGGGCGGTTCTAGGCTGAACGCATCATGCACGACCGTGAAGCTGTTGCCTCATGATGACTCATGATCTCATTTAGGAAGGATTTAAATGAATTCAGGGTAATTCGTCTGCGCGCCGGCGTAATTCCTCAGGTACCCACTGAGCAGTGAGCTTGCACTGTATTGTTTCCGAATCTCACCCATCTCCATCATATAAGATCAGGACGTCTGGTCCCAAAGTCTCTACACATGTCTGATCTCACTTCTTCAACACCGACCATCCAACCCCGCGTCGCACTTATCACCGGTGCAGCCCAGGGCATTGGGCGCGCTATTGCCCTGCGGCTCGCAGAGGACGGACTAGACATTGCCATCGCAGACTTAGCATTACAACGCACGAAACTCGATGGTGTCGCAGAGGAGGTGAGGGCGAAGGGGAGGCGGTGCATTGTCTTGGAATGCGATGTATCACAAGAGGAGGAGGTCCAACGCATGGTGCAGGCTACGGAGGAAGAATTTGATGGTTTGGACGTTGTGGGTGTTTCCTCTGCTGAAAAATGCGACGTCGCCTGACAGCTGGTAGATGGTAGCGAACGCTGGACGACTCCTCGTGAAGACTATGATTGACTGTGAGCCCACGCTGTCTTTAATCCCTATGGTATTTAGCTTTTGATGGTAACATCAAACTCCATAGCTACTCTCACCGATTTAGACAATGTATTCGGCACTAATGTGCGCGGGGTGTTCCTATGCTTGCGTGCTGCAGCGCAGGTTATGATCAAGCGAGGGCGTGGCGGGAAGATCATCAGTATGCACCTCTATTTGTTGTCTCGCATCTGGATAATAATACCCCTTATCACAGGCGCATCGTCGGTATCAGGGAAGAAAGGGACAGCATTAAACGGCATTTACTGTGCGTCAAAAGCTGCCGTTCGATCGTTCACACAGGCACTCGGTATGTATTCCAGAGGTTATAATGCTTCATCTCATCTTACTATTCTTGTGTTCTAGCGAGTGAAGTCGGGTCACACGGCATCACTGTGAACGCCTATGCGCCTGGACCAATCGATACCCCTCTCTGTATGTTCATGTCTTCTCCGCTACCCTGCTACCTCTCGTCCATCACACATTTTCTCTCTATTTTATATGTGTCCTAATCCTGACATGCACACATCCAGTGCAAGACTCCGCAGATGCATTGGAGCAACTGTTTGGGGTTCCTGATGGCAAGGCAATGATTCGAGATGTATGTGTTAGTCTCTATCTCCTAGCGCTTAATTAATTGAATCGCCTTGCAGTACCAAGCAGCGAATTCGGCATTGAAGCATGTTGGAACGCCGGAAGACATTGCGAGCATGGTATCGTTTCTCGCGGGCAAAGAATCTGGCTTCATCACTGGCCAGACAATCACAATTGATGGGGGAGGCTGGATGGACTAATCCCGTGAAGTAATGTAACTTGTCTCCAAATTCAAGCCAACCGTGTAAGTATATCCCGACTCTGTGTATTACTAAATCTTCACTTGCCTTTTCGTTAAAATGCGTGTTGATACATTTTGGTCCATATGACCTTCTCATAAGGTTGACTTGACGTTTGTGGTGAGACCAAGATGATCGAAAGGAGCCCGTGGAGAAGGGAAAGATTCCTTGCCTTGTGCATGTTCATGTTCGGCGGATGATACTAATTTGATGATAACATGATGAGCTAGCAGATTTGCTCGTCTATAATATCAAAACCACGTAAAGCAGGAGCGATCCGCCCACTTTTCATACAGGACGGATCACTTGATGCCTACGAGGTTACGAAGCAAGAGTTTCATGGCTTGGACGTTGTGAGTCTCTCATTATATCTGTTGTTATAGCTGCATCATCGGTGACAGGGAGCAAAGGGTCGACATCAACCAGCTTCTGCGGTGCATCGATACTCGCACTGTTATACAGTCAGCGAATGAGCTTGTATCACACGGCATCGCTGTAAATGCGTATGCTCCTGCATCAGTCGATATGCCTGGCCGCTTGTCGCTCATGACACGTCGTATGCTCTGATGTTTAGGAAATGGCGCAATAGCTAGCCTTTCTGATGGCAAGACTTTCGTCCGACTTGATTGTATCAGTAATTCACTTTCTACCCCCTAATCGGTTGGCCTGTGCTGCGTTGGTAAGCACGCAACCCGCTGGGGCGGATTGCAACAGGAGAGAATATCGTGAACCTGATGTCGTTCTTCGTGGGCAAGGACGCCACCTACTTACTGGCCAGACACGATGAATGGGAGACTAAAAGTGCAAACGAATATCTCAGGAAACATATGGCTGAGAGACATCATAGTCAAAACGAAATTCGAAATACGTACTTATTTAATACTATCCAAGCTATTCGCGTGCAATTACAAATTGATAAAATAGTACCCAGCTCCCAATAACTCCCTGGAAATAATTTGGGCACGAGTGCACAGGATGAATCCAGAAGTCTGCTCTTACAAGTTCTCATTTACTCGCCCCGCTGTGCGCCCGCCGTATCCCAAATATCTTTGCGCTGTGAGCGGCACCATCATGATCTGCCGATGACAGGTCGCTGCTCGATTTAGATTTGATATGGTGAGGGTCATCCACGCTGCTGGGGTGGAGGTTGGATGCGTCTAAAACCTTGATCATACCGCTGTGTAGACGATGAAATGGGACGAAGAGACAAGGGACCCAATCAAGAGGTAAAGCAACCAGTCAAAGATGAACATGAGCAAGAAACAAAAATAACAGCGTAATAGTGCTGACCGTTGTGTCGCATCCATATAATCTTCCCTGTCAAACCTCTTCGACATCTTGATTGACACACCCTTATCCGAGATAGAAATGCCTTTGTTCCGAAGACTGCGGAAACCCAGTTGAGTGTTTAAACTCTGTGAGCGCAGTTCAACATACGATTCCTTTGTATTCTGAGCGGCCGCTGAGAAGCGTTTCGCGAGGAAGACGATGCCGAGGATGGTCCCCACAAAAAGGGACGTTATCTGCAGGCTCAGCCGAGTTTAGGAGAGGGTGAGAGAAACACCGGCTTTATGCTCACGATTAGAAAGGAGAATACATCAATCCTGATTGCATGAATGTAGACATGAGGCAATGATTTAGAAGGCGAGAGACGGGGAACACACCAAGAAGCCATTGTTTAGATATTGCAAATGTTTCAGGCAGCACACGACAACAATAACAACACTAGCAAGTGTGATATTGAGCAGTTATCAATTTATGAAGGCAATTTCGAAGACCAGATGGATGTGCGCAGATAGAACTAAAGCAGAAGTAGGTGGTAACGAGATAGATTCTGGAGAGAGAGCTGGTGAGCGTCTCGCTACTTGTTGAAAGCAGTGATCGAGGAAACAAGCTGTGTAATAATTTGACATCCGGATGTACGTAATTATGTAACGTTTAACAGGTTCCCTCAGCTCAGCACAAAGTCCGACATGGGGAACTTGAGTCTGCCGGGATTCGGGAATCATGTGTACCCGGACTGGCTTCAGCTAACCATGCAGGCTCAGAATGTCTGGGATTTGGCCAGGGGTCTGGCAGACTTGATGTAGCAGACGTCTGTATTCGAGATTTGGCAAAGTTTCCGGCCAGTACGCATCAGCCGCCCAAGGTCTATCTGCCCGCCGTCTTATATCATCCGTTGATTACCCTACCCCCGGGTTCTCTTGTTGCCCGCCATCTCTCTCGCTGCCTGCCATCTCTATGGCATGCATACAATCGACACGATCACAGCCTTTCGTCAGCTGGACAATCAAAGGCTGCGTGATGCTCTACGTCAAGAAGAGCTATTCGAGCGAATCTTTGATGTTGTGAAAGCTACATACTATCAAAATCTCCGGGCGTGGATTGACGCAGACCCAACCATTCGGGAAGCTCATGAATGAGCTGGACGTAAATCAGCGGGGCTCTGGAAGAACCTTTTGTCTGCGCAGCGTGCCGCGCGAGGCACACAAATCAAGAAGTCCAAGAAGTTGCAATAAACTATCAAGTACTTAAGTACGTCCGCAGCTCAACGCTCGGCAAGCCCCACTGACATCTGATAACGTCGATCAGCGGAATCCCACACACTCTCAACTCGAGGAGCTAAGAGGAGCCAACTTGGTCAATGACGCATGACTTTAATCTTCGAATATTGGTGGCTGTTGGGCCACCGAGATAGCTAGACAAAATAACTATTTGCATCCCAGAGTCTGACATCCTTTACCAGTGTGTCGCGCCAGTGAAACCCTCAACGGCAGTTGAACACCATTTCCAACTTCACCTTCCACTGTTGGAGCCATCACCAAGCAAGCCTCCCGCCGGACAAGTTCGGTTTTATCAGTCAGGGCGAACTCAAACTTTCCAACTATCTCCGTCAGAAATGCCTGGATTTCGATCACCCTAAGTGAACGTTCACATTAGATTTACTCCACCATTGCCGGACAGCCCGTCAACACTCACGCGAAGCGCCATCCGATACACGACCTCACTCCTCCGATGAATGTCATTCTAGAAAAAATTTGGGGTTCATGCGTGCTGCAAGATAGAAACCAACGCTTACAGATTGGAGTACACTCCTATTGACGTCGCCTTCTTCTCTTTCGCTACACCATCGAGCCATCTATCCGGATTGAACACGTGCGCATCCTCGCCCCAGAGCTCCTTGTTTCTAACCGATATGAGTGCACCGTCAGAAGAAAGTATGTTGACGCTATGTGGAACCTCCTACCGGTTATACGCTGCAATTGATGCAACAATTCGGGTGCCCTTCGGAACCGGTAGCTCACGGATGACCTCCCCGGATCGCGTGGTGATTGGCTGTGACAATGGAAGGACGTCATCCTGGCTGGCGCATCGGTGTGAATGATATGCGACACAACAAAATCTCAGGACTTCCTACAATGACGAGCACAATGTTATGACAGCCCAAATACTGCTCGCACGACGTAACGCACTTTCATCACAGCAGTGGTATATGGCATGGCGTCAAAGTCAGCGATTGTGAAGCTGACATCGCCGCGTGCGTGTACAGCGGCTTCTGTTTCCCATATCTCTGCCCGGAGACGGGATTGGATCTCAGGCCGTCTGGCTAGCTCAAGAAGCGCCCAACTGATAGTGTTTGAGGTCGTCTCATGACCTGCGAAGAGGATAGTACTGCGTAATTTTAATGATCCGTGGTCAGAAAGCTGTGCAATCATGACAAACGAAACGGACCCACCGCATCTGAGCAAACAGTTCTTCTTCCGTTAACTTCGCCTTTGCATTTGCATCCATATTGGCTTTGACTGTGCTATAATCAGATGACCTAGATCTGAATGAGGTTGTTGAGAACGACAACCCACCAAGTAAGCTAAAGACATCTCGGCTGCCCTTGCCTTCCAATAGCATCTCTCCCTTGTCTTTCACCAACTGCTTTGCAACAGATGTCGCCAAGCTACCTGACTCACGCATACGCACGATACCCGGGCTTTTGCCCGTCTCTATGAAGTATTCGAGAATCTGAAGTGGGATATACTTTGAAATCCCCTGAAAGAGTACCTGCCCATCTGACGGGGATCCAAATACGTCAGTCCTATTGCAACGAAGTTGTAATCAATTCAGATCAGTTAAGGGAAAATCAGATGCTTGGTAATAGTCAAGACTGACATTATACTCCTGTATGAGCGCGCAAGAGCGTTTTCATCATTGTCAATGGAGCTGAAGCGGACATCAAAAGCAGCTGAAAAGGAGATGAGAAAAAGGTGCTTGTGTACCCTAGATAGCATGTACCTTCGCCGATAGCATCCAAGGTTGCGCGGGACAGCCAGGTAGGAATATCGAACACTACTGACCCATCCTTAGAGTTACTGATGATTTCCATCCATTTGTTGCTCATCTGTGAGAATTTAAGTTATTGACGGACGTTGAGAGTATTGAGTGACTTCGATGCCTACAGACTCGGCGCAGTTCTTGAATAATAATAGGAAGGCTTTGGACTCCGGTCCACCAAATCCAGGGAGCATTATTTTTCTGTGTCGTTTGTGATCGTCACCTTCAAAAGTTAACTACAGACCATTCTATGTTTTGATTTAGTGGCTAAAGACCTACCATCCGCCCAGAGAATTCCCTTTCCGTTGATCATCTGGGAGACGGCGCGGCGATCATGCGGTTTTGGAAACCGATATGCTGACTTTGCAAATATGTATTGCAGGGCAGCCGGGTCGGAAATCATCAATTGGTCTTCCTATGAGTCGGTGGAGGATCAGGAAATGTATGCCGCAAGTGTGGATTTCATTACATACGCCAAAAGGGCCCTTGAAGCGAACGATATTCCCAAACTGAGCTTGCCACTTGAAGTCAGCCTCTGCTGCCTGACCTTGGTAGAGTTCTTTCAGATTCCCTGGTGATCATGTCAGCAGCGGAGGGATCCAGCAAGAGATAATGTAGACATACCCATGATGAACGACGCAGACTCTGGGCCAGGAATGTCTGCCAAAGAGATACGAGAGTATCGACGGTACACCCCATAGACAATCGCTAGAGCCGCAAAACCAGCAGTGATAAAGACAGGACCCATGGTTACAAGAAATACGATGTCAAAAAGCATATGAAGGCAGCTTTATCAATGTCTCTCGTATGAACTAGATGACACTTAATGCATGATGCGTATTCCTGAGCGCCACACGTGCATCGGAAGGAACGGGCCCAGAAGTTGCCTATTCCTGATCTCTTTACAAGTTGATGATTGCGTGAATTCAGTGCCGATGATATGACTTGGGGAGCAAAGAGAAAAATCCGATCTATGTGAAGCATTGGGTATGTCATAGGGCTTTACACCAAAGATTCATCATTCTGTAGGCGGTAGGTTAGCTCCAGCTCTTGGGAACTGCTCTCACACAGTCGGCTAAGACATCCGAGTCCCCTGCCAGGAGCGTTATGACATATTTCTGATGACTCCCGCGTTCTGATTGCAGCCATGATGATTCAACAGTCATCTTCTCATCATGATGGAACGATACAGATATGACATAGTACTCACTCGTGTCCCTGCGAAACTAGGTCATGAGCAGTCCTCCGGGAACACTTCGCGGAGATTAATGGCTGACGGTCATCTACTGACACTTCTCGGAGTAGGGTTGTCAGGATACATGACGAATCATGGATTATTCGGCCTATAACCTAGTTATCATTGGGGTATGACTCCCGTAGTCAGATCATGCAGAAAGAATACAGCCATTCCTTCTGTATATGATGAATTTGAATTAAGTAGGACGATGGACGATCAACGCAACACGTGAGCTTGCGAGCATATGGCGTTGATCAGGGGCTTTGTAAGCCACCACGCGGTTTTGACACTTTCTGCACTTCCAAAGTGCTAGGCCCGTGCGCTGACATATAGATAAGCATTTTCCTCCACGTAAGTCTTTCTGAATCCTTTTCGTCTCGTACCGTCACCTTTCGGCACTCGACACGACTTTTGTCCACCCACCCACCTCCCTTTCTCTATGCTACACCAGCGTGTTTTGGTTTGGTCTCGTTTTTCTCTTCTTCTCTGCGGTCCCTTTCATCCCGCACCCCGAGACTCGGTCACAACACGCTCAGAGGGTCTGTCCCCTCCGCGTCCGGTTTTTATTTTCGCAAACTCAATCTTCAAGCTCGAACCACCGGACTCAGAACGCTCTTCCCAGACCCTGCGCACACACGCAGTCTGGCGGAGCCAGACCTTCCCCACCAAACCACGAAAGCGAAGCTTTCGTGGTTTACTAACCTCTCTCTTCGGATGTCACCTTCACCAACGTCACTTCTAACAAATTACATTCTCAACAGAATAATCCAACTAACGTCAGTCAAACTCGAATCCCACATTTCTTCCAATCCTCTTCTCTTCACAATCTTCGAGTTTTTTTTTTCCTCCCATCCCGTCAGAACTAAGTACGGCGTTCCTACAAAGCTGGGTTGAACATTGTCTAAACGCCGCGGCCTCAGGAGGCATTGCTTGTTTTTGTAAGGCCACGTGTCAGTCATGTGGCAATATTCGGCCTAAAGGTTGAACACCAGTGACAAATTACTGGCACGGTCTTCAAGCTTCAAGCGTCAAGCTGGACTCGCATGGACTTCCTATCGCAGACCCATATCGCCGCAGGATACCATCGCAAAACTTAGTGACCCGTTGTCTCCTTCTACCTTCCTTGCGGACAGACGTGCTGCTGTCCTTGCTTAGAAGGATTTGGCTCGCGATTGCAACGGAGATGTCGGTGAAAGGGCCCTTCTCGGCCTCCTCGAAGTCCTACAGAATAGTGCGGAAATACTAGATGCGGAAATAGCGAGGGCCGTGCTCGAGACTATTCCCCAGCTCTGTGAACCCGATGACGATTCCAAGGACCTTGCGTTGAAACACATAGACTATGGTATCGGAAACAATCAGGCAGTTCATATTTTGTTCTCCCTCCCTGGTGACACGCACTTCTATACCCGTTACGCGACACTACAGTTTTTATTTATCATATAGAATCCATCTTATTGTCCTTTGGGGTCGTAGACCCTATATCGGACAGCCCTATACACCGTGACAGGGTTGGTCCCGTTAGGACACTACAGTTGCTCTCGGTGCTACTACGGAACCGCTGTTCTCAAGCTCAAGTATATTTCCTCAGGGCTCCTGCTGGTGCCTCCAGTGTCATCGACATTTTGGGGGATAAGCGCGAGATAATTCGTGATGGTGTGTATTTTAGCTACTCCATCTCGTCCCACGTGTGGTACACTGGTAGACCTGCTCATACTATCTGTCTCAACAAAGCTAGATGTTGAACATAACTTGGTCCTTGCGTAGCCGTGCTCATGCTCAAGTTCCACCTGTAGCAAGGCTTTTAAACGACAGTAGATGATTCGACGCGAGTCTACCTAGGCCGGCATAAGGCTCGTTGATCACCCTCGCTAACGCTGAGACACCTTCAGAAGGCATCGTCAAATGCTTATTTCTCAGAGCCCTGATATACAGAAGGTGCATTTGAAAAGCTCTTCAATACTGTCATACATGAAGGTGGATTGGAGGGAGGTGTAATCTCACAGTACGCACTTTGATGTGTCGACAGTCTGCTTCGGTGTAATAGCTCGAATCAGGTGATTAATGTCCTCTGCTCAAAGTTCATTTCCATTGATCTCTATCATAGAGTTACTTCCGCAAAACGTCTCTTCCAGCGTTGTTATACTCCCTCTTGCTCTTACTGTCCAACTTTTCCCTGCAAGATTCAGCTCTATAAGAGTTTGCACTGCAATTTTGGGACTCACAAAAAGTGGTAAATGTGTCATTCGTGTTTGGTATCATGGGAATGTTAATCGGGTCTAAAGGCAGCGTCAGTGGATTCCAATATTCTTCCTACATTTGTTTCATAGTTTCCGCAGAGCCAAGAACTATCCGTCTTTCTGCAAGACTTTGTCGAACTAGACCTCGCATCCACGTATGCCCAACGGCCGTAGTTGTGAAAGAAAATTTTATTTGTACACTACACACATGATACTGACTAACCGAGTGAGAAATTTTGATAGATGAGTGATACGGCGCCAGGACAAGGCTCTTCACCGTCACGCGACGAGCGAGGGCATCATTATTGCACTGATGCGGCGGCCTACTTCAATTGGCGTGGGGGGTTTGAATGACAGCAGCAATCACTGTCCTTTTTGCAGGTCTAGAATTGGGGACCGCATGCAGTGACAGACATACATGCTACCAAAGCAGTAACGACAAGGAAGGAGAAATGCATGATTTATGCGAAGTGATACAAATTTTGTAAAGGGGACTCTGAATTACTCCGAGGTGGATGAAAATAGGGTTGTGAGCAAAACTTGGCAGTTCTATTGGTTTGGCAGATTCGTTACGCCTGGATGGTAAAACTTCACGGCGGATGATGCTATTGGAAGAACCTGGTGTAACCATCCATGGACACAAGTTGCAGGCATGAAGTCGCGCCTTCAAATTTCCAAGGGCACAGGGAATGGGATAAAAATATTTCGCCCCCCGTCCGATTTTGTGGCTTCGCCTTTCTTGGTCGCGTAATATGCACTACAGAGCGAACTGCTCCCGAGCGTCTCGAATCATGAAGTGTAGTCCATTTATCCGCTGTACAGTATTCATGTACAAGGCACCGGCAACAGGAATGGGATTAGATCTAGCTTGTATTCTCTTGTAATAGACCTCTGTGTACGCCCAATATGAGGATAATTCCATTTGTCCATGTAGAAAGATGGTAACGAGTGCATATATATCCTGAAGTCCAAAAAAAATCTCACTGCGTGCAAAACATTTGTGCAGTTCAAGATACTGGTTTTAGTATGAGAATATCATCAACCAAGGGTTAAGGACAATCTATGAGTCGAATTCCCGTCAGTGAGGAAGCAAGGTTGAGACTTGAGCAAGCGTGACATACAGGGAAGAGAATGTGGCTTCCGACAACGATGCTGCATGATCAGGTAATCATAAGTTTCAGTTTGTTGCAGCTCAGATATGCAACTTACGCAAGCGGTAGGATAACTGCCCAGTCAGTCGGGTCGACCTGCCACCCAACGGGCACCAGTGACGTGCTGAGCATAATCATCCCCACCACGGTAATCGTGCATAGTATGAGCGCAACACGAAAGCGCTTTAAGATCTTCGGAACTTCAATGAAGAAGTTTGATCGTTCGACCTCCTTCTTCGTAGCACCCCACGTGATGTTATAAGAAAATAAATGGGAGAGCACTGCCTGAGAAAGATGGATGCTTAACCCTCCAAAGAAGAAGAAACTATATCAGGTAGAGGATGCGCTCCTGAGTATTTGTTTGTCAAGGTAGAGAGGTTCGGTACTCACAAGAAAGGTATCCAGGTCACGTTCTCGATTGCCGAAGATAGAATGTTGCGGTGACCCAGACGGTACTCGAGAAGCGTAAATCCGAGATTGCCAACCCCGGGGAAGACAACAGTACACGCTAGCCAGACTTCAAAGCTGTGTAAGAAGAATCCGTCGACTTCGACTTGAAAGCCTAGCAAAAGGTAGTTGACCAAAGAGAGAATCGCCGCCGCTGCAATGCCGTCTTCCATATCATAGTGCGTCAGTGTTCACCGAACGTAAAATAGAAGAAACCATCATACAGTACGAGAACATGTCTGCATAGATTTCAATGGGTGCATCTCACACGAGATGAGGGGCACTTACAAGCCATCATACTAAGTTTATAGTGCACTGGAGCTCCAGACCACACGAAAATGCGAAGCTGCTTAGCAATCGGTCCCATCTTCCACCAATGCACGAGCGGATTGAATATAAGCTCATTGCACCCTACGTATCTCAGTTTGAGATCCTTTGGATAGCGAGAATGACTTACCATATGAGTACTTCTGCCACCGATTCAGCTCATCATCGACAGTGAGGGACACACCTTCCTTGAATCCACCCTTGGAGTACGACGCCCATCGGATGCTGTAATGCTTCAGCTGCAACCGCAAAGCCATGTCAAAGTCTTCGGAGACATTCGACTCAGACCATATCTTCTTCTTTCCATCTGCAGGATCGATGAACGCCGCGTCCTGGAGAGCCGACCACCGAAGAAAGGCGTTGTGTCCCACGAAGGGAGCTACTTCCCCGTTCGCGCACCCGATAGAAATGCACTTGTTAATCCGCCGTGTGAAGTGCGCAATCCCGTTCTCGAAGTAGTGCTTTGCGACTTGCATTACGTCTGGTGAAGAGCGTGTCAGGCATCCTGCAGTCGCTGGTAATGAGTGAGACATACCCGATTCGTGCTGGATAATACCGACGTCGGGGCTCTCTGCAAGCTCTCGTGCGGCATCGCGGAAGCAATCCTGCAAAAGAAATGGAAAATAAGCGTCTATCGCTTTGTCAGACAGAGATGGTCCGTCACCTCAGGCACGATCGTGTCTGCATCGACGATCAAGATAATTTCCCCGACGCGTAAAGACTTCCCATTGCTTGCCCAGGGCCGCCACTTCCCACCGCTCTCATTGTACACCTCCTCCGTGGCCAGTGCCAATGCCATATCTTCAAGAGACTCGTATTTGCTGTCATCCAGCTCCCCCCTCTGCTCCGCGTCTTCAAGCACCTTCAAATGCTTCTCAAGTTTCAAACTTAACGCGAGCCCGTAGTTCATGTTTGACGCCTTTTTGAACCGGCCAGCACGCTTGAAGCCGCCTGGTGCGCTATCATGCTTCGGGCGCGCGACCCACCCAATGTTGTGGTCCGCATAGAATGCCATGCGTTCTTCCTGCTCCTTGGGGCTGATGAGCTGCAACCCGTCGTCATGCACGAAAATAGCAGACGTGCCACCCTGCCTGGCGTATGTCTGCATTGCCTTCTTGATCGAGAAGACCGACGGTGCACTGATGGAACACGTCAGCACATTCCATTCTACTACCACCGAAAGAGGGATCTGACATTGTATGTTCTAGACTCTCCTTGAACACTGGAAGTTCGACGGTAATGTGGGGTAGGGCGGCATCGACTTCCTTGTTCGGTGATGGGGGGACTGCCGAGTAATATCTTGAATTCTCATGGTACTGGGCAACCGGACCAAGCCTAAGAAGTTTAATTTGTCAATACATTGTTACGTGAATACATATGCCAATGAGGAAATGACCTACACCAAAGATAAGTTGCCCACAAGCTGCAAACAGAAGAACTACATTTGATGATGATCAACTTGAAGATCCGGAGAAAATATCATCAGTCTCTCACCAGTGATATGCAAAAGAGGAAGGGTGATGTGACGAGTAGGATGAAACGAGTGTAATTGTCATCGAGAAGCCATTCGGCCAAAAGGACACTGAGTCCACTGCCAATGAAAACTTGGATAGATTAGACGATGCGGGAGCAGATGATAAATACATATCTTACATATCGACAATGCCGTCGCAAGGCCACAGTAAAATGGGGCATAGAGGCGAATAGGCCGGGGACCTTGACTTCCGGGAGAACCTTCCTTCTCTAGGTCATATTCCTCGGTATACATGCCCCTCTTCTCCGGTGATACGCGCCAACTCCAGCCCCACCTCGATTTCTTGGCTGGTGCCTTCGAACGCGCATTATTTCGCTCTTTCTCTGTAACAGGAATGGCCTCTGTGAGGACCGTATCCTTTTCTGCCAAATTAGCGGCAGAAGCGGTAACTGATACAGAGTTGGTAGATGGCGGGGTGGTGGATACAGACGATACCAGATGACGGAAGCGCCAGACCAACTTAATGAGTTTCTCCTCTAAGTCGCGACACAAAGGTATGATAGTATCAAAGCTATCTGACCATATAACGATAACCCGTTCATCGCGCTGTAGTACCGTGTGTTAGTATCATACACATCGAGAAAGAGGTTGACTAACAATGAAAGCCGCACACTGTTCCTTCTCAGCCCGAGGTAGGAAGTTCATGGATTCGAACACCTGTATCTTCGTGTCAGAATCGATATAGATCGAAGCATCTGCATCAGTTCTGTGGAGCCCATCATTATGGAAGAGTTTTGTATATGAAAAGAGATCTTTACATTGTACTGAATGCGGCGTGCACGGCAGCGCTGCGGATTTTAACAGCAACGACTGGATTGAGCAGTCTGACTGCGGCCTCAAAGGGAGCTAGTAACAACTGGTTGTACGGAAAGACGCGGTAATGTCCTGCTGCCACCCGAAGACAGACACCTGTTGCGATGGTTTCTTCCGTGGGCCGGAACCAGGCCTCCCCTTGAGTCTGATCAGATGTGGAATATCAATAACGGTTCGCGTTTAGTACGCAAGTTAAACCACCTGACCTGTTGGTAGACGTGATGAAGGAGAGCGTCGTACGGGTCATAGTCCATATCGTTTGGCTTGTTGAACAGATGGCACCAGGGAACAGTGTATATAAGTGGGAGGAACTTCCGAAGGGATCGCTGACATTGACCCTCATTGACCTGACACTGCACTTATGAAATTTGAGGTGGCAGAAGGGAAAATCTCACCAATTATTCAGGTATTCAGGGCTGAGAGCACACAACGTTGAAGATGCGTTCACTTCTGCCGAAGGGTCTACCCCTTGGCAAGGCCTAGACTGTAACGGAAAGATTTGACATAATAACCAGGATTAGCCTGAAGGGAAACAATGTGGCTGTGACAGTCGGGCAGGGGTTACTTACGATACCAGGAACGTAAGGATGAACAAAGAGTGCGATAAAGTGAGTATCACGCAAGCCAAGCGAGGATGGACGTCAGTCAGGCCTTGTGAGTGAGAATAAAACATACAGACAGTCCCTGAGCCAATCGTCCAGACCCGAAAACGTCCCTCGCGCATCAATTTTGGTTAATCAAGATCCAAGGGGTGTGTTTGGCCTGCTTAGCGGACATCGGAGTGTATCATAACCCGACTTGGCATTATGATAATCATGATGGCTTGCAACAACTCTGCAACGACAGACAGTTGAATTGCTAAAATGACCACGATTCGGCAGCCGTCGACCCGGACCGAAGGATACAAGCAAGTGCCACCTCACTGGTGCACCCAACTTCCCAGTCCCCAAATGTCGAACTTTGAAAATAAGTACAGAGCAATGGGAAATTGTGGGAGATTGTAGGAGATTGTTCTGACAGACAACGCCTCGAGGTGCGTCCAGTGACTAGTCTGGACTCTTGAGACCAGATGGTTGACCTCGGAGTCTAGGGAAATGGGTTGAAACTGGCGGCCATCGTCTGTCTATCCCAATTATCCATCGAAATCGCAGAGTCCATAGAAACTGTCAATGGAGACCTACTTAATACTCTGCTTTTGTATTGAACGTTCCAACTTCCCTGCACTCAACAAGTGGCGGTGACTCGGGGAGGTTTCCTCTTCAAGAAATCAGGAATTTCCATTTTCACCGCAATTATTTGTTTAACTTTATCCCCTCACACCCCAGCTGGGTTCGTACGGTACCGTGCTCCTTGAAATTCGGAAACCAGATCGGTGGAAGAGTTTAACGAGCCTATCGACCGGGAGCGAATCATGATACGTACCTATCATGATGTAGGCAGACTGTGGATGGTCATTTCTCTACACCCTTATCGTGTAGTTGGCCGCGGCCTCCCTGGCAGTGGTCGTCAATGTCATGTGTCAAGTAATATGCGAGTCTCGACTCGGAATCAAAGCAAATCTTTGCATGACAAAAAATATAAAAGGAAAGTGTGCCTCGCGTCAAAGAAATCTTAATTGCTTGCAGTCGGGGATATCCGGGTGACGGTCCAGCTAAACGCTGCACGAGTTCGTGGATGATCGATGGGCCCCACACTAATATCTCTCATGATGGAAGATCGCCCGATTAGTAGAATATTGTCAACATGAGCAGGCAGTGCTGAGTCGTGTTCGAAACAAGTCGAATAAGTCAAGAAGGGCCTGCCAGCCCGAGTCTAGAGCAATATGCAAGAAACAAGGTATAAGATAATATATATGTACTCCTTGTACTGTACATGTGCGAGGCTATGTACAACTGATTATTATCAGCGAATAAATGATTGGATGATGCAATTACATCGATATCTTCGTATGGTACCTCTACAATAGAGTTGTGAATGATCAAGAAAAGTAGCATATTGACAGTAGTCCATTCAGATCCCAGCACAAACGACTATCAGCAGCATTCTCGCCGTTCAATACGAGAAAATCATCAACCACGGATTCAGCACAATCTGCAATCGAAGTCAGTTACCAAGAAACGACGTCTTAATGACGAGTACGCACAGGGAAAAGAATATGGCTTCCAGCGACGAGCCTATATGAAATTTGAGTATGTGGGGTGACGGTCTGGACAAATTACTTACGCAAGAGGGAGGATAACTGCCCAGTATGTCCCCGGAATTTGCCAATCCGGGCCGACAATATTGGAAAGACTGAAGATTATGATCATAGCGAACGTGGCGATAGAAAGTGCGAGGGCGAGCCAGAATCGCTTGAGAATTCGGGGGACTTCGATAAAGAAATTCGAACGTTCGACTTCCTTTTTCGTTGCTCCCCAGGTGATGTTGTATGAGAACATGTGGGCCAAAAGAGCGGTGGTGAGGTGGACACTAAGACCACCGAAAAAGAAAAAGCTACAAGCATCGGTGTGAGCCTAGGCCCGACATAGGCGACGGGGACGTACAAGAAAGGTACCCATGTGCAGGTCTCAACAAGCGAGTCCCACATGTTACGGTGCCCAAGTCTGTATTCAAGAAGAATATAGCCAACGTTGCCCGATCCGGGAAACACGGCCAGAATCGCGAGAAAGACCTCAAAGCTGTGAAGATAGTAGCCGTCCGTTTCAAATGCCAGTCCAAGAAGGATATAGTTGAGAACCGACAAAAGTGCCGAGGCTGCGATACCATCTGTCAAATCCGTGAGCATGGCACGAGTACAACAAAAGTTCTTGTCTTACAATAGGAAAACATGTCTTTCGAAAAAAAAAATCAGCCTAATTGGCCATGACTTCTCATAAGTCTTACTCACATGCCATCATACTAATTTTGTAGTGAACAGGTGCATTGGACCATACGAAGATACGCAGCTGTTTGTTGATAGGACCTTTCTTCCACCATTGAACAAGAGGGTTGAAAATCAACTCGCTACAGCCTTTACCAAACCCTGGCCATCAGCACAAACTTTGTTGACATAACCGCTCATCCATACCGTATGAATATTTTTGCCATCGATTCAATTCATCATCGACCGTCAACGATACACCTTCTTTGAAGCCGCCCTCGGAGTATGTCGCCCACCGTATGACATACTTCTTTAGCTGCACACATGGGAATATCAGTCAGATAAACGGCAGGTCCAACAATACAAGAACGTACCTGAAGTCGCAAAGCCATGTCGAAATCCTCGGACACATTTGATTCTGACCAAATCTTCGTTTTCCCGTCAGCCGGGTCTACAAACGCGGCGTCCTGAAGTGCCGACCAACGAAGAAAGGCATTGTGTCCCACGAAAGGAGCTATTTCGCCGTTCGCACAACCAAGGGATATACATTTATTGATCCGCCTCGTGAAGTGGGCAATACCGTTCTCAAAGTAGTGCTTCGCGACTTGCATAACATCTTGAGTGCGAAATTGAGTTATGCTGAGACAGGAACATGAATGTTGACTAACCTGATTCATGCTGAATGATCGCAACCTCGGGGCTCTCTGCAAGTTCACGAGCAGCGTCACGAAGACAATCCTAGAACGGCGTCAGTTTCGTAATTAAAGAAGGCGACATGCCGCTCACCTCGGGCACAATAGTATCGGAATCGACAAGCAAAATGATCTCTCCCATTCTAATAGATTTACCGTTGCAAGCCCACGGTTTCCACTTCTCTCCACTTTCCATGAAAATTTCATCACAGGCCATATTCAAAGCGCGATCCTCCAGAGGTTGACCGTCGTCCTCTAACTCCCCTCGTTCTTCTGCTTCAAGGAGTACCTTTAGATGTTTCTCGAGTTTCAAGCTAAGCGCGAGCCCGTAGTTCATATTCGACGCCTTCTTAAACCGGCCGGCACGTTTGAATCCATCTGGAGAGGATTCATGAGGAGGGCGTGCGACCCAGCCTATGTTGTGATCAGCGTAGAAAGCAATACGTTCCGCGCGTTCTTCCTCCGAAATGAGTTGTAGACCGTCGTCGTGCACGAATATCGAAGATGTTCCACCCTGACGTGCATATGTTTGCATGGCCTTCTTGAGCGAGTATACGGACGGGCCGCTAGAAATTCCGTGAATACAGACAAAAAAAACCGACTGCGACCTTACATAGTTTGCTCAAGACTCTCCTTGTAAACAGGAAGCTCGATAGTAACATGAGGGAGAGCCGAATCGACATCCTTATCCTCCTCGGGTTTGATAGCAGAATAGTAACGAGAGTTTTCATAGTACTGGGAGACGGGACCGATGCTACGCAAATGAACACAGGTCAAGACGAGCGTAAATGAATGCTTACATCATGCCGATATTGCCGATAATTTGTAGAGAGAAAAACTAAATGACATGTCAATTTCATTTAAGAAACGTCTTGGGTCCCCATGACATACCAGAGAAACGCAGAATGACAGCGGGGCTGTGACGAGCAAACAAAACCGAATCCATTGGCCATCAAGCATGGACTCCTGCAAGAGCATGCTGGCACCAGTGCCGATGAAAACTATCGAAAGAAGTAAGTCCAAGTTTGGTAATATGTGAAGTCGACAGTTGCTTACAGATTGACAAACCACAGCCTAACCCATTGTAGATGGGCGCGATGAGCTTGGTTCGCCGGATTTTCTTCGCACCCTTCTCGGCGTCACCTTGGTGCTCTTGACGTGTAGTGCTCCAGCTGAAAATCTTCCAAAATGGTGATGACGGTTTAGACTTTGGCTTCCGATTTGTGAGTTCTTTCTCAGTCACAGGTATTTCTTCCGTAGGGTCTTCCTTTGTTGCTAGCAAGTTGTCATGCGACGGCAGAGTGGGTGGTATGATATCAGAGGGAGTTGAGGACACATTGGTGCGTTGCCTCCAGACAAGCTTGATCAGCTTTTCCTCAAAGTCGCGACATAGGGGTATGATGTTGTCCAAGTTGTCGGACCAGAGGATGAGGACAGCCTCGTCTCGCTAAGGGTCTGTCAGATAATCATGACAACGGGGTGAGACGTGGAACTTGCCACAAAGGCTCCGCACTGTTCCTTCTCAGCTCGTGGCACCATAGCCATGGAAGGTACTATCTGAATGCGTGTGTTATGATCGACGTAGATGGCAGATGCATCTTCGGGACTATTATTACGGAATACGGGCCGTTAGATAGTCACCGGATGACCGACAGTGACGAGAGACAACATACACAATCGCTAATGCAGCATGAACTGCAGCACTCCTCACCTTGACAGCAACCACAGGATTTAAGATGCGCACTGCTGCCTCAAAAGGGGCAAGGTAGCTGTTCTCGTAGGGAAAGACGCGGAAGTGACCAGGTTCGACACGGAGGCAGACCCCAGCAGAAAGATTCTCCTCGGTTGGCTTGAACCAAGCGTCACCCTGAGTCTGTCGGCGAGAACTTATGAGCAGAAGACGATATCAAAAAAATCCACACGTACTTGCTTAAATATGTGGTGCAGGAGTGCATCATACGCGTCATAGTCCATAGCCATGGTTGAAGCCCGACGTAAGAGTTAGGAGAAAAAATAGAGATCGTTCGTAGCTCAGAGGAGGATATGGGAGTTTTGAGCTTGAGATTCGTTCAAGATTTGTAGAGGGATATAAGAGCGCTCAGGTGTTGGACACCCGATTTGGAACTTCCACTTGAAGCAGTGTAAATTGGACGATAACTTGAGGGATTAAAATATGATAACAGCATATGCCAAAGCCCTGGATGTACACCATAATGTCACGTTGTAAAGGAATCACTGTGCCTCATCGGGCTAGTATCTTCTTTGGATATGCATGTAGACTTAATCGCAAGGGCAAAAACTCGAACAAGTGAACGGTCTTGAGAAGCACCCGATATGAATAACGGAGGCCACTCAGGACGGACTGTAGGCACTGGAGCACGGGTACCTGGAAGATTATTTTTGGACAACGAATAGCCTGTGACTTGGATGTGGGAGTTGACCTGGAAAAGCCCACCCCTTAGAGACGTAGGGTCTAGCCTCTAACCCTTTGACGCACTGCCTGCACATCCCTGATGAATTCCGAGTTGTGCTAAACTATAAACCCTGGGGGACTTGCAGGGCCAGGATGCAGGGTACGCACCCTACGGCCCCGTCGATACTCCGCGTTGGTGGTTCACAAATTACATTACATAAGTCGAATTTAGCTCCGCGACCAGCAATAAGAGTCCTCGACACGGAAACGAGATTTACGTGAACTCAATTGGCGAGACGTGTGACTGCCTGAGACTGTTTGTAGGAAAAAAAAAAGATAAATTGACGTGAACGTGATGCTTGGTGAGCTTCAGCCCGAAGATTGGAAGCACTATACGTTATCCTCTGTACCTCGTCATGCATGCATATTACGTATCAGATCACTCGGGGACCGAGGTACTACATCCGAGTCAATTCAAGTTGTAGCTTGCAATGATCTGCCAGGGTGATCTTGGTAGATCGGTGCAAGCATCTGAATCCGAAACAGCCGTTGATGCTCAGTGAGGCGCCGATTGGTTTGATCAAAGGACTTTGTGTGTGAAATGATCCAGTTCTTGAAATTCCAGCTCTCAGATTAGTGCAACATATTCACCAGCCCTCATCATGGAGCGTCATGATTTTTAAGGCATCGTCGTACCATCTCGTTCAAGTTCCTACCGAGCAAACCCTTAAGGAATCAATAAGGACTCGATGTGACGTTTTCCAACTTCTGAACGCTCCTGGCCCTGGATGGGCCTGTCGCCTGTCCGTGCATCGCAGGGAATGACGTTCATGATCCTATCATCCGGAGCCTATTCCACTCAAAATGCTCCGACGGTTCCTCCAACTTGGCGTTATCGCTCAATTTTGACTACGGACGAAGACCAAGTTCATCAGGATCAATAGATCAGCCTTGCCCTTCTGGAATGTACGCTCTGCGATAAGCAAGGTTTGGTACTTGCTCATCATATCTCGCTTCCTTGATTTGCTGGCGGTGAAGTCGAAGCATTAGCGATCAAGGTGAACAACGTGCAATATGCAAGTTATTATCTGGGCCGCAGCTTCCGCATTGGAAGATCTGGGTCAGAAAGGTAATTGTGCCATTCGCTATATTTCAGCTGAAGAAGCTCGAAATGGTTTATCGGTGCTACTCAAAGGAATCTTTGGCGACATACATCATTGGAAGCTGACTCTGCCTTCGCGCGTAACATCGATTCGGTGTCCCGGGTTCCTCGCAGTGCCATACCGTTTGGCATGATCAGCAAGGAAGAAGGCATAAGCGCTGAATACTGAATATTGAATGAACCGGCGTCGTGATTCCCTAACACGTGTGGCATCAATTGGTTGGTATCGTTATCAAGGGCACTCAATGCATAGCTTCTATCACCCTGCAGGTTGTTCCCTCCCAGGGTACACCGAGCTTTGCGTACTATTTACGTCATTCAGCATCATATCGTTGACATGGACGTGGCGCGTCATAACATCGAGACAAGTTGCACCTGGCCAAAGCGCGCAATGAGAGTAACCCGGGGCCAATGCCGGAGGAATGTCACACAAGGATACCCCGCCACAGCAAAACTGCCATTTTGGTCAAAGCGGATCACGAGCCTGGGCAGTCCTGTCAATTCTATTATCTCCGAATCTCCGATGATGGTGGAGCTTTGAGCTAAAAAGGGAAAACCGATTAATCTCCCCCTCAATCAAAGTTTTGACGCTCAAGGGAACAAATGGGTGCCTTTCGCGTGATGATTGTCCAACATGAACAGATATGGCGATCTAGAGTGCTCCCTGTCATGGCTGTGAACTCAGGACTCAGGACTCAGGGATCATTTGCATGAGTTTGTTCTATGCTTTACACGCCTTAAAGCTGCAATGGAATCGAAGCAACGTTCCCCATACAGTCCGTGAGACTTGCCAGCACTCTAAACTATCAGAACTTGAATCCACCATGTCATCAGCAGACAAGGATGGCGTCAAGCCACCATCGCCATTCTACCTCGGCGAAAATTCCAAGCGAACCAAGGACAAATCTCAACAGCATCATAACTCCACTCCTTCAGTTTCAAACCTCTCTCGTCCATCCACTGCAGGAACTGCTGCAAGTTCCATCGTCAACCCTTTCTCCCCACCTGCCAGTGTCATCAGCTTTAGCGTTGATCCCGTAAGCAACGCGTCGATGCCCATTGCAGGACAACATGAGGGTCTAGAACCTGTACCTCGTCATGGCGTGACGGCACTTCCTCGCAGTACATCGTACTATGGCACTCGCCCGAACACTGGGGATAACCCCAGTCGCGTAGCCTCCGGTATTCGTCTTCGTGAAACTTTCGCAGCACCGCCAGCTCGTCCTTTGACAGCAGTCTCAACCTCTGTGAGCCTGGCTCCGAGCAAGACAACCCGCATGCGTTCTACCATGCTTGAAGATCCAAACACCTTGGACAAACCTTGGGTGACTACGAAAGACCCATATGCGAGGATTGCCTATCTCTTGACTTACTCGGTAGCATTCCTTGGCATAGCAGCTTCTGCTGTACGATGTTACTTTGGTTATAAGAGCGTACCATTGATCACTGGTAACTTGTGCATGGTGTTGGATGAAGATTTTACTTCCGACACCGATACGACTTTCGGACCTAACGGAAACTGGTTCCGTGAAGTGCAATTAGGCGGATTTGGGTCAGCGAATTTGTACCTTGGGTGAACCGAAACACTTACTCACAGGTCTTCCAGGAACGGCGAGTTTGAGATGACAACGTCGTCATCAAACAATTCGTACACCTCCGACGGATACCTTTACATAACCCCTACCTTGACATCGAACATGATCGGCTCGGATGCTGTGTTCAATGGTTATACATACAACCTTACCGATTGCACATACAACGTGACGAACCCGGAAGCAAATCCGGGCTCAACAAACAACACGGGCTTTGACGCCACTGCCTACTACCGATCCTGCGGTGCAGTAAGCAATAGTACTACTGGCGCGATAATCAACCCTATACAAAGCGCGAGGATCACCACACGCAACTCAGCTAGCATCCGATATGGCCGTGTTGAGGTACGAGCCAAGGTTCCACGGGGGTACGTATCACTCTTTTTTTAATTCTGATGTGTAGACTGACCTACCATTGGCTCCCTGTAGTGATTGGGTGAGCATTGTACCGTCAGGACAAGACCATATTACTTACTGACTGGCCCTGCAGCTCTGGCCTGCCATTTGGATGCTTCCTGTGAACAACACCTACGGACCATGGCCAATGAGCGGTGAAATTGACATCATGGAATCACGTGGAAACGCTCGCAGCTATCCTGATCAGTGAGGCATCTGATCACCTTACGGAATCGTGATTTGCTGACCGGGATTGTATTGCCGATCTCCCTGACAGGGGTATCGACTATGTCCGCGGATCACTCAACTGGGGACCACTGTCATTCTTGAACGCCGTATCCAAGACTTTCGGCTGGTGGACACAGAGACGCACCGACTACGGGGAGGGCTTCCACACCTATGCACTGGAGTGGACAGAGAGTTTCCTGTGAGTTTCAAATTTCTTCCGAATGTAGGCAATCCTCTGACAGATTCGACAGTCGCATTTACGTTGACACTCGTTTACACTATATGCTTGAGCTTTCGTTCAACGAGCCCTTCTTTTCACGTGGAGACTTCCCCTCTGTGGTCCAAAATGGATCAGAGCCCATTGTTCTGCAGAACCCTTGGATCAACGGGACTAATGCGACACCTTTCGACCAACGTGAGCTCTTATGAACAGTTATGAAGGTACAATATTCTGACCTCGCCGATCGACACACAGCATTCTATCTCATTATTAATCTTGCCGTTGGCGGGACTAATGGGTGGTTCCCCGATAACGCGGGCAACAAACCATGGCTGGATAACTCAGCAACAGCCATGCTCAATTTCGCGCAGGCACAGGATACATGGTACCCCACCTGGGGTTCAGATGGAGAGAGTAGTTCGTTCGTTGTGTAAGCCGTTTTGGTGCCTTGACGTGTTGTTCATCTTCTGACATTGAGATGTCGCAGGGACTCCGTCAAGATGTGGGAGCTGTGTTAGTCGAGCCACTGAATACCTTGGAGGATTTGAGATTTGCACACACCTCTTCATGTTAGACTTACCTCGACCATACCACGTGGACACTAGCATAGTGCCTTGCATATCGTTGTAATTCACTCCTCCTGAGTTCTTGTCTAAATACCCATTATAAGTTAGAGTTTGTCTCCAATAGTCAGATCTGGAAATAAAGAAGATGGCTGTTCCTTCTTTGATCGAGAGTTAGCATCTGGGTATAAGAAGAAGAAACGGGAATTCGCTCCACGATTCGTTAGGGGGGACGAGTGATACTTCAGCGAGGGACTGCGAATCACTTGCATCACGGATAAAAGACAAGTTGAGAAAAAGAGCCGACTGACAGAACCTCTTCGAAGTTCGAGATCACGGTGCCGGTGGGGTGTAGGAATCTGTTGTGGCGTGTGACAGTGATTGCAGAAACACAGCCACCTGAACAATTTGCGTAATTGACTTGATCTCTGACTCTGAGTCTCAAGCAACTCAAGAGAGTCTCCCTTCCATAGGACTCTCGACTAGGAGTACAGACAACCACGTAGGGGAGTGACAACGTTGAACAGCTCAAGGAATATCCGATCGATCATTGTATTCACGATGCGTGTGGGTCTACTACTTAGTACTCATTCAGCTGGACAGACTTCAATTCAGGAAGGTCGAACGAGTATCGGCGAAACCACTGTGGCGTTTTGACGCGGCACTCCATGTTTACAACCGCAAGCCCAGGATAGCGTTCTGAAAGCTGCGCATCCGGTTCAAAGCCTGTTATACATAGATCTCAGCCTTGAACGGGGGTTATGGGCTTTGGCCTCTTCAATACACATCGAATTTGTCACCGTAAGTTCTTGTCTTTATCCAATACGCAGCACTGCTCCAGGCTTCTGCATCAGGGACAAAACGCCTTGGGCACAATGCAAGGTATATCATAATACACCAGCGTCCTCCGTGCCCACCGCATCTTCCATTGCTGGCTAATCAGGATAACCCATACTCGTATGGAAGCCTAACGTACTCGACTCCAATGTTTATCCCGGATGGCGGTTCTTGATTGTACAGCTTTGCGGCTCGTTCAAGGTATTTGCTAGATCATCAAAAGGGGTTTGCTGAAATACAAATGACGAAAGAGTTGATCTTTGTTCGGCACAACTACTGCTACCACCGCTGGCACCGCGGACCAGATCTACATGCAAATGAATTACAAATGCACATCTGATTTGTGCATCATGTGCATGGTGAATGGTTCTTGATACCCCGTTTACGGAAAGCCAGAGGAGTCGTCTGACTGTCGTCATGTCAGTCGGCGGTCCACGTATCGGTATAATCATTGATCAAAGATATACACAGCCCCGATTAAGGGACACCCTCGGGGCTGCACGGACATCAAGTATATACTTAATGGTATTGTACCTTCCGAGGCGCAATGTCCAGGACAATAGTGTGTCTGGGCGTAAAGGGGATACGATGTGTATCATTTGAGTGCTGACGAGTTCGAAGGGGAATACAGATGATGAGAGTTGATGGCGAGAGCTTTGAGCGACTTTGGTGGATAGACTTCGAATAATTCGAGGAATTCTTCGAACGGACTGAAACGTTGACTTCTGAGGGGAATTGATTTGCTGGAAATATGAAAAATACACGGGGGCCTGCATATATGAGGAGAGATCTAAGTGTTGCCTTGAAAACACGATGGCGAAACGTGAAGGGGAAAGGCATCGGTATAAGTGTCAAGGGAAATGAGACGATAATCAAAGCAAACAAAGCAATGAAAGACGCTATGAACGAAGTGTGAAAATGTGAAGAGGGAGTCAGAATCGTTGAAGTGTTTGATGCAGCGCACGTCCATCGCTAGCCATCCTTACAAGGCCATCAAATATTAGATTCGTGACCAGTTCGAGTCTAATCAAGTATAACGGACAAACTGCAGACTTTAACAGCACTGTGGGTAGCTATAGTAGATACATGGAAATGATCCTACTACCCACAGTGATAGAGATGATCGATGCATCGACGAGGATGGATGAGGATCGATCATAAAATTCGCAATCGTCCATGAAGGTTTTACATAATGTAGTATCTTACATAATTCGAACGAGGCCTTCGATTTTAAATTGGAATGCCTCAACGAATCACTATGCGCAATGTGCCTAGGCTGCTTAGTTACTTAGAGTCCGTTCGGGAGCGCTAGCGATTGCAGAAATTTAAAGCACCTGCCAATTGCATGCATATCAAAGCAAGGCCAGAAGTTCGCAACGCGAACTCGTAATTGCGTATCACCCAAATTCGCAGCCTGCCATCTGGATGTAATTATCATACTACATCATCAGCTGTCTACAAGTTAAATAGAAAAACATAAGCAATGCTCTGAGAGAAAACACGAAAGCACAAGGTTACTGTATTGTGTACATTAACATGAACGTTGACGGCACCACCATGAATCTAGCTCGAGATGAAAGTGTATGCTCAAATGGCTAGAGACGCAAGATTGAAGATAATGATCCACGACCAATCCTGCACAAACCAACGCTGCGCCATGACGACCTGCCTGTAGTACAATAAGATATCAGAATCAGCTCGTGGTGATATCAGTTCAACGTACTGTAAATTTCTCCCAGCTGTCTTTAGGATCATTATGATCAAATGACCATATGTGCCAGAGACAGAGGAGGAAGGGCGCAATGACACTCATCACGTAGAATGGGAGGTGCTGGTCGTTCAAGTACCCGGCCCATAGAAGACATGCAAAGAAAATGACATCGAATACGCTCAATGCTAGACGAATGCCATCGCCAAGACGGACCGCCATGGACTTGACTCCAGCCTTTTCGTCGTCCTTCTTGTCCTGAGATGAGTAATTAACACCCATGTTTCCATGTAGAATTAAATGGACTAGTTACCTGACACGCGTAGATAGTGTCGTAAAGACACGTCCAGCTAGGGATGCACCGTCAACCTCTCGAAGAAAAAATGCCTTGCTAGCACTTACCAGCACGACGCAACAGCGACGTTCAGGATCATGCCCCAATCGAACTGACCCGTAATGGCCACCCACGTGAATGGGACGGCCCAGCTAGCAGCAAAACCTTGGAACTAGATAAGACAGTAAACAAGTTTTGATTTCAAAAAAGCCGTACCGAGGTACAAAGACGGCCAATACATCCAACGCTTCATCAGGGGATACGTCCCGCCACAAGCAGGGAGTCCAACAAGACCAAGTGTGAGACTGAAGCAGCTTATCAGAGATGTCTTAAGACTAGTTGAATGGCCTACTCACGCCGTAGGGCCAGCAGTTGAGAACATGTAAAAGATGGCAGCAACGAGCACGAACAGAAGAACCGAGGCCTCTGTCATAGTGACAGCTCCAGACGCGATCGGTCGGCCTTTCGAACGTTCTGATTGAACAGCGTCAAGAGATTGGTGACGGTCAGGACGGAATTGACATACCAACTTTGCGATCGAAGTCGCGATCAAGCATATCATTTATGACACAGCCCGCACTATGTACCAGCGTGCCCAACAATGCATAGAACAAAGTGTTCATGATGACCTCATTCATGGGTAATGCAACATGGTATGATGCTGCCAGGGAGCCCCACGCTAGGTACGATGAATTAAACCAACAAGTAATGTCCCACATGCATCTTCTAACTCACCAAAAGGCCAGAACATGAAGTCGGACCCCACTGGAAACCAGTGAATCCTGGTGAGCTCCACCAATGATCTTGCCTTGGAGGGCATTGTGACAAGTGTGCAAGGAGGTAAAAAAAAAGTGGAATGGAGGACCAGGTACACTAGCCGTGCTCGTTTTATATGCCTACATGAGCGCTAGGAACGACATCTTCGAATGTGCTGTTAAGCAGAGCCTCCTAACAGATGTCCCTGAGCTTGCAATATTGGAGGGGGGTATGGCATGCTACTTGACATGGGAATTCCTTGTTCTCACTCACTAATAGCATCTTCAATAACGTCTGATTTACGGTGACTTCCCGTAAGAATTCACATCTTTATTCTGTCAATTCTTACGGGAAGTCACCATAAATCAAACGTTCACCTGTAAAAGTTTGAGCGTGCGGTGCCCTGTTACCACTCCGCCATCATTCGGCTGCTAAGTCGCGGCAAAAACTATTAGGTTCCAGCAGTGTAACGTAGGAACGTAATGAAATGACCTCAGGGATGGCTCAAATTCAGGCTCCTTCCCAGCCGCTGTGTCGAGAGAAGCAAGGGCGGCATCCCAGTACCATGATAGAACTTTATGAATTTCGGGACCCTGGTCTGGGTGCAAAAATGTGAAACACCGATCGTCCCGGACTCTTTATATCCTTTGTTGTTGTTTGTCCCTTCGAGGGCATCTATTGGGAGATGTTGAAAGTCTTACGGGTATCACGTGCACCCGGACAATCCAGATACGCTGAATAGGTTTTCATACTACGAGATGGTCACGCAGGTTTGTGTGTCTCATGAGTTCGTGTTTTCACTCTAGCACATGCAATTCTACACAGAATATTTATGCACATCATACATGTGAAAATGTGAAGGGGGAGTCGGAATCATTGAAGTGTTTGACACAACATACATCCATCGCTAGAGGGGAAGCCATCCTTACAAGGCCATTGAGTATTAGACTCCAAGTTGCAACCAGTCCAAGTCTAATGGATGAACTGCAGACTTCAATAGTGCTGTGGGTGGTTATTGTAGATACATGGAAATGATCCTACTACCTGACCACAGTGATAGAAATAGTGTACAGTCAATTAGGAACTGTCTGAGATTCACAGGGTAAATTAGCAATGTGCCCAGAGGCTTCAGATTCACCAGCGTGAATTACAGTAAATTAACAGGTCTGTAAATCAATGCTAATTTACAGGTGAATTAGGTCAAATGTACAGTGAATTAGGGTGAATTAGGGTGAATTACTATTAGGTGAATTATTTCCACTCATCCCAAGCAGAAGGGTTGGGGACAGATGAGGACAGGTTTTTAGCAGCAGCCTTCTTTGTTGGTCCAGAACCTGGGTGCACAGGTTGTTTTCCAATTGAATCGAGCAGTTCATGCAGGTAGGGTACACATAAATTGATACTGCTGGATGCTGCAAGCACAAATGAGTCTTTTTCCACTGTCTTAAACTGTGAAGGAGCAGCTGGACCATCCAACCAATCTATGCCATCATCAAACTCATCTTCCAAGTCCAAGTCTGAGTCCACTGTTCTCACTTCAGGTGGAGGAGGCATTCAACCAGCGGGAGGCAAATCTTTGGCAGGATGCTTGCCAAGGATAGTGGATTCCATATCATGCCACTTGATGAGAGGTTTGTATGGTGTTTTCAATTTCTGTGGACTGATGAGATCAAGAAGAATGCATGAAAATTGTCACTCACATTATAATCAAAATGATGCCATTGTCGGATTTTGATATGATCTTGAAGAGTACCAATTCCCTGTTTACTTTGTTGAGGAGAGTTGAGCCAAGTAATCATTGACATGGTGCATTGATGAGGATGGTTGAGGCCTAGGATTGATTATAAAATTCAAACGAGGCCTTCGATTTTACATTGGAATGTCTTAACAAATCAATTAATCACTATGTGCAATGTGCACTTAAGTTGCTTAGTTACTTAGTCTCTCCTTTCAAGCAAATCATGATGGAAGGAAGGAAGGCAGGCTTGTTTGATTTCTCTGTAGCCAGACACATTGGAGCAACTCTCAATATTCTACATCATCATATGTAGGCAGACTGCATTAATATTTACCAGAGTGCAAAAACTATGCACAGCAAGAGACATGTCACTTTGCGGAGCAAGGTCATGTTGGATGGAAGATAATTTGAAATCACATGAGATAAAAGAACATCATAGAAAACAAATGACCTAGATCTAAAATCTAGAAACTCAAAACTGTAGCAATTCTGAAAGTTCAAAGTGCCAGCCAATTGCTTGCATATCAGAGTAAGGTCAGAAGTTCGCAATGTGAACCTGTAGTTGCATATCACCCACATTTGTAGCCTGCCATCTGGATGTAATCATCATACAACATCATCAGTTGTTTGCAAGTTAGGTAGAAAAACATAAGCAATACAAACACGAAAGCACAAGGTTACTGTAGTGTATGTCAACACAATTGTTGAAGGCATCACTTGAATCCAGCCTGAGATGAAGGTGCATGCTCAAATGGCTAGAGATGCAAGATTAAAGTAATGATCCACAACCAATCCTGCACCAACCAATGCTGTGCCATGACGACCTGCCCACAGTACAATGGGATATCAGAATTAGCTTGTGATGATATCAGTTCAATGTACTGTAAATTTCTCCCAGCTGTCTTTAGGATCATTATGATCAAATAACCATATGTGCCAGAGACAGAGAAGGAAGGGCACAATGACACTCATCATGTAGAATGGGAGGTGCTGGTCGTTCATGTACCCGGTACATAGAAGACATGCAAAGAAAATCAAAAATCACATTGAATACGCTCAATGCCAAATGAATGTCATTGCCAAGATGGACCGTCATGGACTTGACTCCAGCCTTTTTGTTGTCCTTGTCCTGAGATGATGTAATTAACACCCACATTTCAATGCAGAATGAAATGGACTAGTTACCTGACACATGTAGATAGTGTCGTAAAGACATGTCCAGCTAGGGAGGCACAGTTAGCCCCTCGAAAAAAAATGCCTTGCTGGCACTTACCAGCATGATGCAGCTGCAATGTTTAGCATCAAACTGACCCATAATCGCTACCCATGTGAATGGGATGGCCCAGCTAGCAGCAAAATTTTGGAATTAGATAAGACAGTAAATAAAATTTGATTTCAAAAAGCCGTACTGAGGTACAAAGACAGCCAATACATCCAACACTTCATCAGTGGATATGTCCCTCCACAGGCAGGGAGCCCAACAAGACCAAGTGTGAGACTATAACAGCTTATCAGAGATATATTAATACTTGTTGAATGGCCTACTCATGCCATGGGGCCAGTAGTTGAAAACATGTAAAAGATGGCACCAATGAGCATGAACAGAAGAATTGAGGCTTCTGTCATAGTGACAGCTCCAGACGCGATCGGTCGGCCTTTCAAATGTTCTAATTGAACAGTGTCAAGAGGTCAGTGACAGTCAGGACAGAATTGACATACCAACTTTGTGATCAAAGTTGTGATCAAGCATATCATTTATGACACAGCCTGCACTATGTACCAGCATGCCCAACAATGCATAGAACAAAGTGTTCATGATGACCTCATTCATGGGTAATGCTACATGGTATGATGCTGCCAGGGAGCCCCACACTAGGTACGATGAATTAACCAACAAGTAATGTCTCGCATACATCTTCTGACTCACCAAAAGGCCAGAACATGAAGTTGGACCCCACTGGAAACCAGTGAATCCTGGTGAGCTTGACCAATGATCTTGCCTTGGAGGGCATTGTGACAAGTGTGCAAGGAGGGAAAAAAGTGGAATGGAGGACCAGGTGCACCAGCTGTGCTCATTTTATATGCCTACATGGGCACTTGGAATGATGTCTTTGAATCTGCTGTTAATAGTGTTGTTGGCAGGTTACTGCCATTCTGCCATTCGCCATCACAGAACTTGAAATGGTACCAGAGCTAGTGTTATTTAATAGGGACGTTCAAAGTTGGGTTTCAATGCCATTTTCAATTCTGTTTTTGACATTGGAATTGTCCGAAAACAGGTTTCAACTTTGATCAACCTGTTGAACAAACAATGAAACCTGTTTTCACAGATGGCTGAGTTTGAATTTGCTTAACCCTGTACCATGCCTCATCAAACTGAGTGGCAACAAGCTGCAGAAGAGATCTATAACAGGTTTTTAATGGATATAATTGCTGAGATTGTGAGCCAACTGCAGGAGGATGAGGATGGGTATGATAACCATTCAGATTCCAGCTCATCCTCTGAGGACTCTGGCATGGATACATCTAGTGACTTAGCCAGTAGTTCATGCAGCCATAGTTCCTCATCATTGAGCTCCTCATCATCAGATCTCTCTGTGATTGAGTCTGACTCAGATTCAGAGGGGTCTTTAGTGCTTGCCCAGTATATTGTGGACATTGGAAACATTTATGCAACTTGAAACCTCCACCAGCATGTACCCATACCCAAATTAAGTGCACTTCTTGACCTCCTCCTATCTGACTATCAAGTTCACCACCCCAAGATTTTCCACTCATATTTATGCATATATCCTGCTTGCTTTGACAACCTAGTCACTATTCTTGCTCAGGACAGCATTTTCCACAGTCATTCAAATAATTACCAGATGCCAGTTGATTGCCAACTTACAATTGTGCTTTACTGCTTTGGACACTATGGAAATGCTGCAAGCACTTGGAAGGTGGCACTTCAGTTTGGAGTTGGCTTCGGTACTGCACTTCTGGTGACAAGCTGAGTCATGAAGGCTTGCTGTTCCACACAGTTCCAGACTTCAGCTTTTCAGTGGCCTGATGCAGAAAGAAAGGAAACTGCCAAGGAGTAGGTGGAGGAAAATTCATGTCCAGCTTGGCAGGATGGGTGGCTAATGGTCAATGGCACACTGGTTCCTCTTACATGTTGGCCTGGATTCTTTGGTAATGTTTTCTTTGACTGCAGGTCTAATTACTCAATGAATGTCCAAGTATGTTCTCCTTTTCTTTGAGAAGTTTATCTGACATTGTCCTATTAGCTTATATCTACACCTGACCTGTCAATCATTGACTATGGAGTTGGTCTCCCTGGTAGTGAGCATGATGCAACAGCTTTGGAGCAGACACACTTGCCTCAGGAACATCATGTGCTTCTCAATCAAGGTGAATGAGTCTGGGCTGATTCAGCTTATCCTCTGCAAGCATGGTGCCAGTCACTATATAAGAAGTAAGTAACATGACTCTGTACTTAAGAGTACTTAAGGATATATTATATTGATTATTAGGCCTGAGAAAGACACATCACAGAACATCACATTCATCATGTTTCAAATGTCCACATCTGTTCAGAGCATTGTGTTGGATTTCTCAAAGGTTGATGGCCATCCTTGAAAGGCTTGTGGGTTCACATTGATGGTCAAAAGGGGATTCAGTATGCTGGACTCTGGATCACTGCCTGCATTCACTTGCACAGCTTCACAATTCAATATTGTTAAGGTTGTACTCAAGGGATAACTGAATCCGAAGGGCTTCAGCCTCAGCTCGTGCACTGTGCCCCTTACCCAAGTATTGCCCCTTATTTCAGGAAGGCAAGACTAACATGTCTGGAAGGTTGGATGAGTAGTGTAACGGATCTGGACGACTTCCTGATGAGGGATAAGTATTGTAGGGCTAATCTGGATGAGTCCAGACTAGAAACTAACAGTAATGGACTGTTGGAGACAGAGGCAGGTATGGATAGACTATAGGAATCAATCCTAAGTCTTGGAGGGTGATGAGAGTAGAGATACTCAAGTCCGGAGGACAGGAATGAGTAGAACTAAGATGATATTCAAACTGAGGTACTACAGAAAGTTACAGGAGGTTATATACTATAGGTATCTAACGGAATGATCAATCAGCAGAGTCCAAGGCTATGTACGAAGCATGTGGATAGTCTATTGGTAAGTAGAAATGGATCACAAATCATGAAATGGAAATGAAACATAGGTAGCAGATAAGGGAACAGGACAGATATACAGATAACCGAAATACCAGAGTTAAGGGGTTACCAAAAGGAGATGGGCACTGGTTGTGGATTTGGATGAGTTGTGGACCAGACCAGATGAGTGGACAGATTGAATGACGAGATGTTGGAGGGAGATAAGATGTAGATAGGATCGGAGATAAGATGTGGATCTGAGATGAGATAAGGGTCAGATCTGAGATCCGGATATGCAGATATGACAGTATCCCCCCTTTAGGGCCGATCCCTAGAGGCACAAGATCTGACAATCCAGACCGGACGATATGAGGGTGAGAATCAATGGAGAAGCTGATGGATGGAGTTTATGAGTTCTGGTTTCCACAGATATACGGATGTCAAAGCATCCTAGGTCTTCCTTCCTTCCCTCACTTTACCCACTCATACTAGCTTTTTGAATATCATGTCTGGCAACAAATCCAGTGGTCAGAAATCCACTAGGGAGACTCTTGTGGAACTTCAGTGCCAGATGGCACTCGTGGAGGCTGCAGCTCAGAGAGAGGAAGAGGAAGAGGAGCAGATGTGTCAGGAAGTGGAATGGAAATGTGAGGAGGAGAGGAAGTGGATTGAGCAGTCCAAGCTCTGGGTAGTGCAGGAAGAGGAGAGGTGGAGGGCTGAGGTGGCCAGGAGGGTGAGTGATGCTAACTCTATCGGATCCGGAACTGAGGGGTATGCTAGTCCCAGTCCACTTCTATGTCTGGAGCTCAGGATGCTCCCTGCACTCATTGTGTCAGTAAGAGTAAGAAGTGCTCCTGGGAGGATGCTAAGTCTAATGTGCTGGTGAGATATTCTTTGCCTCAGACGTCCAGAACTGGGTGTACTGATATCTGGATAGATCAAGTCTTGTGACGTCTGCAGGATCGATAGGGCCTCCTGTCCCAGAAGTGCGGATAAGCCCAGGGAACCAAGGCAGAAGAGGCAGCGTGCTGTGGTGACTCCGTCTCTGAAATCCAAGGGTAAGAGATGTCAGAGGAGCCCTACCCCTGAGGAACCAGAAGTGGAGGAAGCTTCCAATCCATGGACTGGAATAGAGACAGATGAGGGGAGTGTGGAGTATGATGACCAGGCCTGGGTTGCTGCTGCCAACAGCATAGTAGTGGAACTGGCCTGGACCAATGGGCTTCTCCAGGAGAGTATTGGAGCTGCGGAAGGGAGTAGGTTGGTGATGGAGCAGATGAATACTAACATGGAGGACTTCATCCAGCAGCAGAGGGACTTCCAGTCCATCCTCCTGGAGGGGATCCAGAATGGATTCCAGATTGCAGACACCTCCACTCTGGATGATGCTGACAAGGATGTTGAGGAGGAGGCTGGAGGATCTGGAGGGGACATGGAGACTGATGGATGAGGAGCTCTGGATTTTCGCTTCTGCCCCTAATGTACTTGTATCTGATTTTGTACTCATTGTAACACAATTGGACCGGGTTTGTCTGGATACAAAGAGTGAAATACTGAAACTAGATCTGACACATTTCCAAGCTTCATGGCTAGTAACCAGGATGTCTCTTCGTCCATCCCTTCATATCCAGACCACTGGACGAGGTAGAGAAGCTGACATTGTCGTCTCCAGCAGTCCAACTTAGAGTCTAGGATTTCAGATATCTCATATTCTGGTTCTCCATTGACTTCTATTGGAGGTGGGGGTGGTTGGATACAATTAGGGATGGTGTTTGGAACTGTGGGTTCTAGTTGGGAGACAAGGAAGACTGGTGTAGGGAACAAGATTCCTCCAGGCTTAGATTGCCCATATCACAACTCACGATGACTGGTATAGTGTGCAACTCACTAGCTATGACTTTCCCATGAAACGCGCCAGAGGTGCGATGCTTTCCCACACTATGCGACGCATTCCCGTGCACGCGCTTAGTGCGCTCTTCCTGCGCTTGGTTGCCTTATGTTGCGCAGCATCTGGGAGCATCCATCCATTGTCTAACCAGTCCCCTAGTGAGTCCTTTCCCATTTATTCTCATATTTAGCATCGTACCATACATTATTTCATCATGGACCCTTTTACTTACATCATTTTACATACATACAGCGCTCCCTATTCGCTTCCGAGCCCTGGGAGCGTGCCTAGGCACAGCTTACCTGTTGCCTAGGAAGTTTTAACCAACCAACCACCACCAGAGAGATACACCTACCACCATCATGTCACTTAGTATCTCATAGTGAGAATCATCATCTTCATTTTCGCATCATAGTTGTCACCCTAGTCCCCAGCAACAGTCCATTATCACCATCAGTCACCATTCAGCAGTCTCAGCACACGTCCTCACACCATCCTTCAGTCTTTACATGTCTGTGCACCACATGCGCTCTATTCCCACACTTCACACTCCTACGCACTCCACATTCCTGCGCATGTGCTTTCAGTGTGCTTCACCAGAGTTGACCTGGTGTCACCCAGTGGATCCTTGCTTTCTTTGCTTCCCTTAAGGGTTGAACATATTGCCTGGCGCACTTCGACCAACACTTAGAGAGTCAGTAGGCCTTCCTCTCACCCCAGAGGTAGAGCCCTCTTTCTTTCTTTAGCTCTGCAAGCCCAGCAGAGTTGTTGAACCTTCACTGGATGTACTGAATGCATGGAATCTGGGAGTCAGATGGTAAAGGAATGCAATCTGGGACAGGATATAATGTCAAAAGGACCTAAGTTCTTTTCCGAGAGCTTCTTGGAAGGGCGAGTGGAATGGAAGTACTTTGCTTTGATGAAGACTTGATCTCCAACCTTGAAGTCTGGGGCTGGTATCCACCTTGTATCTG